GTTGCAGCACGCGTCGGTGAGTGACATTTTTATGGCGAGGTCGAGGAGGAGGATGAGAGGAGGATGAAGAGAACAAAGAAAAAGGACCAGGTTGCTATTTATGGGAAATGTTGGTCACTGGGGTCGTCGGCGGCCGCCCATGGGAACGAAATAATTTGTCATCCGCAAGATGCTTCTGGCACCCTTTTGTCTTTGTGACGGTGATGAGCAGGCCTCCCTCCTCTTTACCGGATAAACCGCTATCTTCTGGGGAACTAAGAGAGGACGCGGTCCTGGATAAACGTATATCCATCAGAGCAATCGTTGGATGCTTCCCTTGACGATGCCTACATGGAACGCTCTTCGTCCATGCTTGTGTGTCTAGTCCGCATGGCGCGATTTTGCTTGCCGCCCATTTGCTATTCGAATATCATATCTTGCTACCATCACGGTCAAGGTCAACTGTTCTACTGCAGCATGGCGCAAAGTGGAAGCAAACAACGCGTGGACGCGCGTGATGCAATGATCCCGTCACTCCTTAACAGTCACCTCCTGCGACCGTCCTTCCACAAAAACGATGCATCTTCTCCACCGGTCCTTTTACCCAACTAACGGCAACCGTATACAACCAACCATGAGCCACCACTGCCACGACGAAGCACACGGACACGGACACGGGCATAGCCACGGACATGGAGGCCATGACCACGACCACGACCATGACGAATTACCCGATTCCGGCCTCGTGCATGAATCTCTCTATCAACGCATCGACCATGACAACGTCGTCTGCCTAAACGAGGCTGAACCGAACTCTGGACGGAGTGTTCTCAAGCCATGGCACGAGAAAATGGATGATGCGAAGGTATTCGGAGCGACATTTTTTTTTTTTTTTTTGGGTATACACGTATGCCGTATACTATGTCTAGGAATCTTCATGGACGCTTTCTTACAAAGACTATCTTGATTTTTATATGGACTCTATTACATTTTATTTCTTTAGTTTGTGGAAAGCGATGCGGACGAGCAACTCATCTTCAGGATCCCGTAATGTGCCCAGAAAAAAAAAAAAAAAAGTCCTCTTCGAGGACATGCGGCAGTATCTACCATGAGGTTATTCGCTATTAACCGCTCTTCCAATCAATCCGCCGATAGATTTACGGGCATGGTCAAGTTGAAATCCATCTCACTCAGAACTGATCCAGGAGAATCGGCACCTCGCAAGATGAAGGCGTAAATGAATGACATACCCATAGGAAAGGAACATGCTCGCTGCCTCTACCGGCGTAAAACATTGGAAGAACTGTCGGCTGACTGGGATCTCGACCAAAAAAAAAAAAATTCTATTAGATTCATCAACCAGGACGACTTGGATTTCGATACTGCAGAATCGACAGTCCCGACGCAGGAATGGGATCTCGTGGAGGACCCGCACGGTCAGATCGCGGAGTATTCTACAAGGTTAGAAAAAAATGAGAAATACGAAGCTTGGAGACACAGAAAACGATATCATGAGAGGTTAGGGTGCGGATCTCTAGCGCAATCATATTGAGTTTTTTTTTTTTTTTTTTTTTATCCAAATGCCCTTGTTTATTTCTAGGGTGGCCAAGTTTTCGAGTATCCGCAGCTTGACACTGTATTTCAATGAAAATTTCGGAGGTGATGCTACAAAGATTTTCTTTATTGGACTCAAAGGCGAATTCTCAGAGGTAGGATCAAAAACAGCGTCAGGAAATAACCTCAGAGAGTGTCTGGGCGAGAAAAAAAAAAAAAAAAAAGCGATAGAGGCAAGACTCGTACCATGGACTAATCATGATTGAGGGTTCTTACGATTCTTTTGATACTTATCTGGTGGCAAATAGCTCAAGCGCGACCCCATCATTACGGTCTATGAACTGCAGGCGAACCCCGCGGATCACAAAGTTCCCGGAATCAACGATACACTCAACCAAGAGGTCGACTAAAAAAAAAAAAAAAACGTTGAATTTGAAACCAAGGGCGATGCAGTAGTGTATATACACCCCCCTCTCCATTTTATTGAATCAACAAAGCATGCTCAAGTAGCGCAAAAGATCCCATGGACACAGATAAATGAAAGCATACATGTCGTTATGGATGAAAAATGAATGTTTTTAATGAAAATCACTATGTACTTTTGAGATGAGTTAAATGGATTCGATGCTTGTCCTCGCCAATCAATTACTTGGCAGCAGCGGCGGTGAGCTTGAAGGAATCCGAGTTGCTATCCAACCAGCTCGATACACGCTCGTAGACTGCAAAGGTAACTGCCTGGCCAGGAGCGACACGCAACACACGGGGGGTGACACCCTTGTAGAAAGCCCTCCAGCCCTCGTTCTTCAAGATCTGTCCGTTCACGTCCGTGAAGCGAGCCCAGCCGCTCAAGCCCTCAGGGTTGGGGGTCTTCTGAATACGGGTCTTCACAATATCGATTGGGTTGTTGACAAGGGGACCCATGGCTCCGGAGATCAGACCGATGACCGCTGACTGGTAGCCGGGCAAGTCCTGGATGTCCTGGAGACGCTGGAGGTAGCCCTTCAAGAAGTGGTATGTTGGGAAGTTGGCGGCCTGGTTAGAGGCCTGGCGAAGGGAGGTGAGACCGACTCCACGGTAGAGGGCGCCGAAGCCTTCCTCGCGAACAACGGTGTAGGCGCAGTGGGCGGCGTTGCGGTACTTGGGGATATCGAGGGGATCGGCCATGGAGTGGCGCTGGGCCTGGAGACGGATCTTGACGACATCCATGGGGGTGACGACCAAGACGGCCTCGGTGACACCGGCGAGCAGACCAGCTATTGCGAGGGAAAGATGGGGGGATGGTTAATTGAGGAGCTTAGTTGTGAGCAAAATGCATCTTCTTTTCGATTGTTGGTAGCGTGGGAAAGTAAGGGCCAATAGAAAAGCGATCTGTTGTCTTTGTATGCCCTGTCCTGACCCCACACCCATTATGCCAGGTCCGAGAATGCTGAGATTCCTTGGATGTCGGCCGAGCGTCGTTGGCTGGGGCACAGTTCAATTCCAGCTCCCGTTATCGAATTAGATTATCAAGACAGATTCATAAAAGCTTACCCCACAAATTGTTCAGCTTCCACGGGGTGCCGTTTTTGTCGACCATCTGGTCCTTGTAGAACTGGAAGGTCGTGAATCGGATCGCCATCTTGGGGACAATACCGGCCGTCACCGCGCCCAGACCCTTGTACAGGGCCATGGGCGATTCCCGCTTGACAATCCTCATACCGACACCCACGAACGACAAGTTGCTGCCCTATTTCAAGTTGAAAAGGAACAAAAATATGCATGCGCATGTGTTAGTTGATGTGCTCGCGTGGATACAGATCACACCAAAAATGAACCCTCGTTTGTTTTTTTTTGTTTCGGTTCGGCCATCCAGGGTTAAAATGTAGATCTCCCCCTCCCTTTGTCCTGTCCTTCATGATACATGATACCCATTAGGCTCCTCCTGTTTTTGCCATCCCATCTTTTTTTAACGGACATTTACATCGCTGCAAAGATCGAGAAAAAGTATTGTAATAATAGATTCTTCCCTGTCGATCCAGACATGCCAGGCCCCAATTTCCATACTTTTTTTTTTCTTGTAACAGTCCGTTGGCATCTTCTTCATCGTCCAACGGTCTACTGCGTCGTTCTCGAGCTCTTCATTACTCTCGCCCACAGTTCTTCCTCAGTCCCGAATTCCTGTTCGTCGTACTTTGTACCATCCAGTCCAGAAGAATAATCAGTCCAGTCCCCCCTCTCCCCCCCCCCCCCCCATGTGTCCACGGCATTTATATAAATATACATATCTCTCTCACTCGTTTCCGCATGCAAATGATTCCCCTGGAATCGTTCAGTTGAACATAATATACATAAAATATACAAAGTGACATATGAAAGACTTACAGCGGCGTTCCTGGGGGCGTTCTTGGCGAGCTGCATGCGGACCTTGATCGTGTCAAGAGGATGACAGATCAGGGCCTCCATGAAACCGGCAGAACCACCGGCGATCAAGTTGACGAGAGGGGACTTCTTTTCTCTGGAAGCCATTTGTTTTTGCTTCTTTTACAATGAAACGAAAGAGTGGAGTAGAGATGTAGTAGGGTAGAGTCTAAAGATGATATGGAGAGAAGGGAGAGTGTGTTGATCCGAGCCCGATACTATTAGATCTATGCAAAAGATGAGTAAGTAGAGTGGGGAGGGGGGAGGGGCGGATGGAGAGTGGAAAGGAGAAAAAGGGCGAAAGGGTGGAAAGGGGATTAGAAAAGAGGAAAGGGGAAAAAGAATAAAAAAAAAGAGTGAGAAGAGGCAGGGCATGGTTATATTTATACGACTTTTGGAGGAAGAGAACCGAAGTAAGCGAGTGAGAGCCGAGAACGGGAAGGAGAAGAGTCAATGATCTAATATGTTTCCTTCTTTTCACAATGACAAATAAAAGGTTTTAACACATGCGTGCGGATGTCCTTTGAAGCGATCTGTGGGTGTAGAAAACCTCTTTTCCCTTGGTTCATTCATTCATTCCTGTCCCCACGCGATCATCCTCTTCTTCTTTACTCTGTTCTCACCATCATTATCGTCATCTTCATCGTCAATACCACCAGAGGTAGCAAGCTGTCTGACTGTCGGCGATCGATCCGTCCTAAAATTTGTGTCCGTGGACAAGGAGGTATTCACCTTGCAGGCTTGCACAAGATGTAACGATCGGTCCCAACTACAACGACAACCACAACTATAACAAGCTGAACCCATCATTGCCACCATCCTTTGATTCGTAGCATCTCCCCCTGTCTTCCTCATCTTGCCCCTGTCATATGTAGCCCGGCTTGGGGATAGTTTCCCTTTCTTTATCTCTTTACGTTTACCCCGCATCTGCAACAGCAAATAGAATAGGGTTCCCCAATAGAATAAAGTTGGAGACACATCGAGGCAGTCCCGGAGAGGATGAGGTGACGAGCGGACAGCTGCGAGGAATAATACGGACGGGGATCGATCTCGCGCCTTGCTCTGGTTCGCGATGTAGACACTCATTGGCTAGAGCTCGCTCCTTTACTTCTTCATGTCTACATGCGTACTGTCGGCCCCTGTCCTCGCTCTCTTCAGTCTTCCCCCCACACACACTCTACGGTAAATCGGACAGGATATTTTCTGCGAGACCCAGGTTGGCACCCAAGATATCAACGGATGTGTCATTGCTACAGTTTTGTTGAGTCGAGCAGTTGGGTTTCCGTTGGCATCTCTGTCCGTTGTGTTTGTTTGTTTTCTCTTAATGCTTACTTCCCTCCTTCATGCTCTTGCCGTAAATGGACCTTGCCCCGGACTCCTTAAGTTCAAGGGGTGTGTGTCAATGTGTCAATCATTTCAATGTGCCAATGGCGGTTATTGGGCGAAGACGAGATTTCCCCCACCTGTGCCTCATGTCTACAGCGGTCGTATCCCCCCTTCCCTTCGTCACACCATCTTTTGGGCACAATTTTCACATGCTGCTCTCTTTTTTTTTTTCTCCGTGGATGTCCTTTTTTTTTGTGCGCTGCAGTCTGTCATTTACAATGTCTTGTACAGCAGTCTGCTCCCCGGTGTCAACGGCGCATTCCTCTCTACATCCAATAGAACGATTTTAAGGGTTCTCATTGACTTCTTTTGATCGGTGGCCCACGTTATTTCCATGGCGACTTCTTTCTTCCCTCTCTCTTTTTTTTTTTTTAGTGACACAACAAACTTTCTAATGCTCCTTTGGCTGGGGAGGCTGTATTTCTTAGCACGTACCCTCGCAAGGTCCCTTTTGAGACTGCAACCTTCATCTCCCGTGTCCTTTTTTGTTAAAAGTCCGATTATCTGATCCGGGATCATCCATGGGATCCTTCCTTCTCCATCCTACAGTACCCCATTCCCGTAGGTCGAGACGCGTCCTGGTTCAGCTACATACAGTCCATAAAATACAGCCAGAGTTTTATTCCTAGTTCTAGTGTGATCTTCTTTTCTGCTCGCTCGCTCCTTTTTTGAGCCTACCAACAACCCTTCCAGCTAGCTCTTCCTTATTCTTATCACGATACCGTTCCCCCCTCTTGCGACTGCCCTTCCCACTTTACATGACCTTACGAGCGCCAGGACGAGCAGGCTTGTTGAAGCGGGGTGGTCCACTCACTGCACTTCGTGCACTGCTTCCTCCAAAGCTCGAATGGCTGGTCTTGGGATGCAGCTCCTCCAGTACAAACTGCTCCGTCAAGTCTGACACATCCGTCGTCTCCAGCTTCTTGTCCACACTCAGTCCTGCATTATCCGTCGCTGCCTGCAACACACCAGCCCTGCATGACGAATACAACATGCGCTCACGGATCTTTGACTTGCTGGGGCATGTGTACATGAACACTACGGGAACAAAAGAAAGGAAGAAGAAAAAAAAAAGAAAAAAAGGTGAGCGAGTACATAATTGAGGTGACAATGTTCTATTGGTCATCAAAGGACGCGCGTAACAGAAATCCGATCAGAAACATACCGAGCGAATCATGCGCAGTTCCGTTGTGGGTGTGCTCGTACGCAAAGAACGTGAATCGGGGTGAGTCCTCGTCAATGTTCTTGACAAGATCCTTTGCTGCAATCTTGGCCTCGCCTGCAAGATCAATCTTCTCACTCTCAGCATCAATGACCTAATACATATCATGCCATTAGAACAAACGCATGTAAGCAAGAACTCAAGAATATGGTCGTTGCCAGTGCACGAGTCCCAATACATGTGCAAAAAAAAACTCACCAGCTTGACAAAGTTGACAGTACGCTCTGGTTTGGCAGCCTCCACAGGTATCTCCTCTTCCGGTTCAATTCCCTTGACATCTTCCACGGGCGCTGCATCCTCCTCCGCCTTTGCCTCCTTTGTCTTATCATCGTCCCACTCATCGTCTTCAACATTCTCCGCCGAGGCCGACTTCTCAGGAACGACCACGGTACTCTCTCGGCTAATGACTGGCGATACTGGCAAGGGTGTTGATGCAGGGCTCGTCACTTTTTTCGGCAAGGCCTTGGCAGGGCTTGGAGCGGCGACGACCAGCTTCTTAAGCGCAGCAACAGCCCTATCTGTCAGAGGAAAATTCATCCCAGGAGCATGCGACACCCTATGCGTACCACCCTTCATGTTCTCGATCATGCTCTTTTCATTCGCGTGAATTTCTTGCAGCTGTCGCTCACGATCCGTGAAGGGCTTGGGCGCTGTCATGCTTGCCCTGTGTCTCTTGTATCCCTCCAGCGTAAAATCGCCCTAGAATAAATCCCATGGCACAGAACAAGATTAGAAAATCAGCAACAGCAACCAAAAGGTAGGACGATCTACCCCTCAGAATTGATCCGTTTGAACAGATCGGCATACGATACCTTGTTTGTACCATAGATCGAGTCCGTGAAGTGCGAATCTCCAAGGTCCTTGGTCAAGGTGGCGCGCGTGGCCGCATAGATCATCTTTTGACGGATATGCGCAATGTCTGGAACATAGGCCAAGAAGATCCACTGGTCCGATTTGCTGCCATCGAAGCGAACCATAAAGTACGCAGGCACATCATCCTTCAGGTTGTCGTGCACAATTCTAAAGTCTGTCGAGCGAATATTTTCGATTCGTGATTTTGTGAACCAGCAGGAACAGATGTTAGTTGCCAGTCGTCGAGGATAAGCCAGGAAGAAATGTTTCCTTGCATGATTGTCATGGGTTGAAAAAATGATCCATGGTACCTTCTTCAAAGGTTCCTTTGATGTCGAAGAGACCGTCTTCTTCCAGGGTTTCTTTCAGAATCGAGATCTTGACCGCGCGGACTTTGCTCCCAGGGGCCGTTACTTGCTGCCACACGCCAGCGAGCGCTGGAGAGACTGTTTAAGAGTTGAAAGACAAAAAAAAAAAAGGGTCATGGTCAGCAGCGCGCTATATTTAAGTTACAGCCACACCCCTGCATTCATAAGCGCTTGAAAATGTAACCCATGCCAGCAACACGATCTTACCTTTGATACCGGTTTGACTGGACACTATTGGGAAACAACGAGAGTATGAAAGGGGAGTGGGAGGGCCGGTTAGCGTTTCTGTAGTTGTGTTGCCACCATTCGTTACACTCAGTTCCAATTGTTCTCCCTAGAGCAATTAAAGGATATCAGGTACAATTGTTCAGACTTTACTTGTAATGGTCTCCTGCAGAGAGAAGAGAGAGATAGAATTTAAGAGAGAGCAGACGGAGTGCTGGGGAGCGATGGTGTAGAAACGAATGAAAGGAATGTGAACGGACAGGAGAAAGGAAGTTGATGCAAAGATGAATGACCGAACAAACTCAACTGCTCTCAGGAACGGTCCCCACCCCTTCATTCAAACGTCACACGGAGCAGCGACTATGCATGCGTTAAGGGGCGGGGATCGTGTCGGACACGGCCTGGCGTGTCTTGTACTTTCCTATGCTACCGTAGGACCAGCACAGCATCTCTTGAGTTTTGGACGCGCTGCCTTTATTGTGAATCTGTCATAAGTGACAAAAATAATCTAAAGGGATGTCTAGACCGGAGGTGTGGTGTTCATACAGGCGTTTCGGTAGTACGGTGTGGTTCATTATTTAGTTTGGTGGTACGCGTCGTATCCAGTGTCATGAATTCTAGATATCGCCTTTCGCGACTTGAATATTTTGCCCATCAGAACTGCCCTCGTCGGATCGACGGCCATACGTGGTAGGCGATTTATTCTTCATTTCCTCCTTCGCCAGATCGCCTTTCGCAACAGGACGGTATCGACCATTTCCATAATAGTCGTTATGAACCGAGGGTGGATCGAGTTTCTTAACGTCCAGACACTCGCTGCTGGTAGTAGGGCTCGCGGGGATGGGTGAGGAGGCAGTGACGGAGGAGATTGCGGGGATGGGCGAGGCAGTGACGGGGGAAATTGCGAGCAGGCAGGCTGCAAGGAAGATGTATTGGATCTTCATTTTTAGGGATTTAAACGGAGTAAAGAGACGATGGTTTGTCTCTGGGGAATGCTTTGTTGGAACTGGTTAATCGATAGACCTGAAGATAGGTGGGACCATAGGACGGTATCCGGTATTTAAGTATCCTTCCAAGAGCAAAGTGATCCATTTGTAATAACACGAACCACACATATTCTTTGGCAAGGACGTTTGGTTCCTACGTGGACAAAAGAGCTCTTTGCAATACAATTCCCGCTAAATATGGATTTCTGTTTGAGAGAATTAATGGCTGAGAAGCATCCTGGTGCTGTGGTTCCAGATTGCGAGGATGAAACGAGTGTATTTGACAATCGATTTTTTATTTTTTATTTTGGTCGCATCATTTGTTTGTAGATAACTGCTGAAAGACTCCTACGCTGCCGGTGTCTTGTAAAGGCGCTAGGAGATGCTGTTGACCTCCACCTGCTGCTCCTGTGGCAACTCATCAAGGCAGTGATCCAGCACATACCGGCGTGCAATGTAACTCTCATATCGATTAGGATGGAACTGGCGCCTATGAATATTTCACAGTACCATTAGCGAAAAACGATTATACCGTCCCAACCACTACCCTCAACACGCTGGCTCTACATCAACGAAATAATAATAATAATAAAAAGAGAAAAAACTTACCACTCATCCAAGCTGAACTGATCATGGTAATGTCTGAACATCCTGTATAATGTCTTTTTGCACGGATACCAGCGAATATCCTCCAACGACCCAGACTTATCTGTAAACAATTTCACACCCTTGTACGATCCCGTCAACAACATCTGGATCTTCGCCCTCGGCAAAGTCATGGTCGACCGTGCACACAGCGTCGTCAACTGTCCTCCGGCAGCACCCCGGAACTTTGAGTCGATCAACACAGCGGCCGCAACCTCCAACGAGTTCGTGCTCAAGAACACCGATGCCGCTGTGCCCCTCTTCGCTTCCATGTACTCATTCTCAACTGCTGCCACGACCCCGCCCACTATGTCCGTCATCTTGGCCATATACAGCGACTTGAGAAACTGAATCGCCTCATCAGAAGCCGTATCCGGTCCAGAAGCAACCTCACGCTCGAACGGCGTCATCAGGTTCTCGACCGAACGACGGTCGGCGTTCTTTGTGTGTGCGTAGGCCTGCAGTAACGTCGCCAGGTTGGTCTTGGGGGAGTACCGTGCAAAGAACTCATCCGCCATGGCCGTCGGCGCCATGGCCCCAAGGCGCAAGGAGAGTACCTCGGGGAGATCGGTGTCGAGAGGAGAGTGGATGATTGCTAAGAGACGACGGATCTTATCAACTCCTGCAGAGATCGCATGCTGAATCGAGCTCAGCCTGTCTAATGATGCCTCGGACAGTTCCCAGCGAAGTGGATCAAAATCAGGCACTTTGAACTCTGGCTTCGAAATCGGTGCCACCTCCTTGACCGACAACGAAGCCATGCCAATTGTCGGAGGCACTGATGCGGACGATGGAGCGGATGTCGACGCGTGAGGAGATGTCGATTCTGTCTTTGGGGATTTGGACTTGACACCCTGATCCTTGCGCGTGTTATTGAACAAGGACTGGTAGTGAGCTACGATACCGTTGTCTGAATTATCTCGCTCTAACGCTGCTACATATGCATCATGCTGCTCGCGATACTTGCGTCCAGGAACCGCGACATCCTTCTGACGGTCGACGTTAAACCAATCTAGTATGTTGCCAAACAGGTCCGAAGAGACCCTCCAGGACATGTCCCTTCGGATCTGCTCTTCCACGATCGCAGTCTCGAACGTTGACAAGAGCGCACTCATCTCTGCAGCCGTGATATCCCCAGCACGCAGCGCGCAGATGACGTGGCCAAGGAAGACATAGTTGTTGGTGATCACGTCCACGGTTCGCTGTGTGTGTGATGCACAGAACTGCTCTACTAATGTCCTGGTGCTCTCGCATAGAGTCTTGGAGCTCCGGTAGATGGCATCGCAGGTCTCCAAAATAAGCTGCACCTGCCTCTGCCTAAACTCAGTCATGGGGTACGCTTCAAGAGCCTTGGCGAGAATCAAGAATGGGATGGTGGTTGACTGGCTGTATGTGTATCCTGTCGCGTCCAGTGTCACCACATATCCGAGGATGGGCTAACAATACAAAAGGGAATAAGATGGCATGCATGCATGCATTCGCTATTTGTGTAAGCAATTGGTCGTAGTACAACAAACATATATGTTTATGCCTCCACGCTTTACCTTCATACGCAGTTTGGCCACCTGCCAATGCTCCTTGTTGATGAATAATGGCATCACTGCGGTAATGTTCTCGTGGGCCAGGCCAGGAGCGATGCTCGCGTCGCTGTTTCGGTCGAAGCCACCGTGCACATCCTCGGGGTCATTCTGTGCCAGTGAGTGCCCCAGTGCCAACGTGAACATGGACGAAGTCAAGTATGTCGGAAAGATAGACTTGATGACCACCTGGCTCGGATCTGCAATCGCGCCAGCCCCGCGAGACACTACAGGCACACAAAGAGGGAGAAAGATGTACCACAATGTCAATATTGAGACCGCTATTAGCATCTCAAAGATGCGAATAACCTAGCTGGGCTGTTTTGCTCCCTACCATCCAAGGTCATGCATAAACAATCGCCATCACGCAAGGCATCAATGTAACTATTCGTCGAGAACGCGCACGAAAGCACCCGCAACCTCTCCTCAGACTCCTCAGCCTCCATTTTATCCAGATCCAAGCCTTTCACAACCTCATCGACTTTCTGATCTAGGTCCGCAAACAACGCTGTGTTCTTGCCCGCACGCGCGTCCAACTTGGCCTTCAACTTCGCCTCTGTGATCTCACCGTACGCCAAAGCATTGAATGTTGCGAGACTCGTGTTCGAAATCGATCCCCCACGCTTATGCGCATCCGCCTTGACTGTCAGGAACGACTGCAACAATGACCGTGTCCGCTGACAGGCGACCATACAAGACCCCCGAACCTCCTTTTGCTTCAACTTCGCGGCCGCAAAGGCCATCGTTCCCAGAATCTTGCTACACGCCTCCGTTTCGGCGTCAATCTTGAGCAGTTCTGTACGCTTCTGCTCGGCCGAAAGCTGCCCGTTGCTGCCAATGCTGTTAATCTCTTCGATTAACCGTAGCAACTCGTGCTGAATGAACTGCGTCGTGCCGGTGATTCGCTGAGGGCTATCCTCGGGTAACCAAAGCACTTGTAGATCCTGAATGGGATTACTATCCTCTCCGGACTCGTACTCTCTCCACTGGATCATGCTTCTCGAAAAGGGCTTTCCACGAATGACAGTTGATCCCGCGACGCCAGCGCGCTCCAACTTGACAGCGAGCCACTCCTGTGCATGGTCCTTGTCAGTGTCCGTCCACGAAATCTCGATCTTCCTCTCCATCACCATAGCCGAGTCGTCCAGAAGCATTAACGTTGTCGACATAGACGTCTCGATTGCGCTCGACTGCTGGATATACTGGAAGCAACCACTGTACTTTCCTGTAGAGGTCAGCCAGCTCAACAGCTTGGCGTCATGTCCGGCCGTGAACCCGAATGTATGGACTGTGGACTCTAGCCGAAGCGTGCTCTTCAGGAGGTCCTCTAGCTTCTGCTTGGCTTGATCGAGGTTCCGACCATCACCGTCCTCGCCGTCGGTGAAGAAGAATAGGGTGACATCCATATCCTCCTGCATGTTGGTCTCGGCTCGGTGCAGCTTGATGTTCTTGATGACCTCATTGAACACGCTTGCGAAGCTCGTTCCTGGAATGGAGAGCAGGGGGGTAAAAACACAAGGGATGAGTATTAGATGCAACGTAAAGAGAAAAAAAAAAATCAAGGTTGGATACTAAGTGAGCCGGAGTACCGACGAGGCAGTGCAAAAACGAAGAAAAGATCCCGTCCTTCCTCTCAACCTTTCCACATGATTACATCAAGGACCTTTCAACGAATTTGTCTTCCTTACCTCCACCAGCCTTGACAGAATTAATCCACTTTGTATCACCATCCTTTAGCCGCCGCGTCTGGCACGAGCTCTCATACAGGTACACAGTGATCCTCTCTGGGGGTACCTCACAGTTCTGGATCAGATGGTCGATCAACCGCTTCATCGCCACCTTGGCACATTCGATACCGCTACCAGCCATTGATCCCGAGACATCCAGACAAATATCAAAGTATGCCTGCTTCGTCTTCTTGACAGGTTGCTGTTTCTCGCCCTGATTTTCCTTCTTCCATGGCGGGACTTGGAACGATAGCAACGTTACAGAATCTTGGTTCTCCAACGGATGAAACGCATGGCATACTGCGGCTTCTCTCGGCAACGCTGCCGATGGGGATGAGGATGTCGGTAAAATCATGCTCTCGATTTTGTATTTTTGGTGTGAGGATGTTGCAATTAAGAGAGAAAGAAAGAAGGAAAGAAGGAAAATGGGGTAGAACTCTCCTCATTTTATATTCTGGCATAGTCACACATCAAATGGACGTCTTGAGACAAGTACTTTCTTGGGGGCGGACTAGAGTGTTGCTGCGGCTAATGGTCGAGTGGTGGGCGAAGCATTTTAGAACTTCAGCCATCCTGATAGGTTTCCGTCCCCTTGACTTACCACATACATTTCGATCTCCCCTTTAGACTACGCCTCCGGAGGCGCTATGCTTGAGTGATATCGGAGGGATTATGGGCATCGCAGGAGGAGCGGCCTTTCGAAGGCGCGACATCAATGGAAACGCGAACAAGAGCGCGCTCGAAAATAGATTTATTTTGTTGGATCACGCTATTCAAGTTCTCAGCTCCTTTTTTCTGCTGGGCATGATCTTGGGGTCGGTGTATCAAGATATGGTAATTATTTATCGGTCCTATTGGTGATACTAGACGTGGAAATGCCCAAGAGAGTTGACACATCTTTGATATCCATGCCCATGATGCAGAAGAGGACTATGGCGCGCCATCGAATATCCTCAGAATAGACCATCCTGGATTGTTCAAGGACCTCGATTATGGACCCCACCTGGAATAGAGGAGTGAGGGTATTCCTTATGTTTTTGGAATTTTTTTTTGCAAAAAGGTAAGGAATAGTGATACCATGGGCTTAACGGGGGTGTAATCTTAGTTGGGATCTCTATTAGAGAGGAGTCATGTCGCTATTCGAGGTTCTCGTTTATTGTTACCCTTAGATTAGCTCTGAGATTTTACAATTTTATCTGAAAGGCACAATATATTACAGGCAAGAATGGTGTATGTATGTAGGGGGGGGTATGAGTATAATGCTACGAAACGCTCTGAATGCTGGAAAAAAGAACCGCCTACTGCAGCAGTAGCGACTATTCAAAAGGTGTCCAGGAAGGCACTGTGCGTGGATACAGCACATCTCGCTGATGCCAGCTCTTCTGCCTCCACACGGCCACCTTTGTCATTGTACTGCTCGCACTTCCGATCATCACCTCCGCTCCCGCTAGCACTGCCGCATCGACCAACTCCGGCCCAAAGATCCCTAATTCCTCTTCGGTCGTATACAGCTCATGATTCAACTTTCGCCATCCCAGCTTTGCCATCGTTAGAAGATCGCCCTCCGATTTTGAATCCGTCGTCACAATCACCGGCAATCGCTTTCCCGCGATTTGATACGCCTGCTCAACGGCCTCGGCATAGTGACCCAAAGGAATGATACAGGCCATCATGTCGTCGGGATTCTCCGAACGACACTTGAGCCAAATATCGCCTCTCCGGACATGGATCGCAATGTACTTTCCGCCGTTGGATATTGTCCCCGGAGCACGCTGTTGGATTAGCCGCTGAACATAATCGTCGACCTTTGGGTGGAACCGTAGATATTGTCCGACTTGGGACCATATGCGTCGACCGAGAGGATCTTTCAACTTGTAAGAATGGCTCAAGAATAACAGTTGCTCCTGGCTGTCCTCATACCGATCCACCAGGTCATCGATTGTGACAATATCCTCCAAGTTCTTGTTATCCTGCGCCATGATCTTGGTCCGATCGTACAGCTGTGTCTTTGTCTTCCGTGCCGGCGGACGCACAAACTGGGGCTTGAACATGAACTGTCGTGCGAAGGCTTTCTCCGTACCATGCAGCGGTTCCGAGTCGCCATATCCGTACACGATTTGGCAGGTCAAGTTTAATGCGAGAGCATCCCAAGGCGGGAAGGGTTTCTTTTCTCCGAAGTGGATCTTCTGTCGTCCGACCTCGATCTGTTCAGGCGTAAGTGGTCGGATATCTTTCCAATTGACAGTTGGGATGCCGGTGTCGGCGGTGAAGCGGTCGAAATCAAAGTAGTCGGACCAAGGTTGGTTCGAATTATGCTTGTTGTGGGAATTGGTCGTGATTGGTGTGATGATTAGGGTGCGGTTGAGGCGCAGGGCCAGATAGGCGGCGTTTTCGAGCGCGATGAACTATTTATAGCAGTCGAGTCGTCGAGGACGCACAGGTAACAACATGAGCGGGCTGTGCAAATTTGCGCCGGGATGCCAGATGGATAGCACGCATACCAATTGTTCTTGTTCATACACACATACCTGATTCGTAAGTCCAGCATATGGCATGAAACCCAAATACTTGATGGACGGGTCAAGTCTCAACTCTGGTTTTTGGATATACAAAGACGACTTGACATCGCTTTCCTTGACCAGGGGTTTATGCCAGTCCAGTTTCTTTTGTTGTTGGAGGATAGTAGCTGTATCTGGTACTTGATGCAGGTCTAGAGGCCCGGATCCTTGCTCCCTGCTGGTGCTTGACGGTTCATTGGTGTGGGGCCGGTCCTGCGCTGAGTGTGTGTTGCCGAATTCGAAGTCGATTGTTTGGAAGGAGGTAGATAAGTAGAAGAGGAAGGTGCCTGTGAACAGGGCAAGCGTTATGTTGACGAGCCTGCGCGTCCTCAAGACGGACATTTTTATGAAAAATGAAAAAAAGGTTGAAGAGATCTAAAAGAAGGATTCGAATGAGAAATCGGTTGGCGACGAATCAGGAACAAAAATGGACCATGCATTAAAGACAGGGCCCAGGCACGTTGTCTGTTCTACTAAAAATAAACGCGTTCGAACCAGGGTTTCAGGGACACAAACAGCATCATCAGTGGCTCACAGGCGTCCGAACAGGAGGGACACATGAAGTGAAACCTTTTGTTTCCACCTGGCCCATCCTAGAGTGCCAAATACACGGAGGCTGTCGTTGCAAACATGATTCTTTTATTCGCCAAGCACGCAGTTGGGTTGCTCCGCTCAAGCTATAAAGCGACCTACAATCTATTGGCGGCTAGACAACCCTCATGCGCGCCTAGTTGATTGACATCAATATAAGGATAATGGTGCAACTTAAAGAGATTGTGGAAGTAGCATCCCAGTGTTCATCCTCAAAGGAATTTGACAGCAGTATTATTGTTGATTGCAATGATAGTAAGCTCCGAGGAGAAAGAAGATCCCGCGGGGAAGTAAACCTTCCATTTTGGTGGCGCAAACGCCACCAATTTCGAGGCCAAAGGCCAGCTTGAGCCGAATCGAGGCTAGTACACGTACAATGTAGGGACGTACGTTTTCAAATGGGCTGCTCTCAATCAGCGTGGAGCTGTCTATTGGATTGGCCTGCTCGTATGTTGAATCCGTGCAAGGGTTTTATGAAAAATACCACGGTCTTTCTTATATATATATATTTGTCGGCGTTGTTGCATGCTGCATACGACGCGGCTCATGATCCCAGTCATTACTCGCCTTTATCTCCAGACATTTCGCCAGTCTACCTACAAGATTTATATATGATGCAGATAGATACTTTGACAACGGATGAACTCTGACAGATCGCGCAGCAGATGTACCCTTTCGGCACTGTGGGATCACGATTACTTTTGGCACAGCAACTACGAGAGAGATACAACAGTGCGGCGCAAGTCTTTGCCAGCCATGTCGTGCGATCGATATTTCCCGATTAATTCTCGCTTGCTACTCCCTGCAGCGTCCTGGGACACACTTAGATAGCAATTTGGTGACAATAAAAAGAGTCATTGTTGCTCGTCCCGCTTTTTTTACGATCGATGGTATATTTTTTTTCTTTTTGAGCTTTGCCCTCGGTGTAAAAATCCGAAGCCGAACACTTTTTCTCACGTTCCTCGCCGTAGACATTATTTAAGCTTGTCCTTCGCCTTTTTTTTCTTTCTCTCCCTCCTCACTTTTACTCGCAAGACGAACGTTGTCGAGCAAGACTAGGAATTTTACAAGCAGCATCGCCCCACAGAAACCACTAAGGAAACCAGAACAAAACAATGGCTACCAATTACACGCCTACCTCACACAAGGCCATTAATCAGGTCCACCGCCTCAAGGACCGCGCCCGATACGACGCTGAATCCATTCATAAGATCCTTGACAACAACCTGCTCGCTCATGTTGGATTCACGCTGCCCCCTGGTGCGGCTGATGAGGATGACTGGCCCTTTGTGATGCCCATGTGCTACGGACGTATCGACGACATCGTCTATCTTCACGGGCAAGTCTTTCTTTCTTTGATGCTCGGCATCAGCGTGATAGTTCATCTCGCTCGTGACAAGACAGCTTATTAACATGTTGCTACATGGACATAACCTATAGATATGTCAGTGGACGCATGATGAAGGCTTTGGCCTCTGACACTCTCCCTAAAGTCTGCATCACCGTAAGGGTTTTTTCTTGCAATTCGGCGTCAATATCTCAATAACGCCATGTGTGAGGGCTTAAAGAAATCCTATATCTCTTCTGCATTCTCTTTTTTCTCGGCCAGGTCTCACAAGTCGATGCCCTGGTCGTCGCCATGTCTCCCTTCCACAACTCGATGAACTACAAATCCGCCGTCGTCTTTGGCCACGGCCGCCTCGTCGAAGATCCCGAAGAAAAAGATCGTGCCCTCGCTGCAATCACCAATCAACCCTTCCGCCATGCCGACCTCTACAACGACTCCCGACTCCCCAACGCTATCGATCTCAAGTCCACAAAGGTGATTGCCGTCCAAATCGAACGTGCCTCTGCCAAGATGAGGACCGGTGGTGTGAGTGATGATGTCAAGGACAAGGAGGATCCAGAGCTGTTGAAGAAGCATTTCTCAGGCATTATTCCTATGAAGACTGTGTTTGGAGCTCCGGAGCCGACGGACTATAACATTGCGGACACGCCTGCGTACTTGCATCCTGAGGCCATGAACAAGGAGAACTAAGTGGAGAGGGCTCGCTGGATTAGACCGAGGGTTCTGCAAGAAAGAGATAGATACAGATACCAAAGCAATGCAATTTTTTATAAGTTCCAAGAGTGGCGTCCATTTGTTTCTTGCTCTGGCTCGACGTTTGTTTTTGCTGTTTTTATTATTGTACTCCCAAATCTCAGTCGTCCGTCTTTCTATGTCCAGATGACCTCTCTACTAAAAGAAAAGAGCTGTTCCTGAGACCTAAAAGTGCCCAGATTAGAAGACGACGCTGAGGGTGCGTCGGCTGGTGACCAAGAACTCGAATCGCTCCTGCTCTGCGGCCGCAACGGTTGGCTGCTCCTTCTCAAGGTACTGCTCCAGATGTCTTTGTGACTCGATGACATAGTGAACGGTGATGTACGTCTTTGCGTTGCCTTCTTCCGATAACCAGTGAAGTCCATCTATTGAGGGTGAACAAACATTTTAGCAAGAGAAGCAAAATTCCTTGTTCGCTCTATACACATGTTTCTTTGAAGCGTTGGGGAAAATGATCCCCGGGTGGCTCGGAAGTATGTGGGACTGGGCGAAGGATCATTCCTCCAATGAAAAAGTGCGGGGCAGAAAGTGCACCCAGGACAAAATCCATCAATGAAACCTTAATTATGTAAACATTGTTTGCAGCTTACATGGCTTTGGCTGACGGAAGACCATTGACGACAAGAACCCAGGGATCCGGTTCACTTGCTCCTGTTCACCATAAAAAAATGAATGTGGGGTAGGAAAAGGATAGGTCAGAAAGTTTGTGTATAAATTGGTTCCCCACAATTCACTGTGGTTGGTCCAGTGTGCTCAAACTTCCCAACGGAATGCAAACAATGTGAAGATTGATCTGAACGCAGAATCGAATGGCTGACTGACTGACTGACTGACTGACTGAATGGATGGATAGATGGATGGATGGATGAATGAATGAATGAATGAATGAATGAACATGCCTTTGTGAATCCTCGGAGCCACTCAAGGTATTCGTCGACCTTCTCCCGCGGGACCGACAAGTTAACCTCGTAGACGAGCGTCCCTGCGCTGTATGTGTGGACAGGTGTGGAGGGCGACGCTGGAGCTTCGGTGGACATGGTTAATGATTTTGGGTTCAAGGCTTCCGTTGTGGTTGTTGTCTATGTTGGATGAGGGAATGCTTGAAGAGAGTACAGGATACAGGTCGGAAGGAGGGAGGAGTGGTGGGTATACGATCAGAAACGAAAGAAGAAAAAGAAGAGTAGCCAGGAAACAAAATGGGCCTGAAATAAATAATACCCGCTAGGGTCAGCAGCGCAATGTCTACCACCATGCCCCTCGATAAGGTTGCAGATAACCTTCTGCACACGCTCTCGTCTTTTGAGTTTAGACATTCATACAACTCGGCACCATGCATAGGACGACCAGGTCGCGTCAGCAGCATTCCTAATCCACACAATACATCTAAAAACGGTCTCAGACTTCCAGTTGTCGTGCCTGAGTCCCAGGATGTCTGCACCTCCTTATTGGCCCTGATAGTACCACCTCCCTGAGCCCCTATCTGTAAGGTAGCTCAAGTGATGCACCAGCTCTCTAAACCCTTTTGCGACGCATCCAGTTCGTCCTCAGGCCAGAAGTACAATTTGAGCGGCCTGACTAGTCTGATTCTCCTGATGATTACTCTGATCGTCCATATCCGTTTAATCACGATACGAGAAAGGGCCGGTACCTTGTACGTAATAGCGATTGACCATCATTACTACCTCGATATATATCTACGAAGAGAGGCAGAATGCTCTAGCGGCTTCTCCTTCCAGCCTTCCAGATCCGCAACTGTCTCGAGAGAAATTGACTTGGCACAGGCTCCAGCAGAGCATATCATTGCACTGGTATTTCTCAAGCCCTGGTCCCGGTCCACGAAGCGAAAAGTCATCTACGTATCAAAGCCTGACGCCTCACACAGCGTACCCCTCCTCAGAGTTCGCTCTCATCGGTCGTTGCTCGGCCCTATTATATCTGATGTGGTCAGGGGAACCAGCTCTTACATTTTCAATACGTATGCGTATTGCATAAGCCCACGCATTGAAGAACATCACCTAGTGTATTCAGCACAAGCTCTTACTTCCTATATGCGTAGCCAGGCAGAAGAAAGCCGGAACATAGATGAAATACACTTCAACCAAGCAATATTTACCACCTCAAGTACTTATTAATCACGCTCCATTCCGATCCGCATCAGTACCATGATTACCTGCATGATCTACTTCTTTCTTTGTCAGTGTCGTTGCTCTCAAATTCCTACACTTTTTCAATAAATTTTCCAACAAGCGGCTGATAATCTTTGCATGCCACCTATTCAACTCCAGATCGAGCCATTTCACTAACAACCTGTTTTCCGCAGCGTTCGCATCCATGAACCGATCAAACGCTTGCAAGTATTACGGTAGTCATTGCTCTCGGAGACCTTGTCCGTTATTTTGGTGAAGTCGTATACCTCTTAAGGATCTGTCTCCCCATCTGCGTTGAATTAACTCAAAAACGCTTCATATATTCTCCTATAGATCTGGATCAGGTGCAGACAGTCGCCAAGATCGTCCGGTATCGTCTAATACTGTATCATCTCCGCCAAGCGCTTCAAGGGAAGGTTATGCATGACAGTTTTACTGAAAGGTGAAAGCAAATGAGGGGCGAACGTTCTCATACGAGGTCAAGACTCGCATTCTAACTCCATGCCATAAAACGCTGTTGTTTGTAACCGGCTTTTATTGATATCATATCAATTGAGTCATGTTGAAGCAACGGTGATCGTGCTTGCCAGGGACTTGAGGCGTTTCTGCTGAATGATCTTTTTCCGCGCCACGATCTCGTCCCTCCTCCTATCCTGCAAAGATTTGTACTGTGCTCTCCTGTTCTCAGTCTAGATTTGGATGCAAACGTGGAGAAAGAAAGAGGTCATTAGAACTGTGTTCCAGCTCAAGAGAAATAAGAATAAAACAAGCGATCTTTCGACTCGCGTTACCTCTGACCGTATCTCCCGCAACTCGCGCATCTGTTTCGCACGCTCCTCATCATCTTGCGAGAACGCGTAAAATCCCACGCCGCGCGCTCGCCTCTCCGTTGCGTTATCGTAATGCCGCGTCGTGTTCGCCAACGAGTACCCTGGAGCTACATTCTGACTTCCGGACCTCGTCAATTCTCCTGTCGCATCTCGGATCCACTCCTGTTTATCGAGCGAGTCTTGCTTCCGAAAGATAGGGAACGGATTCGCAGGATTGTGAATCCTATACGAGGGGTGCGGACGAAATTATTAGCGACGCTAGACAGAGTCCAGAGTCATCTGGAAAAATGACAGCGGGATGTATTAATCTGTACCCTTGGACGTGATTTGCTTCCTCTTCCCGGACAGTTTCTGGCCGAGGTATCTCAGACTGGCGCATGAGTCTTGTCCTCCCAAACTCATCTATATGTTCGACCCATGGATCTTTCTAGTTGATATTGAGAGAAAGTGACGGAGTCAGTTGCTGCAAAGACCTCCAGCTCCAATGCATGAGATAGTGAAGACGTCCTATACATACCGTAAGATCTTTCGGGTTTCTTGCCACCACTAGAGATTCGTCCCTATCCCAATCACTCGACCTACTCCTACTCCTACGCCGTCCACTCTCCCAATCTTGCCTCTTTCTACCACGGAACTCTCTCTCCCGACTCCTGCTCCTACTCCTACCTCTGTACCCACCGTCATCGCTATCACTCTCATCGCTTAGGCGGTCTCGATTCTTATATTCGAATTCCACCAACAATTCCTCACGCAGTCGATCTGGCACATCCTCACCGCGCTTTAACAGCTCATACATCTTCGCCTTACGCTCCATTGCTACCCTCCGTGCGGATTCTCCCTCTGGATCAGCTTCAGTCGGGGACATAGCATCTTGCTTTTGAACACGCTTAGCCAGTCCTGGGTTCTGTCGTTGCCATACAGTCGGTTTCTAGGATACAGCAGAAAAAGAAAATGATGAATATATCAGCGATCTTCTTGCGAACCCTCGATATAGTATTGAGACCCCATGTTCCCCGCTCACCTACCTTGATGGACCTGGGTGCTCTGATACCACCAGCTGCCTTGATCCTTTGGAACTTTTCATCGTGCTTGGCGACCTCTGCAGCCAAGGCGATCAGCTAATATACCATAACAGGGATATTGAGTAAGACGGGGGATACTTCGTGTTATTCGATGAGGGCAACATGTCTAATGAGCTCATATTGTCATGCTTGCGTACCGATGCTGAATCCGTTTGCAAGATTGTGCCCTTCTCGAACTTCTTTTTGTCTCCTGATCCCATTGTGCTTGCGTGCCTTGAAACGTTGTGCTTCCGCAAACTGTGTCTTCGCCCTTTCAGGCTAATACAATTCCTGCAAGTTTGATCACATACCCCTCAAGCGATAGTAATCTGCACGAGTTGCTTCTTCAGTATGATACAATAGACGCGCGATGTTTATGGTAAAGAGTGGGGAGAGGGTGATAATACTGGATGTCTATGAATTGGATGTTGTGCTTAGGTGTATGTGTATGTGTATGTGTACGTGTATGTGTATGTGTATGTGTAGATGTAGATGTAGATGTAAATGTGTGTTCTAAGTGTGGTTATTCGTTCGCAGCTGTGGTAGTGGCATCCGTCATCTCCTGGTCCTCCTCTTCTTCCTCCTCATCTTCCTCGTCGCTCGATCTATTTGACTGTGCTCCACTCGCTGATGTCTGTCCCGCCCTTGTCGTATCTGACGACTCCTGTTGCTGCTGCATCGTAACATCGCTCGAACCTAAGGCAGCCGCCGTAGTAGCCGGCGTCCCTGCAGCAGCTCCCGTCTTCCCCACCTTCTTCGCATTACCTCCTTTCACGGTCGCCAATGCTGCAATGGATTTCGTATTAGCCTTTTTGTTCGTCTTTGGCGCCACAAACTCATCATCATCACTATCGTCCAGATCGGCCTGCGAACTATCCTTCCCACCCTTGTTCTGTCCACCAGGTTGTGTCCTAGCGGCCTCCACTGCTGCGGCGCTCAATTCTGCAACCTCCTCTGCCCTCCTCGCCACATCCTGTTCCTTAGTCGTTGCCTTCTCGATCTCGTCCTCTGGCATAGTCCACGACGCCAATAGATCCTCGTTCTGCTTCTTGATCGGACTGTTTTCAGGCAGCGCTACCATCCATGACTGCATCGCATTCTTCATGAACTCGTGTTGGGCCTTCAGCCGCGCCATTTCCAGATCACGCTTCGCGACCTCGCACTTAAGGTTGCAGATGTAGTCGAAGGACTTCTTGAGGAGAAAAACTTTCGAAGGCGATTTTTCTTGGATGCTGGGGATCATATTCCGAAGATCGTCGAAGCAGTGCTTAAGTGAGTCGCGGCGCTTCTGCTCAGCGGCCTTGTGTGATGTCCGACGCAGCTCGATTCCAGAGTGCAGGTCCGTATTATACGACAAGCCCAGTGCACTAGTTGGGGGATGGATGAGACGAAATTGTGAGGATACCGATGCAAAGAATACGTAGAAAAGGAGACAAATAAAAGTTGTTGTATGACTTACGTATGGTCACCATCGAGGATATTCTGGTAGTTGGACCTGGACGCCAACCGGGCCATTGCCTCGTTGGTTGACACTATGAATATTTTGCAATAGAAAGAATTGTCCATGTCAGCACAAATGTTCTTTCTCGCAACAAATTATGTTGCACAACTGCATATAAATCATTTGGTACGTACCCCCTGGCAACCATGGTTTCAAACTGGGCGAAACCAATTGCGGCTGCAGCCGCGGAGACACTAATATTGACTGACTACCTCGATGCTGTGGCATCAGAGTGGGTTTCAGCGCTGGCGAGATCAGTGCAAATCCATTCGGTGGCGGCGCCATCGGTGACATGGCCGCTGTTCCCGGCGTCAAGGCTAACTGCCGCGGAGTACTTGGCGCGGCTATCATGGCATCACCATTCGCCTGCCGCTTCGTTCCCCTCTTCTGTGCCGTAACCGATGGGGCCATCGCCGATTTCGTAGATGCTGCAGAGTCGTTATTCGCATTAGGTGGTAAACGCGATGGAGAACCTGCTGTTTGTTGCTTTGTCTTCCCATGAACTCCGAATTTAGGTGACGATGGTGTGGACTCCGTGCCAGAACCCGCGCCCAAGTTCATCAATGATGCGGGAGTGACAGGAGCAAGTGCGGATTTTGGTGTCTCTACAGCCGAAACAGTGCCGCCATTAGTGGTCGCAGATATAGGGCTTGCCGCAGCCGTCTCATTCGTGACCGATCCCGCTGCTGAAGCCGGTACAGAAACCGGTGCAGCGATAGGCGCCGATGGTGTATTGATACTATCCGCAATGGCCTGCAACGCCGGCGATGAGACAAAGGGCTGACTTAGAGCAGAGATTGGCTGGTGAATCGAAAGCTGATGTTGGCTTTGGATCTGAATTGGCTGCTGTGGATGGGCGAGGCTGCGCTGCCTCGGGGTATTATTCATCTGTGTCGATCCAGATGGCAGCATCATTGGTGAACTCGGCGGCGGCATCATGTGTGAAGCGGGCAGGGCAAACAACGCAGGGCTCTTGGATCCGTTAGTAGAGCTAAGCATTGCCATCGGTGACGAAGGCACCATCGACAGCTGGTGCATATTCGTCACCAGTCGCGGCGAGGGAGACGCTTGCGCAGCTTGTGACAGCGATGGCTGGGAAGTCGAGATGAGCAGCGGTGATGGGCTGGGTCGAGTTGGGAAGTGCATGATCAGTGGAGACGCCGGCGCTATGGACGAGGATTTGCTGCGGTTAGCCTGCTGCTTCCGGAGTGTCGCCGGGGACATAGGGTTGGTCAATGGTCTCAGAGCAGGCGAGCTCTTCGGGAGGGCACCACGGACAGGTCCAACAGTTCGAGGGGTAGTTGAGTTCAAGCCATTGACGCGCTCTGCTGTGGTCCTCCGCTTCATAGACGGTCGCTGGGAGTTGAGAGCGGGACTTCTGGCGGGCTGTGATGTATGAATCTGCTGTTGCTGTTGGAGCTGTAAGGAAGCCTGCTGCTGCTGACTTTGCTGTGCCAATTCTGGCTGAGGCTGAGATTGAAGCTGATGCAAATGATGCTGGAGATGCTGCTGTTGCGTCTGAGCCTGGTGGAACTGTGTCGGCAGTTGACTAAAGGTCTGGCCGGAGAAGGACAGATAATCGATAGAAGTCCGGTGCGGCTGCAAAGCAGGCGAGGTAAGTGGCGAAAAGATCTCGTTCGCGGTCGATAGGGCGTGAGTAAGGTTCGAGTAAGGATGGGATGGGGTCATCGCCGGCGAGATCAACGGCGTAAAGAAAACCTAGAGCGGAATTCAGGTACATGTTCAAGTCAGGTCAGTACAGCGCCCAAATCGGAGCCTGGATGAGGGTGAAAAAAAAAAAAAAAAAAAAAAAAGCCTAGCGCCGGAGTTCGGTTCTCACCTCGTCGTCTTCAAATTGGTCAGTGATCATCATGGCTGCATCCGAGGTCGTATCGGGCTGAACTGCGAGCGGCGACATGTACTGAGTGTAGTCAGTGGAGTAGTACTCACTGCCAGCAGGGGTGAGCAATTGATTAGGCTGAGATGTCGGCAATGATTGGATCTGTTGCTGTGGTTGTTGCTGCTGGAGTTGCTGTTGGTGGATGTTTTGCTGTTGCTGATTAAACTGTTCTTGTTGTTGTTGGTGCTGCTGCTGTTGTTGTTGCTGCAAAAACATTTGCTGTTGCTGTTGCTGCAATTGCTGTTGTAATGAAGTATTCACAAGGTTGACCTTATCAGGGTTCACCGGGAAGATGGGTGTTGTCGATGCAGAGGCAGTGGTCAGCATATCTGAGTTCAATGCCGAGGGGTGAAAATCGAACGCTCTTGGTGTAGAAGGGTCCTCGTCCATCAACTGTGTCTGGTTGATACTGTTACTGTGATTATCTTGAAGAAGCATATTGTGAAGTTCCTGCTGCTGGCCCTGCTGCTGTTGTTGTTGAAGCTGTTGCTGCTGAAGTTGCTGCTGAGTTGAATCAAACGAAAAATCGTTTAGCGTGAGCTCCAGCCCTCCTTGGTCGAGGCTGTATGAGCCGTCAAAGTTGAATGCCATTATCGTCCCCTGCGCTTTCCGTGATTGCCGAAAAAGCTGTATTCCAATCGCTTGCTATCCGAGAAATAGTATCTGCTTGCTAAAGGATCAGTCAATGAGACTGCAAAGCGAAGCAGTGGAAAAGAGGATATACGGAGCCCAGGGTGTCCTGCTGATAGGTACTGTACTGCTTGCCGCTACAGAGTGTTCAACGCAAGGAAGAAAGATGTCCTCTGTGTCCCTCTATACGCCCGCTACGGTATGTGGAGTAGGCCAAGCAGAAAAAGATAGATCGAGAACTGAGGCCTGACCCTGAGAGGAATTGTGATTTGCAGCTCCTGGCTGATGAAAGAAGATGAAGGGGTGGGTGATTCAGACAATGAGAATGACAAGAGACAAGTTAGAAAGCGAGGCCCTGCAGCTGCAACTCAAAAAAATTCGCCATCGTCCATCCCTTCGTTTGAAATAAGCATTTCTTATACTGAAACCGCTCCTCTCCTCTTACTTGCGCTGAATCAATCAATGTACCCACCCCAAAGCGAGTAGGGATGCCTCTTATCGATGCCCTTAACTCTTCTTTTTTTGTCTCTCTTGCTGGAATTAGGAGCTGAATCAGGGGCGAATAATACCTTGTCAAAGATAGTCGAAAGGAGGGCTCCTGTCCCTGTGCTGCTGTCTATTGCTGAATGGAATTTAGTTCGAGTGTGTAGATCTTCAATGGGATTGCAGCAGCGCAGAACCGGCTGGAATAAGGCAAGGTGAAGGAGTGAAGACGAAGAAAGAGAAAAGAGAGAATTGATTCGAGATCCACGTCCACTTGGATCTTTTCTGTGCAACTCTTTGAGGTCGTTCTGTCACGAGTAAACTTGGTTCTTCTCGTTTTGTTGCCCCGACCCTCCTCACACCTCCCACAACCAAATTCAACTAATTTGACAAGCATGTATAGGCGTATAGAAGTACTATTGACTGTGAGACTTTCGTCTACAAAATTATCCTCGACGGCCAACTTAGTACTATCTCCTCACGGCTTCTCTTTGCATCGTTGATTCTCAGGCCGGTACCTCGAACAAAGATAAAATCCCAGGTCATTCGTCTCATTTTGTTTTCCTGAGAAGAGTCCTACGTCCGTCGATCTGCTCCCTCAGTTTCCTTTGGCTCTCCGGCTGCGTTGTGCGCTCTATTATCGATCCTCGTTTCCATTTACAAGCATTTTAATTTTGGTCCGCCCATGATTGGCAATTTCTATGCACGTTCGTGAATTCTGGGCTTTGATTGGCTGCTGCATTTTGTCACCACTAGGATTTATGCCCTGGAGGAACTCGCTTCGTTCAGGACATGTCTCCTCGGCGATAAAGGCACCCGGCACAAAACCGAATCCACTGCTCACTTACTCGGGTATCCCGACACGGCGCCGACAGCTTCTTCGCAACACGAAGAAAATCTTTTCCAAAAAGGGTGCAAATCCAGGATACGGTGCTCGAACCTGTAAGCCAGCTGCAACGTCGAATCCTTCCCATGCGGCATTCTTTAATAATAATCACGAACAAAACAGCCACAGCAGAAAGTGAGCTTCATTACGTTTGAAAGAAGCCATGCGTTTCCCATGATGTGCATAAATTGTATGTGCTGCAAACGCTAACGAACATGCGACCTGGTAACCGCGTTAGAACCGGTGCTACGTATATGGTCTGTGCTGCATAACGCCCCACTATTTCTTTGATCGCGGTGCTTTTGTTCTTTCGGTGAACTTTGGCAAGTAAATATAGCTTGCGTACTCGAGATCAAGTAGATGATGCTCATGCTGCGTACTGTTTATGCAGGACCCTGCCAGCAGGTGAAAAAATAACAACGTGGTTTTGAGTTAGCACAACTGTGCCGTGCATACAAAGTGTACGAGAAGTAAAAATAAAGCTGTCGATGTTAGTCAGCTAGTCAGCTAGTCAGCTTTCGGCAAATAACAGATGTTGAAATGCTTGTTGACTGATGAAGATATCGCGATAAGAGTACCGCATAGAATGACAAAGCTGGCTCAACGGGCCCTCCATTCAATCGACATTAGGACCGGCACGACCTGCACATTGTAAGAAATGCCACGCGAGTCCTGTAATACCTATCCAGGGCAGGGAGCCCAGTGTTGATTCCAGCTGCGTCAAGTTCTGCGCCTAGCTCTTAACTTCAACGACCTAATCGAGATGATTGCTCAAACGACCTTGCCATTTGCGCCTTTCTATTCAATGCTCCTTTGTGCCTCAAGAGGTCTGACAAAAGCGCAACCGCACGGACAATGTACAAGTAGCGGAGCAACAAAGCATCGGATTTCCCAACTCATACACCAAAGAAAGAAAATCCTTTATGACGCCAAACAGCCTTTTTTTTTTTCTTTGTTTATAGCAAAAAAAAAAAAGGTTCTCTTGGACATTTAGTGCTGCTGAGCACAGCCATAATACGTTGTTTTGATAGTTGACAGAATATAAATGATGTTTTTATTGCTAAGTATATTACAGTGAGGATGCAAATGCGAGTGGGTATATAAATATGATAGCGCCTAAAGGAAGGCTTCGAGGCCTTTTGTGCGGCGATGTGCTATTAATGGATGAATGCGGAGGCAGCGGCATCACTCATGGACTTTCGCATAACCATGTCGAGGGCCTGCTCGCGAGTCATCTTTTCAACCTGGCCCTGAGCGGGACGCTGTTCCTGCATGGAGGTACGAGGGGTCTGGGCTGGGGTCGAGGCAGCGGAGGCGGATTGGTTCTTAGAGGACTTGAAGAGAGGCATGGCTGAGATTGGTCTTGTTGGCTGATTGGTTTGGGTGTTGGTAGAGGAAGAGGAAGAGGTATTGTTTTGGTAGACTTGTTTGGTTGTGTTGCGAATGAGGAGCGGGATTCACATTTAAATACTGAAAACGAACGAACACACGGGTCATGCTTTGTTTCTAATCTTAGACATGCGATGACGGAGCATGGGCCATGCCGGATGTTCTGATGAGAAAATCGGCGAAGGAATGAAAAGAAAAAATAGCGGGCGGAGTGTCGAAATGATGAAAAAAGCGCGCACGGCTTCCGTGCCTGAGGAGATTAAAAAATGCTGCGGGATGGCGGGCAGTAAATTTGGACAGGATGATGGGAACAAAAGGCATGCCTAGAAAGGAAATTGGACATGGTTCATAAAAATAAGCATTCCTCAAAGAGGAGTTACTAAACCCCTTCACTGACAGGCGTCTCTTCCTCCAAACGTTCGAGTAAATCGATTCCCCCCCAATGCGTCACCCCACTTTCCTCCGCCGCAATCGACACTACTGCGTCGTTGTCCGACTCCTTCCTGGAACAGAGACAGGGATAGCGTCTGCCCCAAACACGATTCTCCGAAAGACACAACATGATGACTGAAGTCCTCACTTTTAGCAAACCTCGCTGATTAAGGCATGCTCATGACCGGACTGCTTCAAAAGGCCACGTACCCTGTATTCTTACCCATCGTTCTACTCTGCCTTGCTTCTGCATCGCTGCGGTTTGTATGGAATCATTCTCAACATTTCATTCACGATTTTAATGCCCGAAACGCTGAGTCTGGTCAAATGCATGGGCCAACACAACCCCATCCCTACTGAACCAACCATCGTCGACTTTGCCTCCCACGACCCGCGGCATTTAAATGCTGGATCACCCCCAAACCCCTCAAGCGTATGAACTACCGTAAAGAGTCCGCCTTTGGGTCGAGGGAAATGCTGAGTGTACTGAGTTCTACTCTAGCATGACTTAAGCGCGCGTAAAGACGTTTGTCTAGACTCCGCATGTCTTGAGCATGGACGTGAATCGGGTCTCGCTGAGATGAAAACGAGCCGAGTCATCATTCTCAAGTAAGAATAAGTAAGAGATGTGTAAAGAGTAGCTAAGAATGGAGTCCAAGGCGCTTTTTTTTTTTTTTTTTTTTTTATATATAATGGACTCGACCAGATGGCGCCATATCTCATCACCAACAGCACTCCACACATCTCCAATATGCCATTCTTCAAGCGCCCAAGCAAGAACCAGACCAGCTCGGCTGCCCAGACTCCCGTGCAAACCCCAGCCCAGACTCCTAGAACTTCGATGCAGGAACAGCGTCCTCAAGGCCATAAGCACCAGAGTGCGATGACCCAAGACGAGGCCATGCTCATGATCATGCAGACCAAGATGTCGAACGCTGCCTTTGGTCCCTTTATCCAGTAGCAGCTGATCCCTCCTCGGAGCCTCAGCCCCATTCCCACCATTCTACACATCACACAATATCCTAGCATTTTAATAAACAGCACTTAATACTTTACTGAATTTCCTTTTGAACATGCAACATCAGATACCATGACCTTAGTCAATAAACACGTCAGGCACAGAACACGTATAAACGGCTCCGTACAGCATATTGGATAGGTTGAACTCCACAGCTTTGTTTATAATTATGCATTGCCTTCCATTCTTGGCGCTTTTCTTTCGACGTTTACCTTTCCCATCCTTATTTGTCGCGCAAAACATCCCACAAATGCTTGACACCATCCATCGCTTCCATAAGAGCATCCGCTGAGGAAAGAAAAATTCAGACGCCGAAATAAAAATCTGAGCGCGGCATAGAGGCACATACCAGACATGTTTGCCGCGCGCGCGGCATTTATTTCGAACTCCAGCAAACAGCTACGGGCATAAGTCGACGAGTGCAGACCGCGCCGGTGCATCCTAAATTTGATGCCCAGGCAACCGTAGAATAATCTAGGGGCCCATGCTCCATTCATTCCTTGGCCGTTGCAAATGGAAGTGCCAAGAATAGAAACTCCGCAGACGTGGAAGAAAACGACTATGTATAAAAGAGGTCTCTTTTCCCTATTTTTTTTTTCCTCACTCACAAAGCATCTCCCAACAGCGCAAAGCAACTCAAACCAACCAAACTCTCAAGTACCCATCCTTCCCTCAAGTTTCAACAATTTTAGCCATGCCTTTCTTCAAGTCCAACAAGAACAAGACCTCCTCTGCTGCCTCGACCCCAGCCCAGACTCCAGCTCAGACTCCTCGCTCCTCGATGCAGGCTGCCCGCCCCAAGCAGACCGGCACGCTGACACTCGACCAGGCCATCGATATGGCGATGCAGAAGTCGACTTACAACATGACCGCTGGTTCCAACCTCCTGTAATGTGTCACAGCGAGGCACCCCACTGAGGTTCTCCTATACCCAGAGGAAAAAAAATCCCCCTCCTTGCATTCATCAACACCAGCATTACTAGCATCGTCGTTCCGATTTGTATAACAACCCTCCCATAACAATAAAAACACCAGCTGTTTCCCAGTAAAAACATATCTTCGTTTGTTAATGCCATACGTATGCTTTTTTTTTTTTTTTTTTTTTTAAAAAAAAAAAAAAAAGTGCTGTAGTGATTCCGATTTGGTCGCGTTAAGCGCTGGGAACATGCCTACGCACACAAACCCCCAAGGAGAAACATGAAAGGCGTAAACCCATTAAATCTACAAAAAAAATCGTTTATTAACTTGAATAAGGATGGGAAATAGTACTATGGGTCGTTAAAGTGTGGAGTCGTAACAAAAAAAGTCGAAAAGAATAAATGTCTTTGATCATCAAACGCGTCTTTGCGCATTGTGCCTCATCGCCCTTTTGATTTTTGAGGACGACCTTATCCAACGTAGGGACCGCAGGCGGCGTTGTTCACAGTCCTTCGCATGATACGAAACAGGGCTTGATCGACGGTCATAACAGGACCCGGGCATCCATGGCGGGCTCCTTCCAGCGAGGCACGAGACGGCTCTGCGAGCGAGGTGGTTGGGGTCGTGCTCTGGTTTTTGGGAGAGGTCAACTTGAAGAGCGGCATGGTCGGGATGTGGTAGATTAGGCGTGGATTGTCTGTTGTGTGATTTTTTAACTGCTGCGTTGAAGGAGGAGAATTGGGATGGTCATTGGTGATCGTATTTATACTCGCGTCGAGCCAAGTCATTTCAATGTCCAGAACCCAACTCGGCGATGGCTTCTTACGAGCATGCTGTTCGGAGACATTGTCCACCAAATGACTTCCATTTCTAGCAATCAATGTCTTTTGCAGGAGCAAAAGAGCTATCCCGGGATATTATGGATGTTTTATTAAGCTTGAATTCCGTGAAAGGGTTCCTAAACGCTGGTCAAACGTGCCGCGGTTGGAAAACTTTAAAGAAAGAAAATGTCTAGGGATTTGAGCGGTAGACAAATTAGCCGAATTCTCGTTTTCTGACTGTCAGCGAATATAGAACGCACGTAGAAAACCATAAGCCTTGAGAAGCGTAGGGTCGGATGCTCTCGGCAGCATCGAATACGTACTATGGAATACATACACGGCATGGCAACCCATTTAAGCGACCTCTTCTTTCTTTTTTTCCCCATGAACTTGAAGTAGCATACGAGAAGCAGTAGTAATAACTAATGCGATACATTGGGAACAGCGCGTCTCAGGTCTGGATTGACAACCTCATTAAGTATAAGTCACGAAGAAGGGCTATGGTATCGCAAGGAAAATTAAGGGACCCTATAGTCGAAAAGACCTGCTTATCATATAGTCTTTGCGTGATAGGCGTGAGGGCTGCGGTGTGTCCGCGTAAGAGTACTAGTAAATGAAGGTAGATGTTATTTGGAGGCGCCAGTGACTTTGCCCATATCTGCTTGCTTTCGACAGGGATATAAGTGTGCTGGCGGGTACACCAGCAAAGTGCTTGTCTAGCAGGACTTTGAAGCCCAAACGATCTAAGTCCCTTTTGTTTTGTTGGCGACTATCTGCTTTACAATTACCCTGACCTTCTCAACTGGTTGAAGCTTGTAAGCGACCGTTCTTTGCTGAGATGTCGAAAATTGTGCATGTTGATCGATCGGGGAGGTCTCCAATGTACTTCAACAGCTCTGCTTTGTTGAGGTTCCATTTAGCCTTGTTGTTACAAGGAGTTCATGGCCGCCACATTAGCAGATTTGGTGGGTTTCTTGTTGAGTGTGCGGAATGGTATGACGCGCCATCGAGGTGGATATTACAAGGGTCAAACCTCATTTTAGTGAAGTTCCTGCACAGCTTCTCGAATACGCCATCAAACACATCGGCTGTGAAGTTATCATGATAGTCGCGATTGTCCGCAATGATGCCAGCTTCTCGGATTTCCTTTGGGACCTCTTTCCATAATCCAGCCTCATATTCCCCACCACGATTTGTTGCCCCGAGATGAGTCTTCCCGATCGCCGGCCAGATGTGTACGCTATCCTTGACGAACCGAGCCTGCAACGGCTTTCTGACCCTGCTCCACCTCATAATGAATGCAGCAAATATAACAAGCAGGAGTTTCCGACCAAGCTCTGACACGGTCCCACCCTTCTTTGGGACCCATCGATTTGTCGCAGCATGGTCGAGGTGGCAGTACGATTCGTCCATAAAAACCTCAGGTTGAAGTGGCCGGAGCTTGTGCTCTTTGCCTGCCCAGGTTCCGTAGGTGGCGCTCAATATACTTGAGCCGATAATCTACGTTTAGTGGTGCATCGCGTAACATGGAATTTGTACAGGTTCTGACGCTAGAGATTGTGCGGGTGTACATTGAAATTTTTTTGAATTGATTTTTTTATTATAAAATCTGAGAACACTATAGGGACTGCATTTTCGGCGGACAAGAATTTCAGGCTTGGTGAGTTTTTGAATTGGTTTTCTATTGTAAAAATATTTGGTCGCGACTTCTTGGCGAGGAGTCTGTTCAGTTGTTTTTTATTTTATTTTTTTACGCGTCTTTGCAGTGTTTAGTGGACGCGTGAGGCTTGTGACAGCTAAATAAAGACGGCCAAGAGGACGTGCGCGTAGAACTTGTCTCTTCCCTTTCTGCCCTGCCTTCTCCTCCTCCCTTCATTGGCCCCTCCCTTCATTGGCCCCTCCCTTCATCGGTCCCTCTCTTCCTGGTCGCCCTCCCTGGTCCGCCCTGTCAAGGTTGCTGAAAAAGGTAATGGTAATGATGTGCTTGGTCCGAGTCAAGATCGAGCAAGGCGGTGTTGAGCTACATGGGTGGAAAACACGTCACTCCCCAGCTCTCTGCTGGCCTGGGTTGTCCACGTACTGGCTACGGTGCGTCGGGCTCTTGGGGTTGGAAGCATGTCAGTACACCTTGGGCCAACACACTCACATCGCCGATGACCAGAACCGCAGGGGTACGTATCTTGTGCGTATTTCGTGCGGGGCTGTCTGCGCTTTAAGCGGTGCTCTTTCTGTTTCTTTTTGTTTGGCTTCGCAGACCTGGCTTTTGTCTTGAGAGACACTAGCTCCAGGTTCAAGTTGTCTTTCGGATGAAGAGCCGTCCATTTGGGTGACGAGTTGCTCTTTCGGGTGGCAGGCACGGGAGACAACATGCACATGTACTTGATATGGGTGGAGCGAGCAATCCTTCATTCGTGCATGGCTTTGCCACTGGGGAACACAAGATCTTGGGCTGTTTACAGCTCTCATTAACCACTACATTTTTTCTCAGCCTTATGACACCCAGTAGGCAACGTCCGATCTGTCCTCTTGGTATGGTTTGTCCACTACGCTATGATGGTTCGATGGTTTCTGTTCATTTTTCTTTAGGTTTCTTCTTGGCCCAACCTACAGCAGCAGGTTTGGAGGCCTAGGTGAGAAACGAAGACATTGCAATACTGCATATCCACATTCACAAGTATATTAGCTGTTCCATTAGCAACAACAATAAAGTGAAGAGAAGCATGAAGACACGCGTCCATAATGAGCTGCTTAGCCATTGAAACTGCAAGGAGGCTGCTGGTACTCGTCTGCTAGTGATGGGCTGCAAGGAGAACTACGAGTGAACCATAGCACGTACGGCCACATATGGGTCTCCATCTTCAGGAGCAGGCTTCTCGTATTCCCTATTGTATCCACTCAGTACAACGCGTAACATCACCCCATGTCCAGTTGCTCATGCTGCAATAAAGCGTTCGTCTTTACGATTTATTCTTATGCGTTGTGGTATGGATCACCTCCATGATGGATACAGAGAGCAATATCCCATATGGAGCATCGACATTAGACCATAGCAGACCTCTGCGACCTCGAGGTCGTAGCTCCAGAGGTCCAGTGCAGGTCCACGAAGCAGCCTAAAATGGCCCACAGCACGGTATCTGTTCTCCGCCAAGTCATGAGCCCTGGTGGCGGACGCGGCTCCTGTCTCGAAACGACTCTACACACACGACCGTGACAGGATGTCTTGGTTATGCTCCACTTACAGTCAGTTCGGAATCACTCCACAACCCTGCAAACGAACGAACAAACCAATGAAGAGCAACCAAGCTATATCACGTCTCGACGGAAAGTGCGGGTAGGCACAGCAATCGGAAGCTTAACAGTGACCAAGATGTACGGGTTGCGAAATGCAGATGCGGATTTAATGGAGCAGAGCTATAATGTACACGGTATGGTATATGAGGCTACAGAAGCTGAGTGGCCATGGGGATCTTTTAAAGGAGACTGGGACCAGTGGCGATGCTATAGCTCGATTTTTTCATTGCCAGATCGATGACCTGATCGAGGGTCAGGAGGTTCGACTGGTTGGCAGTGCGGATTGTTTGGATCGACGAGCGGGGGGTCTGGACTGGGGTCGAGGCAGCAGAGGAGGTCTTGTTCTTGTTGGACTTGAAGAAGGGCATGGCTGAGATTGGGTTGTTGCTTGACGGAGAGGAGATGCTGTTGGTGATGATGAAGATCTTGAGTTGGTTGCTTGGAGTGCTTGAGTAGCTTGAGTAGCTTGAATAGCTTAAGATGCTTGAGGTGTTGAGATGAAGAGCAGCAAGAAGGTGGGGAATGCAGACATATTTATACACACGAAAGGAAGAAGCACTGCGTTCTTTTTCGGAGGAAAAAAAAGAAAAAAAAGACAAAGAATAACCCTCCCAGAACAGGTGCGGTTCTTTCCAGGAGTGTGCAAGTCCGTTTGTGCACCTGCAGTGCCGTATGTCTCTTGGCCACTGTGTGTGTTCGGTATCCCCACTACGTGACATTGCCTTCCATTCTTAGCACCATTGGACCATTGGGGCGATGGATGCTTAATTTGATACCGCGCAAGTGCTTGTTGTTGCCCTAATATGTCGTGCAACCCCTGGCGCGGCTTTATTTCTGGACTGGGCATGTTCTCCACTGCGTTCTCGGCAAATAAAATTGACATCACTGCTTCTTGAGAGCACATTGCCAGGGCGAAGAGTAGAAATGAGCGACGGCGGGGGGGAGAATTAAGGTTGCCGAGCCAAGCGCGACAGTTTCTTCACGCTCCGCTTCTCCGCTGGGTCTAACTGCGGGCCCGCAGAAGACGGCTGCGGTTGCAGTTGGCGTGCGTGCGTGCTATTACTGTGCGTTGCGTTGTTGCTTGGCTGTCAAAGCAGTGCCAAGGTCCGAAGCACTCAGGGAATCATAGCGGACAGGGACGTATAAAAGGGACCGCGGTTCTCTGTTTCTTTAAGTTCCTCATCCACAAACGCAACTGACAACAGTCCAAAGCAACTCCACTCAAGCAGCTCAAGGCTTCCATCATCACCAACAGCATCTCCTCTCCGTCAAGCAACAACCCAATCTCAGCCATGCCCTTCTTCAAGTCCAACAAGAACAAGACCTCCTCTGCTGCCTCGACCCCAGTCCAGACCCCCCGCTCGTCGATCCAAACAATCCGCACTGCCAACCAGTCGAACCTCCTGACCCTCGATCAGGTCATCGATCTGGCAATGAAAAAATCGAGCTATAGCATCGCCACTGGTCCCAGTCTCCTCTAATGAGGAGGCGCGCGTTCCACTAGACATTCCCTCATATCCAATTCTGCATTCAACATCACATCAAATTGTACAATAGTTCCTGAACAAATAATAAAAGCTACTAGTTGGTAGCGATATAACAAAGACATCTTCCTCCACGATGACGACGCACGAGATCTGCAGCTGCGTAGAGATTATTTAATAAGGTACCTCGCTAGAGATCTGAAATTCACAAGTGCTTTAGTTGACCCGCTTGCCGTGTCCCTTCCACTCCTGCTCACGCAGAATATATTTCTGGATCTTGCCCGTGCTGGTCTTTGGCAACTCCTGGAGCACAACAATAGACGAGGGACACTTGAATCCTGCCATGCGTTCCTTGCAGAATGCGATTAATGTGGGGCCATTCACGATCTTCTCCTTTGGCAGTCCAGGCTTCAAGACCACAAATCCCTTAGGGGTCTCTCCCCAACGCTCATGGGGGATAGCGACGACAGCGACTTCAAGAACGGAGGGATGCTGCGAGATGCACGACTCGACCTCCAATGTCGAGATGTTCTCGCCTCCACTGATAATGATGTCTTTCTGACGATCCTGGATAGCGATATAGCCGTCGGGGTGGCGGACTAGTTCATCAGAGGTGACAAGACATCCAAGTTAGTCACTTTTTTTTTTTTTATTGTACCTCAATAAATAACGAGTTGCGTAGAGTCAATTCTTACCTGCAAGATCACCACTGTGGAACCAGCCTCCGTCGAATGCCTTTGCAGTAGCTTCCGGGTCATTATGATAGCCCTATAATTTTAAAGGATATAGCTCTCGTCAGTTTCATCCTTTCCGCACATCCGGCATTTGATCCAATTTTCCTTGCAACCTAACACAGGTTCATGCCTTCATGACGAGGTTGCCTCTGAAGACGATCTCTCCGACCTCCTTTCCGTCCCAAGCAACATCCCGCATCTGTGAATCCACGATTCGAACGTCGTCCGAGACCAGGTACACATGGCCTTGTCTTGCAAACTGTTTGGCGCGGTCTTCCAAGTGCATGTCATCCCAATGGGGCTGTGGATACGACTTCGTGATGGGACCGTAGGTCTCGGTAAGTCCGTAGACGTGACAGATATCCATGTTGAGTTCCTTCATACTGGCAATCAATGTCGCCGTGGGCGCAGATCCCGCAACCGTGCAGTTGATGGGCTTAGGAAGCTTGACTGCCCTGGGATGATGAACGACCTGGATCATGATAGTGGGTGCGCCGTTCATATGCGTAACATTCTCTTTGAGCAGAATGTCCCAGATCAGGTCATAGTCGATCTTACGAATCATAACATGGGTCGCTGAAAGAGGATGGAGTGCAAAGGTCAGACGATGCACACTTAATATTTTGTGCACATGTGTTTTATGGCAGAAAAAAAATCGGGTTGACCCTGTACCTGCAACGGCTGTTACGGCGTATGGGAAAATCCAGCTGTTGGCGTGAAAAAGTGGAACGATAAACAAATGCACCGATTCCAGACTCAATTTCGCCTCGATTGTATTGCCGAGGGCTGACAGATATATTCCACGGTAGGTGTAGAGCACACCCTTGGGTTTTCCTGTAGTGCCACTATAGAGGCAGGAAGTCAAGAAACGGGTATTGTTAGCATCAGCATTGCCAAATGACATTTGCTTTGAGGCCGAAAGGATAGATACCTTGTGTAGCACAGGGAGACGGCGTCATCCTCATTGTCTGTTTGATCGAGGCCACTCCAGCCCAAGGTGTCAGCCTTTGAAAGTCCCTTTTGCAAAAACTGTTCATAAGGGTCCGTGGGCATGCCGGAATCTTCGATGAAGACCTTGGGCAACTTAGAATCCTGGACTAGGTTCTTAAATTCCATGTCACACAGGATGGCCTTGGCGCCCGAATGCTCAAGGATGTAGGCAACCTCAGCGGGAGCCAGGCGTGTATTAATGGCGCAGATGACGGCATTGGCACCAGGGATACCAAAGTGGGCCTCGAGCATGGCAGGAATGTTGGGTGCGATCACAGCGACACGATCACCTCGCTCGATGCCCATTTGTTCTTTGAGAGAATAGGCAAGAGCGACAGATCGTCGGTTGAGCTCCTTGTAGGTATAACGTCTGTTGCCATGGATGACGGCCACCTTTGAAGGATAGATCGTAGCACTGCGAGCGAGGAAATGTACAGGGTTCAGCTCGGACCTGTTGGCGACTTCATTGGCGGGCTTGATGCGATCTAGCAGCGGAGACAGAAGGCAGTAAAATTAGTCAGTGCATGTGGCAAATGCTTTGGTGGTAACTGAGGCGGCAGATGTACTTTGGGGGGACAAAGGGATCTGCAAGGGGAGGGAGGGAGTACATACGAGGAGCGTGAGTAAGGTTTTGAGAGGGAACACCCATGGTGTTTTGAATGTGCAGGATGCGTTCCTTCGCAATGAGGGTTGAATTAGATGCCATGTTGAAATGAGCAGGTTAGGGTAGAGTGGGGAGGGCGACAAAAAGGTCGGGGAAGGGGTGAGGGTGAGGTGGAAGGCGGCAGGGCAAGAGAAAAGTGAGGGGATGCGGGGGAACCGGGTTCCTTTTAAACCTTTCGAGCAGCCTGTGAGAAAAAAAAGGGAGGGCAATAACACAGGGGTCTGTACCCCGTACGTGAGTGGGGAAGACAGCTTGAATGCTCCGTGTACATGTTAGATACCAGCGTTTCGTTCCTGTTCCTGCTCCTGTTCCTGTTCCTGTTCCTGTGATGCCCTGCCTCGACCGCTTATCAGCGCAAAGCTCTCTTGTGGGGTATGTTGATTGAAGTCTGTCCTCTCCACAAGGCAGCGTCCCGCCAATCGCATTACGCGAAGCGGAAAAGGACTCAGAACCTTGTTTTCGGGTGCTGTCGATCCGTCAGCTGATGACTGCCCACAGTTTGCGCCCAATAAGCTCAGACCCAGGGACTGAGTTGGGGATCTTCCTTTGAAGAGGGTTGAAGTTGTTTACCAACCGGGAAACCAGGCCAATCGGCAACTGCCTTTTGTTTGGTGGCGAGGACACACTTGTCCTCGATTCCGGAGCTTCCATTTTCTTTCCTCAGTGCCAAAGTTCATACGCATGCATCCGAGAACCTTGTAGTACGGCTGTCCATGACCAGATCGCAAGGGCACTAATGCCATAGATCGTTCTCTGCTCTATGATGCAGGGGAGACAGCAGTGGGTCATAATGGTTGTGTAAGAGGGGATCGGACCCTGAATGAAGCGCAAACATTTTAATTTTTCAGGCACCCATGGTCCCATGCTGTCTGTGCCCCAATGCGCCTCCTGGTCCTTCTTTTTTGAACACATTTAGAACGATGCTCTCTTGTCTCCCTTCCTCCTTTTTTTTTTTCTTTCTTTCCTCTTCACCCCTTCTTCTGTATAAGGTGCATTGAAACGTTACATTGGCAGAGGCAGAGGCAGAAGTGGAGACGAAGAACAGTTCAACGACATATTCGTAAGCAGCCTACAGTGTCGTATATGTACATGAAGCACTCTCCCTTAGAGGCTGGATCCACGGATGGTTAGAGAGAGGATTGTCGTAAGCACTTGGAATACTTAGTCCCACTCAACCCCCTTGATCGCATTTCGTGATTACTCTGGCTGTCCTCATGGAGTTGCATCGACTTTTCTGCATTCCTCTTCTCTTGACCGAACACACTCAACCCTTGTCTTCTTTTATGTTCTCTTATCACTCTTGCTTCGACCATCGATTATACAATTGTTGCTTCAACTAAATATTTATTCTACCGTGCCAATAGCAACGGAACACATTTAGCTGTAGATGGCGGGAGCGTACAAGCATCAATTGACCTGAGATCATTATTGCAGCGACATACCCTATCTTGCTATCTTGCTATCTTGCTATCTTGCTATATGTTTATCCGGTATTTCTGCATCTCATTTGCGGACTTTATTATTAGGGTAGAGTTGTTTCTGGCTATTTGTGTTCCTTCTCTTCCTCACCTCTTCTCATCAGTTCATTGCAGCCCACAATCTTTTGTCCGCCACAGTTTATTGTCTCTTTTCATATAGTCATAACACACTTCTATCCGGTTTATTGCGAAAGAATACAGCGATTCGATTGAAGCAGTAGGATACAATGCCAACTTCCACTGACTATCCCGCCTCCTACTCTCCAAGTTCGTCCTCATCCCTCACCATTATCGCATCGCCAGCTCCTTCGTATGTCTCCCCAAACCTGCACTCAAAACTGAGGTCGTTCTTCAAATTTGGTGGGGGCAAGAACGAGTCCCCAAATGACTACTATGACCCAGCATTAACGACCTCAACCCAGTTAAAGTCAGAAAGTCGGAAGTCGGTAAGTTTTGTCTGATTAGTCTTCTCCATTTCGAAACGAATGAATCAGTGGAGTGAGGAAACTTCAAGAACGTCATAAAATAAATGAAATAAGGAGACATCTCAAAACACTAAGTCCATAATCCATGTACTGTATACATGTACACCTTGGGGAGGATATAGTTGCAAATATGTTAAGAGAGTGCATGCAATGGGTTATTTTTAAAAGAAAGATGTGTGTGTTTACCATGGGCTTACAATAAGGGATGCAATTGAGTGGTCCAGGCAATTGAAAGTAGCACGTTGCATCAGCCAACTCTGTTCCTGGCTGGCTCTGTTTCGGGCTAATCAATCAAATTTGCTAATTTGTCATACGGCGGAAATGAAAAGTGTCCCTATTAGGGTTCGTAATTCAATAAAGGCGCTCCTTTTCTAGCCTTACTTTGCCATTGTCCATTCCACTCCACTCTTCCGATTGTCATCATCCCATCATCCTCATCCTCTTCATCTCACACACTCTCTCATCTGTCTCATCTGTCTCCACTTTGGTTTTTTTTAATCCAAATACATTTACCACAAACACGTCCCTTTTCGTCCTCAGCTCCACAGTTCCCATCGTCACTGCTGATTCAACACACTAGTCTACCCATTGTTATCTGTGTCTATTTTTATTCAGCCAAACTGTCTTTATTCTGACTGTGAACAAGCGTTGATTACCCCCTCAACCGTCCGATGTCATTTGTAATGTACAAATGCACAACTTTTCTTTTCCTTGAACGGGGAGAACTGAATGTGTCTATGAAAAAAAGCAATACATTTAGTCGTCTATCGTTCATTACTTCACGTGCCCTTCTATTCCTTGCCTCATTAACCAATACTAACATTGCTGGCCTGGTATCTTTTCTTCATTCACAGTTTCTCAGGCGGGTCGCCTCCACCCCCAACACGAAGGCCGCAGTAGAGGAATCCCTTCGCAAGAACAACAGCACAAAGAGTAGCAGCACTAATGGATATTTGGGCGCATACAACTCCTCGTCCCCTGCTGCCAAATCGAGTACGACCCTTGGTTCCACCATGACCACCTCCTCTACAGGGACCGGAACAACGGTCCATTATAGCCCCTCGACCAAAGATAGTTTCCATCTCAATATCCCCAAGAGCCTTAATGGCTCTGCTCTAGACCTCAGGCGTGCAGGCACCTTTCGTAGGACATATTCCTCCAACTCGATCAAGAAAAAATCGATCGAGGTCGCACCCAGCAGCTTTGTCAAGATTCGAATGCTTGGCAAGGGCGACGTGGGGAAGGTCTATCTCGTTCGCCAGAAGGAGACGGATCGTCTTTATGCTATGAAAGGTAATGCAAATGATGCAGTTGTGCCATTCTCATTTTTACCAGCACTCAGGAATGAGAAGAGCGAAGGAAAAAAAAAAAGAACATGCACGCCATACCCTATCAGATCGTAATACCCAACCTAATAACGTTTATTATTGTTTCAATCATGCAGTGCTTTCGAAGAAGGAAATGATTAAGCGCAACAAAATCAAAAGAGCATTCGCAGAGCAGGAGATTCTAGCCACATCCAACCACCCATTCATTGTTACATTATACCACTCTTTTCAGTCAGAGGAATATCTCTATCTCTGTATGGAATACTGCATGGGAGGCGAATTCTTTCGAGGTAACAGAGTGAGCCTACCATTGGAGATTGTGGACGAAATCGTCTAGGCCTATTATCCAAGCCATGGTATCTTACCGCGTTTTGTATTATCAATTGCTAGCCCTGCAAATGAGACCAGGAAAACATCTGCTGGAGGAGGACGCAAAGTTCTATGCCGCTGAGGTGATTGCAGCGCTCGAATACCTGCATCTCATGGGCTTTATCTACCGAGACTTGAAACCAGAAAGTAAGAACGATGACTTTGCTGTATGATACATATCATGAAGATGCGAGAACCTTCCCTCTCCTCCTCCTGGTGGCCTTCAGAATGTAGCTTCTAACGTTCCGATATTGACATTCGCAACTGGAAATTTTTTTTAGATATTCTGCTGCATCATACAGGGCATATTATGTTGACAGACTTTGATCTATCGAAGCAATCTTCACCAGCAGGCGAACCCACGATTGTGAAATCAACATCACCATCGACTCCTCCAGCCATCGACACGAAGTCTTGCATTGCTAATTTACGGACAAATAGTTTCGTCGGCACTGAAGGTACGCTAGTGCGATCGATACATGGCTGGACAATGGCGGACCAAACTGAAATTTGTCGCAAAAAAATCCCATGACTGACCTGCAAATCGCGGTTTCTCATTCTAATAGAATACATTGCACCCGAGGTCATCAAGGGAACCGGGCATACATCTTCAGTCGACTGGTGGACGTTAGGTATCCTTATTTATGAGATGTTGTTTGGGGTGACGCCGTTCAAGGGCAAGGACAGGAACGCGACCTTTGATTCGATCCTGCATACGGACGTGCAGTTCCCGGAACAACCTCAGCAGGTTACAGCGCTCTGTAAATCTTTGATCCGGAAGCTATTGATCAAGGACGACCAGCTCCGACTAGGGTCGAAGGCCGGGGCGAGTGATGTGAAGCAACATCCGTTCTTCAAGACAACCAATTGGGCGCTGTTGCGGCACCTGCCCCCACCGATTATACCCCAGCAGAGCTTTGGTGCGGACGCAATTAATTTCCGTCAGATGCATGAGAGTGTCAGTCTGGATATGGATGGCGAGGAATTGGTGCTGCAGCAGCCGGGCGCAAGGAATCTGTTTGCCAACTTTAGTTCTGGTGAGTGCCTTTTTGAGCGGACTAAAATACCGTCAAGGCTTATTGCGACATATTGTTGTTGTTGTTGTACTTATGCTTGTAGCCTTGCTAACGATGCTTTGTGTTATCATCTACTACCGTTCTTTCTTAGTCACTTTACACCACGATGGCGACGATGATTATATGTAAACCGTCGATAGGCAACGTCGAAATCCACACGCAAACGATCCTCGGGCTGGCCGCGACATGATCCTTGCTTTCCTTTTTTTTGCTATCATCTATTCTCCATTGTAATTTTACCTCTTCTTCATGAACACGGACACCAACCTGACGACCTTTGGTGGTCTCTTCTCTTCCTCACTCCCTCGTCATCTCCAAACATTGGGCTGTCATTCAGCACCAAAGTAATATGGTCTAGAGCTTGAATAAAGGTACTCTGGACCCAGTAAAGTCGCGCTCAGTCGTGTTGGTAGCTTTCCTGTGGTAGCCATTCTATTTATTATAGTTTTAATAGTGCAGACTAAGGTGCTGTTTTAACATAAAAGACAATATACAGGAGGTTATATATAACACAAAAATGATAAAGGAGTAAAGTGGTATGTATATAGGACGGCTTTTTCATTTCTATACACGGGCCGTACGATACCCGGCAGCTGCAGCCTGTGCCGCTGCAGTCTTGGCGTTGTCCTCCTCGATAAATCTCCTTTCCTCCTCCGAAAGCTCAAACGGAACGGCAGACGGATGATGGAGATCCGAGGTTGGATAAAGAACCGGCGAATCCGTAGAGACCTCTGATCCATGTTTTAAGGACGGAGTATGGTCACTGCTTTGAGCCGTAGAGCTCGTGAGAACGGCTGGCGATGAATATGAGGATCCTTCTGCCAGGCTTGACCGCAGTTTACTGTAATCTGGAGAATCAGCGCTCTGTTCATGATGTAACGGCGAGGGGCGATGGAACGTTGTCGAGGAAGTTCCACGGCGAGGGAGGTATGAAGAAACGGTCCGGATTTGTCCTTGATTCTGCACATGTACGCCGCCTCCAGTCCTGGGGTTGGCCACACTCTTGGCCTGTGCTGCCTTGCGATGGTCGGCCATAATGGTATCGATGCTCCTGAGCAGGTTCAATACAACCTCGGCATGCTGCTTGCGAATGGGGTCCTGTGAGCATAGAGAACGTGCCTTGGCTGCCTTGATCTGTCGCTCCACATCGCCCTCTATGATAGGTTTTGTGGTAGAAGGTTTGAGGATGGGCTTGAAGTCGGTGCCATCGATGTGTGTTTGCGCGAGCTGACGGGACATGGCTTCGACAGGGTCGACCGGCTCCATCGCTGCAGCAGTTGCTGCAGCAGAGGCGGCAGCGACGGCCGCTTGCCTGGCCTTTGCTCTTTGAAGATAGCTTTCGTATTTGGACGAATTTGTTTCGGGCGCGGACGTGGGTGCTGAAGAAATGGTTACACCAGGTGATTGTTCATTAGAACGGCTACTTGACTGATCCTGCTCCTGAGTTTCGGGGATATCTGCTTCAAGTGCCGCCACCGTCTCCTCCACATTAATATCCGGCATAGGCGTATCCGGGGCTTCGGGGACCGATTCCAAAAGGGCATCAGTGTCGATGAGCTGGCGCGACTTCCGCCTTATCACTGTTGGTCGCTGCTTCAACATCCTCAATTCGTCCGCCGCCATCTTCTCCGCTGTTTGTATAGATACTTCAACGTATGTCCTCTTTTCCTGTAAAACAACTGTTGGTTTAATGATCTCCTCAACAGACTCGTTCTTGATCGGGGCAGCACCCTGCTGCAGTGCAGGTAGCGACACGTACTGTGGATGAATGAACCGATTGGGTTGCTGCATACTATGCTTGACCGGCTGCGAGTGCCTGACGGCAGGTCCCGGTTGTGAGAGTGATGTATTCCAAGCCAAAGTCGACGAAGACACGAACGAATCATCTGGGATAATCGTGCTGTAGATCGAGTCCACTTGGGCCGTACTAAATGCACTCATGTTGCTGTCTAAATCAATAGTTCCAGCGAATTCTGCATCTAACGCAAGTGTTGACGGCTTTTGCTCATACTCTGGGAACAGTGGCGTGTCGTAGGACTGGGGTTCGAAGGCTTCTCCACTGACATCCTCGAAAAGTGTCGAGCAAAAGTGGTTGAGCTGATTAAACTGATTCCAGTCTGTCACGTTAGGCAGCGATGACAATAGGCGATCCGATGTCAATGGGTTGACTTCCATGAGTGCCGACAGTGCATTGAGTGGACCCATTATATCTGTACAGGCATGGCATGAAGTGAAGGTTAGTCAGCGTTAGACATTACACTCTAAAAAGGACTTGAAGAAATGACATACGGCACAATTTGACATACCCTCATTGTAAGCTGCATCCGTTTTCTTCTTCTTGGACTCAACTGCGAACGCCCCCAGCGTTTCAGACAAGACCTCATCAAAGCCATCGCGTGATCGCTTAGCACTCTGAGGCGAAACCATGTCGTCGTAGATATTGCTGCTTGGGAAGGCGCCATAGTATGTGCCAGATACGTCAATACTGGATCGATCGAAACAGCTGTTCATCATATCTAATTCCAGGTCTGGTGCGTTGGGGGAGCTGAAAAGATCGGAGTTGGTCGAGTATGAGGGCGAAGCTAGCACAAAAGAAGAGGCGCATGCACGTTAGTTGGCTTGCCGTCAGAGAGTACAGACACAGTCAGGCGGCAATCCTTACAAAGACCGGGGTTCCATGACTCGGCTGTATCTGCAGGGGAGAGTGGTAGAGAGTAGGGCGAGAGGGTGGAGCCCGTGGTGGCGGAAGCGATTGAAGGAGAGCGATCCAGAGCCGTTGGGGGAGTAAGAGGCAGGGCGGGATTTCCGCCGGGTTTCAAATGCCCTGAGGATGATGATGTCGGTTTCGACGCTGTTGCGGCGTTTGGGACTATGGCGCCATCGCTACCTTGATGGGTCTTTTCGTGCTTCTTGAGGTCCTGCGGTCGCTTAAATCTCTTTTTACAGAGCTATTGAGGCCATCAAAAGGTTAGACACAGAGCTAGTTGATCGACATCCACCATTAAAGTATGCAAGCATGTCGCACAAAAGAAATAAAGAGAGGATAAACCGGTTGTGCTGGTCTACCTACCTCGCAGCAGTGCGGCTTCGAGGCAACATGGATGCGGAGGTGGGAAGTGATATGGTCTCTCTTGGCAAAAGTCGGTACTGTGCACTTGTCCCATCTGCATGTCAGACAGAGGTTATGGTGCGCTTTGCGGCCGACATGCTCGTCCTTCAGATGCGTGTAGAGTCGCTCAGCGTCATCAAAGGTCTTGAGACACGAGTCCCACTGACAGATATAGTCGTCCGAGAAGATGAAAGGAGGGGGCGATGGGCTGCCTTCCATAGCTGTTTCTTGGTTGAGTGCGCCTGCTGTCCTGCGTTGTTGCTGACGTTTGTCCGTTGCTGCTGTTGCTGTTGTTCCTTATGTAGCCAGGATGACTGTGGAAGGGGGAGCGGGATGGTATCAGCGAAAGAATGAGTGGGAGGGAGAACGAAGGAGGTAAAGGTAGGGCTGAAGAAAGGGTGCGTGTGTGTGGGGGGAAGTGTTCGTTGGATGAAAAGGAAGGAAGGGAAAGTGCATAAAAGCGAGGTTTGCTGTGTGCCAAGACTTTGGCCCCACTACGCAGTCACAGCATATGTTCTTTTCTTGCACCAGTTTTTGCCAAGACAGGAAAGCTGGATAAAAGATACGCCCCGGCTCCCTCTGGCTCCTGCTGCTACTCCTCTGCAGCAGTTGATGGTGCCCTCTGTTAGACAGCATTCCCAGGTTACTCGGTAGCTGTGCATGAAATGTCTACCCACAAATTGGAACCTGCTGCGGCCAGGACACGATGTGTTTTATCAATTCAAACTCTATTGTGGTCTGTTGGTTGCAAGGTTAGATGTTCAAAGGATGGTCAAGGGGGAACACAGGTGAGGATGATAAGAATAGCGCGCGTCGACTATTTTTCATTTTTTGTGGTCCAACAATGACGATCACACAACACAGCCAAGAGTCGATGTAATCATGGGCCCGGAAAAAAAAAAAAAAAAAAAAAGAGCGGGCATGCCTTCCCCACAGCCCTATTGACTTTTTTCCGATACAGAAAGCTCAGTGCCAAATGGTGTCAACTGCTCTAAGAGGTTTTCATGGTAAAAAAGCAAAACGCATTGGTCCTGTTTGCACTCTGCCAATGCAATATTATGCCATGGTCGTCTAGGGCAGAGATATGCTGCGTTCCTAATGCCTGGGAGCGTGCACAAATTGCCATGCGACGGCGATGGTTACATCGTGCGACGAACAATCCACACATACATTTTTTCACATGCTGCTTCTGTCCAAATCAAGCAGTGGCACGCGTTTCGTTTTCTTCAACTCCCCCACCTTCACCATCACCATCACCATCACTGCAGACCCAGCTTCTCATTCTAATCTCAATCGACATCTCAATCGCCACTACCTTTCCTGCTTTCACTCCCTTCCTTTGTCTCTGTGCTGCAACAGCACCTTACCTCATTTTCTGTATCGCTTTCATTTGCTCACTCCATATTCACTATCCCGCATTCGCTATTTCACACTTCACATAGATAACTACATTCCACAACAAGTTCATAACCAACCCATCACATATTCGCTCCCATTCACCATGAGCAGGACTTCGCCAAATGTGGTCCCCGTTATGGACGAGGATTATGATCTATGTATCTCCGAAACCAACCTTCCTTTCCCATATTCTGATCATTGTAGTACAGGCCCACCCAGTCTGTATGAGTTCGATATCGACGAAGATGAAGAGGACGATGATGGTGGAGACGATGACGAGGGGGAGGAAGACGAGGAGGAGGACGAGGGCATCGTGGAAGGAGACTTTGACCATGGGGAAATCGTGATCCGCAGAGAGATGCTAATGGATGACGACAGTGAAGAGGATCAACCCTTGACATTGGCACGCCTCAACACCCACACTCGTGCTAAAATGCTGAATGACCTCCCCAGCCAGCTGAAGAGTCGACTCAAACACATTAACGATAAGGACCTGGAGAAACATAGCAGCGGAGGGGCCACACTCCTTCCAAAGACACGACCACACCTCTCACGAAGGTCCTTCTCCTTTGATTCTAATGGCGGATGGCACGATGAGGAGGAAGAGGAAGAGTTGAATAATTGCCAGGAAACGCAGAGAGAACAGCAGCAGGACAAGGGCCTAATCCCGACTGTCACCTCCACAGTGAGCTCCGTCGCTTATGCTGTCGGCAAGCATTGGTCAAAGGTATGCAGACCACCTTCAAATGACGTTAACGCTCATTGCTGCCTGTGGAGATATATATCTTTCACACCCTGTCTTCACTTAGATTTTTGGCACATGATCGTCCGCGCTGCATATTGCTCTCAACTCTTCAGTCCAAGGCAAAAGATCTAATAATGGCACAATTGGTCCTATGTCGCTACGTATATAGAAAATCTACGAGTCCCTACTTCGATCGCGCGATCCCAAGGCCTACTATACCCATCTGCTCAAAGCAGCCACGAATTACGAACAATGGGCCGAAGCAGCCGCCATCCTGGACCGACTTCAAGGCAAAGACAAGTGGAAAAATGATCCCAGATCGCCCCATTACGACTACGAGATAATGCAGGAGCGATTATCCCAATTGGCCAAGGCCCGAGAATCCGGCGATCTTGGCCTAATGATCTTCTTGCTCCGTACCTCGCTCTCCCGAAACCTCGGCAATGTGGGACGACCCCAATTGTATGCAGAGACCAACATCGGGACGAAGCGTCTAATTGAGGATTACAATTCTGAGGTCATCCGGCAGCTCAACATCATCTGCGATACAGAGATCGATGACTTTCCGATGGCTGCCAAGCTAGAGTTCTTCACCCACACTCGTCAAGCATTTGGCCGTACGGCGCTCTTGCTCAGCGGAGGCGCAACCATGGGCCTGATGCATATCGGAGTCATCAAAACGCTCTACGAGACCCAACTGCTGCCAAGGATCATTTCTGGGTCCTCGTGCGGTTCGATCATTGCGGCCATACTTTGCACGCGCACCGATGAAGAAATCCCATCTATGCTCCAGTTTGAAAAGTTTAACTTTGTAAGTCCCACTATTCTCGCATTCATCGGTTGACTTGGTTTAACTACTGGGACATCATCTTTCTAATCTACCTAGCAACCTTTGCTTACGACATAGACCGTTTTTCACACCCCTGAAGAGCAAGGAGACGTTCTGGCCAGACTCATCCACTTTTTGAAGAATGGTATTGCAAACAAAACATAGCATTATCTATGCCGGCTCTCTCTGTTATTGCTTCTCATTCAAACCGTTGTATACTTGTTATTATCTCGTAGGTGCATTATTCGACGCTCAGGTGCTGAAAGCGGCATTGAAGGACAACATTGGAGATGTCACCTTTCAGGAAGCATACAACAGAACAAGACGTATCCTTAATGTCACAGTGAGCACTTCCGCGACGTTCGAAATGCCACGACTTTTGAACTACCTGACTGCGCCCAATGTCCTCATTTGGTCTGCAGTGTAAGTGCGATATATACTTTGGCTGCCGTGGCCTGGTTGCGTTGTGCTCAGTGCTAACGCTCTTTCTATCGGTAGAGCAACATCTTGCGCAGCTCCATTCATCTACAACTCGGCGCCTCTGATGGCCAAAGATAAAAACGGAGAAGAGGTTCAATGGAATCCGTCACGTAAGTCGACTGGAATTCACTTTCTAATACGGTGCTTCAAGCGTCAATCTAATCGTTCTCTATATTACTTTGGGACTCCTTTGATAGGATACCATTGGATCGATGGATCCGTCGACGGGTAAGTAGCTTCTGGAGCTATGGAGATATTTGGTTCCCTACTTAGGACACGACTAATCTGACATCAACTTTCTTCTAGTGACCTTCCGATGAACAAACTGTCGGAGCTGTTCAACGTGAACCACTTTATTGTGTGTCAAGTCAATCCATATATCGTACCGTTTCTGCACAATTCGCTAGCCCGATCTCCAACCAACCGAGTTGTAGGCTGGATGCTCTACCAAGCGAGATTTGAGCTGCAGCACCGAATGAACCAAGTATGGCTTACTTTTGGAACCTAAGGTATCATACTATGGTTTGATTTCGTATCTAACAGCCATTTCCTTTCTTTCCTTTGGATATCTCATAGATGTCGATCCTCGGGATTATGCCTGAGCTGATCCAGAAAGTGCAGGCGATCATGTCGCAGCGTTACTACGGTGATATCACGATTGTGCCCGATCTCGGCATCGATGACTATCTGAATATCGTCACCAATCCAACTGTCCAGTTCCTGGTTGATGCCACCCTGAAAGGAGAACGTGCCACATGGCCAAGTAAGTGTTTCCTCCCTCAGCTCTCCCTTCTGCTTTTTTTTTTTTCGCCCTTGTATTTTACTAATACGCTTCACTCTACTGTCGTTTCATAGAAATATCCATCATCAAGAACCATTGCAGCATCGAGCATTGTCTAGACGACATTCTATACCGCCTGCGTCTGCGACGTCTCGAAGCCTTCCGCGCGTTCCCTCAGCCGCCCGCACCTCTTACAAAGATGCTGAGCGATAATTCGAGTTATACACAGTCCCATGGGTCGATGCATGCTCGACCATCCTCGAGCACAACCGCACTGCGATCCTCCACCTCAATCACATTCACTCCCTAGTCTGTTGAGTCGAAATAGATCTATCTTCTGGCATCCTATTAACCAATCATCATGTTAAGCAACAGTTGCTTATTTATATTTGCGCAAAGGTATACGTTTATTGCATTGGATTTTCAGGACTATTGTACAATTTGATGTGATGTTGAATGCGGAGTTGAATATGAGGGAATGCCTGGAGAGACGTGCACCTCCTCGTTAGAGGAGACTGGGACCAGTGACCGTGTTGTAGCTTGACTTTTTCATTGTCAGATCGATGACCTGATCGAAGGTCAGCAGGTTCGACTGGTTGGTAGTGCGGGCTGTTTGGATCGACGGGCGGGGGGTCTGGGCTGGAGTCTGGACTGGGGTCGAGGCAGCAGAGGAGGTCTTGTTCTTGTTGGACTTGAAGAGAGACATGGTTGCGATTGGGTTGTTGCTTAACGGAGAGGAGATGCTGTTGGTGATGATGGAAGCCTTGAGCTGCTTGAGTGGAGTTGCTTTGGACTGTTGTCAGTTGCGTTTGTGGATGAGGAACTTAAAGAAACAGAGAACCGTAGTCCTTTTTATACGTCCCTGTCCGCTATGATTCCCTGAGTGCTTCGGACCTTGGCACTGCTTTGACAGCCAAGCAACAACGCAGCGCATAGCAATAGTACACACGCATTTGACGCCAACTACGACCGCAGCTGGACCCAGCGGAGAAGTGGAGCGTGAAGAAACTGTCGCGCTTGGCTCGGCAACCTTAATTCTCCCCCCGCCATCGCTCATTTCTACTCCTCGCCCTGGCAATGTGCTCTCAAGAAGCAGTGATGTCAATTTTATTTGCCGAGAACGCAGTGGAGAACATGCCCAGTCCAGAAATAAAGCCGCGCCAGGGGTTGCACGACATATTAGGGCAACAACAAGCACTTGCGCGGTGTCAAATTAAGCATCCATCGCCCCAATGGTCCAATGGTGCTAAGAATGGAAGGCAATGTCACGTAGTGGGGATACCGAACACACACAGTGGCCAAGAGACATACGGCGCTGCAGGTGCACAAACGGACTTGCACACTCCTGGAAAGAACCGCACCTGTTCTGGGAGGGTTATTCTTTGTCTTTTTTTTCTTTTTTTTCCTCCGAAAAAGAACGCAGTGCTTCTTCCTTTCGTGTGTATAAATATGTCTGCATTCCCCACTTTCTTGCTGCTCTCCATCTCAACACCTCAAGCATCTTAAGCTACTCAAGCTACTCAAGCTACTCAAGCTATTCAAGCTACTCAAGCTACTCAAGCACTCCAAGCAACCAACTCAAGATCTTCATCATCACCAACAGCATCTCCTCTCCGTCAAGCAACAACCCAATCTCAGCCATGCCCTTCTTCAAGTCCAACAAGAACAAGACCTCCTCTGCTGCCTCGACCCCAGTCCAGACCCCCCGCTCGTCGATCCAAACAACCCGCACTGCCAACCAGTCGAACCTCCTGACCCTCGATCAGGTCATCGATCTGGCAATGAAAAAATCGAGCTATAGCATCGCCACTGGTCCCAGTCTCCTTTAAAAGATCCCCATGGCCACTCAGCTTCTGTAGCCTCATATACCATACCGTGTACATTATAGCTCTGCTCCATTAAATCCGCATCTGCATTTCGCAACCCGTACATCTTGGTCACTGTTAAGCTTCCGATTGCTGTGCCTACCCGCACTTTCCGTCGAGACGTGATATAGCTTGGTTGCTCTTCATTGGTTTGTTCGTTCGTTTGCAGGGTTGTGGAGTGATTCCGAACTGACTGTAAGTGGAGCATAACCAAGACATCCTGTCACGGTCGTGTGTGTAGAGTCGTTTCGAGACAGGAGCCGCGTCCGCCACCAGGGCTCATGACTTGGCGGAGAACAGATACCGTGCTGTGGGCCATTTTAGGCTGCTTCGTGGACCTGCACTGGACCTCTGGAGCTACGACCTCGAGGTCGCAGAGGTCTGCTATGGTCTAATGTCGATGCTCCATATGGGATATTGCTCTCTGTATCCATCATGGAGGTGATCCATACCACAACGCATAAGAATAAATCGTAAAGACGAACGCTTTATTGCAGCATGAGCAACTGGACATGGGGTGATGTTACGCGTTGTACTGAGTGGATACAATAGGGAATACGAGAAGCCTGCTCCTGAAGATGGAGACCCATATGTGGCCGTACGTGCTATGGTTCACTCGTAGTTCTCCTTGCAGCCCATCACTAGCAGACGAGTACCAGCAGCCTCCTTGCAGTTTCAATGGCTAAGCAGCTCATTATGGACGCGTGTCTTCATGCTTCTCTTCACTTTATTGTTGTTGCTAATGGAACAGCTAATATACTTGTGAATGTGGATATGCAGTATTGCAATGTCTTCGTTTCTCACCTAGGCCTCCAAACCTGCTGCTGTAGGTTGGGCCAAGAAGAAACCTAAAGAAAAATGAACAGAAACCATCGAACCATCATAGCGTAGTGGACAAACCATACCAAGAGGACAGATCGGACGTTGCCTACTGGGTGTCATAAGGCTGAGAAAAAATGTAGTGGTTAATGAGAGCTGTAAACAGCCCAAGATCTTGTGTTCCCCAGTGGCAAAGCCATGCACGAATGAAGGATTGCTCGCTCCACCCATATCAAGTACATGTGCATGTTGTCTCCCGTGCCTGCCACCCGAAAGAGCAACTCGTCACCCAAATGGACGGCTCTTCATCCGAAAGACAACTTGAACCTGGAGCTAGTGTCTCTCAAGACAAAAGCCAGGTCTGCGAAGCCAAACAAAAAGAAACAGAAAGAGCACCGCTTAAAGCGCAGACAGCCCCGCACGAAATACGCACAAGATACGTACCCCTGCGGTTCTGGTCATCGGCGATGTGAGTGTGTTGGCCCAAGGTGTACTGACATGCTTCCAACCCCAAGAGCCCGACGCACCGTAGCCAGTACGTGGACAACCCAGGCCAGCAGAGAGCTGGGGAGTGACGTGTTTTCCACCCATGTAGCTCAACACCGCCTTGCTCGATCTTGACTCGGACCAAGCACATCATTACCATTACCTTTTTCAGCAACCTTGACAGGGCGGACCAGGGAGGGCGACCAGGAAGAGAGAGACCGATGAAGGGAGGGGCCAATGAAGGGAGGGGCCAATGAAGGGAGGAGGAGAAGGCAGGGCAGAAAGGGAAGAGACAAGTTCTACGCGCACGTCCTCTTGGCCGTCTTTATTTAGCTGTCACAAGCCTCACGCGTCCACTAAACACTGCAAAGACGCGTCAATAAAAAATAATAAAGGCGACGAACCGGCACCAGATGCTGCGGCGCTTTCTAGTACATTCCAACCAATCGCAGCTGCTGCACTGTTACCCACGACACCACTCTTTCGACTTTACAGCAGCAGCAGCAGTAGACTATCGTTTACATGTAATCGTAAAGCACCGCTTTAGGCTGTTCTATAGCCTCACAAGCTCTCTCGGTACTGGCCATCGCCACAGTATGCCATAGTCCAGGTCACTCTTTAGCTCTGGACAAGATCTCAACCTGAAGAATGGGGTCAACCAGGCCCATGTTTGCGACGTCGCCTTGCTTGTTCTCAGCCCGAGCAAATGAATCCGACCATCACCGTTATCTTTATTTGTGCATGTTGAATCCAAAGACCATGGAACCGACCAGAATTCGCAAGTGAACAGGTGAATGAAAGGGGAGACTGTGGAATTTGTGTACACTGCAGCAGATAACAATGGCATTGCTGGAGGCCACCTTTATGGCAAACCCGCTTTTGCGGCGTTGTATGGCTGGGCGATTTCAGGTACAGAGCGGCAACAGGAGGACACATAAAACCACAGCGAGACACAACACTCTTCCACCACGCGTTTCCACTGTCCTACTCAGACACCCCATCCATTTGCGCGAGGAAGCCGAGTTCAGTCGCCCATATGTTCAATATGTCAGAGATGCATCCTTCGTTTCTTAGGTGGTTCAGAGTAAATTGAAAAGACAAGTAATTTATTGCAATATGTACAATTAGCATTATGAGAACTGAGAAATTAATCGCTATGCAGGATGGGTATAGTAGGGAAAGGCAGAAGAGAAACTGCTTCATGAGATGAAGAACCCTATGTGATTGAGCATGGTGTGGTCGGTGGGTGCTGTGATCTTAGTTCTCCTCGAGATCCATGACTGGGAGACGCATACGGGGACCGACAGCCTCTTCCATTTCCATGACGGGGAGACGCATGCGGGGATTAATGGCTTCCTTCATTTCCATGACTGGAAGGCGCATACGAGGACTAATGGCCTCCTTGAGGTCCATGACTGGGAGACGCATGCGGGGGCCGACAGCCTCCTCCATTTCCATGACTGGGAGACGCATACGAGGATTGATAGCTTCCTTGAGGTCCATCACAGGGAGGCGCATGCGAGGGTTGATAGCCTCCTTGAGTTCCATGACTGGGAGACGCATACGGGGGCCGACAGCTTCTTCCATTTCCATGACAGGAAGACGCATGCGAGGACCGACGGCTTCTTCCTCCATTTCCATCACTGGGAGACGCATGCGAGGATTGATAGCTTCCTTAAGGTCCATGACAGGGAGACGCATGCGGGGATTGATAGCCTCCTTCATTTCCATCACTGGAAGACGCATACGAGGGTTAATGGCCTCCTTGAGGTCCATGACTGGGAGACGCATACGGGGGCCGACAGCTTCTTCCATTTCCATGACAGGAAGACGCATGCGAGGACCAACGGCTTCTTCCTCCATATCCATGACGGGGAGACTCATGCGAGGATTGATAGCCTCCTTGAGGTTCATGACTGGGAGACGCATACGGGGATTGATAGCCTCAGGGTTAATCGGCAAAGCCTGGACACCAGCAATGGTGAGGATGGCTGCAGCAATCAGAACGATCTGGATCTTCATGGTATATGATGTGTGTGTGTGTGTGTGTGTGTGTGTGTGGGATGAGTAAGTGTCCGTTGGCTAGAAAGATCTTCTGAAGGCGTGAAGAGGAGAGGTGCGGGTAGCGAGGCGGAGAGGGAGTGGTGAGGATGAGGAAGAACTTGTTTGAGGTAAAGATAAAAAAACAGGGGGAGAGAAGCTTGTATTTATGCCATATGTGCCAGGGAGAACGAATGTCTCTGTGCCGCTCGATGCATGCCAATGGCCGTTAGACCGAATGATCGCTGGATCGGTGCAAAGGCCCATCCATGGTTCTGCTGTGTTTTCCATGCGCATGGCTCAGTGTGCTTTTGCAAATCCACCCCGCTCAGGCACGGCCGCGAGACACATCTCCGCTGTGAGCATCGAAGTAAACAAACAAAAAGACCGCTCGCCGGGGAAATGTATTGCAGTGTCTCTCGGGGAATAGGCTCTGAAGAGTACAATGCACTGTTGTGCGCCCATCCCTCGCCCCCCATGTCGTTACACCTTCCTAGAACGCCTATACTCCTCTCCCTCTCAGGCACACATATCTTTTCTACGTCGTACGGGCAGGGAGGGAGAGGCGCGGAGACAGCGCGATCGACCTTGCATGACATGCACCCGCCACTGTAGCGTGGCCGGCTGTACTCCAAGGCAGGTTTCTCGATTGCCACCCTTGTTTTTTTCTTGTTCCCGAGGCTTTAGGTGCATGAGTGCATACAAAGCAGTGCTGCTGCTGTGCCACTGCCAATGGTGTGTTGTGTCTCCTCTTGGTTCATTTTTCTAGCGCCTCTAGCCGTTTCCTCTGCAGCTAGCAAGATCATTCTGCGGCTGGAAATACATTCTGTGCATTAGGGTGCATGCAATGGCTGTGCGATGAATTGGCTGTGATCCATTGTCTATCTCGCACTCTGCTGTGATGGCCTCACCGCCTAAAGACCAAAGACATAGGGCATCCGACACGGCGCAACAGTCCCTCTTCAAGAACAGCGGACGCAACAGCTTGTCGCCATGCTCGCAGCACTCGTACTCAGTAGTCTGCAGAAGAGATTCACCGACGAGATTTCACAGAGGAGAGAGACAGTATGGAGCCACCAAGCTGTCCTTATCATGTATACCCTCGAGCAGTCCATCCCATAAGGATAGCACCCCATCCACTGCATCCATCCCAGCCAAGGTCTCATCCAAGTCCATCCAACCCCATCCAATCCCATCCAACCCCACGAGAACGAGTGCCATGGCTCTCAGAGTCCGCTATAGTACAATGAACCACACCGCGAGTGTTCCTGGACACGGAGTTCGACTTGCAAGACATTCGTGCCACGTTTACCTGCAAAGATCCAGCCTAGCCTGATTGTCAACCCACGGTGATGCCCTCATGCATGCCAACGCTATATCTACATACCTTCGGCATAGATCCCTCCTACAGCACTTTCCCAAGCACATTCCCAGGCACATCCCCAAGCACTGTCCGTTGCTGGTCTCACTGTACTATTGTCTCCTAAATGCATCAAAAACAGACCGTTATGTTCGCATCCAGCCTGCATGCTTCCGAGACAATTACCTCTTCTTGCCTAACCCGATCGTGTCTCGAGAACATCCGCGGAACGGCTATTCACCGCCAATTCAACTGTCCCCCGCTAATTCAACTGTCCCCCGCCAAGTCGATCGCATGCGGTGCAACCCAGAGGACTCTCGCTAATTAGCATCACCCTTTGCATTAGCCCCGATAGTGTCTGGCAAGACAAGCAAGGGCCCACGATCGGTTTCGAAGGGACCCACAGTGTCGATGGCATGCCGTGCAATGTGCCAATAGGCTCTTGCTTTTGGCTGTGATCAGAAACCTCCCGATTGTTGCAATGGCCGCGAGCAATGTTCCCAAGCGAGACATCGCAACGCTGGGGGCTCGCAAGGGCAGAGAGAGAATATAGACAAAGAATAGAGGAATAGAGTATACGCTCCCTGTTTCCCGCTTTCGGAAGAAATGCAGAGCAGAGAGTGTGTGCGCATGGTGTGTACATAAGCAGTGTGTCAGTGTTATAGTGTATAGGCCTGCACTGTGCTGTAGTCTAGTCCATTGAATGTGTCAGTGGTGTGTCAGTCCTCGCAGCGGGGAGGGCGGATGTTTGTGCTCGGATCGCGGCCTTATTTCGAGATACATCCGCAACCTTAAATGGGCCGTCTGTCCTTGCACGGCTGCAGCACGCAGGTCGCACAGACTCAGGGCCCTTGCGGGGTGAACGAGCCCCTTGTCTGTTCCACAGAGAGCCAAAGACAATAAGGAAAAAGAAGAGGCGCTTTCCCAGCCACGGTGCATTATTATAACCCGAATGGAGTGTCAGAGTCGCATGCAAGCTCATGGTCCATCCCTCCCCACGGACCTTTGTCTCCGATGCAGAGACAGGCGCGTATTCACCGGTCAATGTTTGAAATGTTTGAAAGCGACACCCTGCACGCTACACAGGATGGCTGTGCGTCGGAAACGGTGTTAGACAGCTATAGGATGACCAAGAGGACCTGAGATAGTGTCTCACGTCCCTGCGCCTGTGCCTGTGCCTGTATCCGTGCCCGTGCCTGTCCCTGCGCGTGGATGATCCCTCCGAAGAAAAAAGGTGTTACAAACGATGTGTGTGCATCGCAGCCGATTGTGTCTCGGCCCTCGAGTAGGACAGGGCCATTGATGCGCTTTCGCACATAAATACTAGCTCTTCCCGCCAGGTTTCCAGTCTTTTCTATTCCTCAGACTCAACGTCCCATTTCATCCTTACTACCACTACTCCCCTCCTCTCGCTCTCTCTTCGCGACTACCGCCCTCTGTTGCTCAACACCCACAGTCGTTCTCCGCTTAACGAACACTCGACCTCATCACTAATCCCGCACTCGATACATATACCTACACGTCATACACCATGAAGATCCAGATCACTCTGATTGCTGCAGCCATCCTCACCATTGCTGGTGTCCAGGCTTTGCCGATTAACCCTGAGGCTATCAATCCCCGTATGCGTCTCCCAGTCATGGACCTCAAGGAGGCTATCAATCCTCGTATGCGTCTTCCAGTCATGGAAATGGAGGAAGCTGTTGGTCCTCGTATGAGTCTCCCAGTGATGAAAATGGAGGAAGAAGCCGTCGGCCCTCGCATGCGACTCCCTGTCATGGACCTCAAGGAGGCCATCAATCCCCGCATGCGCCTTCCAGTGATGGAAATGGAGGAAGCCGTTGGTCCTCGTATGAGTCTCCCAGTGATGGAAATGGAGGAAGCTGTTGGTCCTCGTATGAGTCTCCCAGTGATGGAAATGGAGGAAGCTGTTGGTCCTCGTATGAGTCTCCCAGTCATGGAAATGGAGGAAGAAGCCGTCGGTCCTCGCATGCGCCTTCCAGTGATGGAAATGGAGGAAGCCGTTGGTCCTCGTATGAGTCTCCCAGTCATGGAAATGGAGGAAGAAGCCGTCGGTCCTCGCATGCGTCTCCCAGTGATGGGCCTCAAAGAAGCCATTAATCCCCGCATGCGTCTTCCCGTCATGGATCTCGAGGACAACTAAGATCGCGACATCTAACAGAGCGTCCAGGGTCGCTCTCTTTTTCATTCGTACAGCATCATACCAAGGACCATAGGGAGCCTTCTGAAGAAGCAGGTCTTCTCATAATTTCCTACTATACCATAGCCGCCATCTTTGCCACTTGTAATTATTTTAATGAACTATGTGCAAAAACTATATGTGTATCTCAATCGGTGTAATTTCAAGGCTGGAAGAGGTTGAATTCTTTAAATGTATCACCCAGGGGAAAGGCAGAGGATACTGGCCTTGTCAAGCGTGGTCATCCATGCAGTGGATGAATGGGATCATTACCTTAGTAAAAGAGTATAAGACCTACTGACGGGGCTATTCAAGGCGATCGCTTGAGGCGCTGTCATAGGAGACAGCAGCATCATTTGGCCTATGCACCGTCCATCGCATTTCACATAATCAGTCATTGCAAGAGATTAATCGGCAGATGAATAGATAGCTAGATATATTTTATTTTGAGCATTTAACAAAAGAAAAAGGTATGTTTGGCCTGTTATGTTGAATTTTTTTATATACGCGTGTGCTGAATGCTTCTCCCTTGAGGCCATTCTAATATGTATCCACAGCATCGAACTGCAGGATAGTACTGTACACCTTGTCTCCAACGACTGCCTCTGCCTTGATCTCGTTCAACCCAAAGTTCATGTTCACCTTGACCTTGACCTGTATCATAAAAAGAGAATAATGTTGATTAGTGACACATCCTCTCACGGAAAAAAATAAACAAATTACAATTCGATCCATTTGTCAATCGCCACCATTTCGTACCATAGAACCTAGGCGGGCAGAGGGGGCATGTGGGCATGGAATAGGGATATCGGCCAGCTTGGAGACACCGGCGTCAGTGGTATATCGTGGTGGGTCACCATCAGTGTCGGCGGCATACAGCGCAATATTGTAGTCCTCAGGCGCTTCCGAATATTTTGTGAACGAGAACTCTCTCGAAATGCACTCATCAACATTCAGCTTCTGACCCTTCCTGACATAGGGAGAGAAACGATCAATGCACCAGACACCGTTGACCTCGAACTTGCGCTTCGCCAAGGGATCCTTGCCCTTCTCGAAAGGCTGGTCTGATGAAATACCGTAGCATCGACGGGCAATGCGGGATGTGACAACGCGAGGATTCAATCCAACGCAGACAGCGCCACGGACCACGGCCAATTCAGGACGAGGAGGGATGGAGATGAGACCGACCTGGTTACTAAATTGGGCCTTGACACGGCTGTACAGATAGTTGGATGAACCGAATCCTCCGACCAAGAAGATAGCAGCGCAGTCCTTGGCCTGCGTCAACTGTTCCTGGATCAACGAAAGCACGTCCTTGACAACTGGCTCGAAGACGTTCTCCTTGAGCTCCGCAGCGGTCAGGACCAAGTAACCGTCGTCGATGCCCACAGCCTCGGGATCCTCCAAGTCGTCAAAGCAGCGGTTGGCAGGGAGCTGCAAAAACTGGTCCTCGAGACCATCGAACTGGGGCTTGATCACATCCGCGAACGTGTCGACAAGGTTGGGGATGATATTGGCAGGGAAGTTAGCGGCGTGGTGTCCAAACTTTTCCTCGAGGAGTCGACGCATGTGTCTGTCGAGGAAGACAGAGCCGCAAGAGGCACCGTGTCCCTTGGTGACCTCGGACAGGCGGCGGCCTGCAGAGGTGACCGCGATCTCGAAGACGATCAAATCGACCGTTCCACCACCAGCATCGCAAATCATGAAGCGGTCGCCGTTGCCGAGATCGAACTGGTCACACTTACGCTCACAGTAGAGCGCCGCGGCCTCGGGCTCCGAGATCAACATGAGTCGGTCGGGATGGTCCGTCTCCTTGATCAGCTTGGCTTTGACGGCGGCCTGTCTCATCACGTTCTTGGCCCTGTCGGACCACATTGCTGGGACGGTGAGACAGTAGCGGAAGTGGTCGCGCTGGAAATTCTTGGCGAAGCCGCGCATGATCTCGCCAACAACATACTCGTGGAAGGCGTCAAGGTAGTGCGAGATGGCTTCGAGGACAGTGATGTTGACGTCCAGGGGCGCGCTCTGCTGGTTCTCGTCGAGGTGGAGCTTATATTGGTAAAGTAATGTGTGATGTCGGGCGGTGGGCTTGAGGGTCTCCATTTTGGCGCGCCAGCCCCATGCGACCAGCTTGTTCTCGGGATCATCTTTTCTGTACAAGTTGAGTGTCGGCGTCTTTGGATACTGAATATTTTGCTTTGGCCTGTGGAACGTCGTCGATAACGATGGAAACGTAAAGAAGCATGGACAGGGGCAATAGTTAGGGAATCGCTCGCTATTTAGGTTGGAGCATTGCTAATCAATAGCGGCAGCTGCACTGTATTTTAGTCATGGTCATACCAGCTGGTGATGTCAATCACTTCCTTGTCATCCTGGGCGTAGGCATAGGCACATCCTCTGCAAGGCACGAACAGATAATAGAGAAGAGAAGGAGCAATAATCGTTAGTCGCTCGTGCTTCATTCTAATTGTGCCAAATAAAGCGGTGGTGGAAACAGAAGCAAAATGCCACTCGGAACAGCGGATGGCAACACTTACGAAAAAGTGGTGCCAAAGTCGATGGCGACGACAATGGGGTAGTCCTTTGGGTTGAAGGCCTGCTGCTGCATCGCAAAAGGGGTCTGTTTTTCGGCGGGCCTTAAGAGGGGGGGTGAGTGTGTGCGTGTGCGATGGAGTGTCCGGAGATGGGGTGATCAGAGTAGTGTGCGAAGAAGGGTATAGACAAGGAGGAGGAGGAGGAGGAGGAGGGGGAGGGGAAGAGGGAGGGGGATGGATGCAAAGAGGATGGGAAAGAAAAAGATGGATGGGTGGAGGAAAGAAAGGAAAGAAGGGGGAGGGGAAAATATGCGAGTTGAAAAAGAAAAATACGCTCACTCGAAGAGACCACAGCCCCTGTCCACGGGCGCCCTATTTTCTACAGCTTCAAACGAGAGTGGTAATGGCGCCCAGCTGGCGACCCAGCAATGAGGGCTAGAGAGACAGGGAGACAGAGAGGTATAGGGGATAAGGAGGAAGGGATTATCCCCTGTTCCTCCTTTGCCTTCCCCCCTTCCCCCTTCTCCTGCAGCTGCGACTGTGGTTGTGGGTTGGATGGCACACAGCAGATGCGAGCGAGTGAGCCGGGGAAGCGGCCATGTCCACTGTCCACTGTCCCAGTGGGAAGATGAAGTCTTTATTTGCCTCTGGTATCTATGCGGCCGAGCTGGGCTGTGCAGCACCTGCGGGTAGCCACCAGACGAGACAGGACAACTTGGCCGCTCAGGTACGGGCGGGGTGCGTGCTGCAGGTGGGTGTGAGTCTACGGGATGATGTATGTGATGATGTCGAAGAGGGATCAACGTTAACCTGAAACAGAAAGAGAGCAGACGGAGAGAGAGACTATTGTGTTATTGTGTGGGAGACAATGTGGATGGACACAGTAGCCCATCCCACTCAGGCCCCCATACATCCACTCACACATTCACTCACAAGCCCACACACCCACTCACCCACTCACCCACTCACCCACAAAGGCGATATAAAAAAAGGTTGCTGCTTTGCTCTACCATGCCTGCTTGCTTACCTCAGTAGCATATACACATGATGTTACACCGCCACGAGAGGCAACCCCCCAAACACTTACACGCTTGCTGCACTTGGCCCCAGGTCTTGGTCTTCTGTACTGCTCCCGGAGCGCTGCTCCCACCACTTCCTACCCCCAGCCCGCCTCAAGCTGTCTTATCGACACTCCAAAAGTCCTTCTCTCTTTTCTTCTAACGCGTCTCTTTCCTTTTCTTCTCTTCCCTTCTGCCCCCCTGTCCTCCCTTTACAACCTTCTTCAGCTGGGTTGTCGTCTTTTCGCAGCTCTTCCTACCTTTCACATTTGCATCACACCCCACCATCTCCGTCGCATTCCGCTCCCACTCCATGGCATCCTATAAGACACAGCCTCAGCCGCGCCGTCCCTACTCTTCATCCCCGCCATCACCCAAAATTCAACTAAATCTCAGTCGCGCCAACTCGGACTTCTACGCAGCACCGACCTTTGAGGAGAACAAGCGAAAATCGTCCAGCTTGTTACCTTCCCCTACCACCTTAGAAGTCAAACCACTGCCCGAGGACCCCTTTGGCGCGCGATTCCATGAGAGTGTTCGAAATGGATCGAATCCAGCATCGCCCATCATCACGACCGGCAAGCCTACTGTCGCTCTGACCATGGCAAGTCCTGTGCAGCCAGAGCCGTCCCGCCAGAGTCTCACTTTGAGTAGAACTGATGCTGAGGGCGACGTTTTCATGGATGGCCGTGACGCTGCATTCGATCAAAGTGAGCATCATCTTGTGCGTGCGGTCTATAGAGCTGGGCTGAACAGTTTTAGCTAACCATTTTAATGGTTTCTTCCACGTAGGTCACCAGCCCTTCAAAGTGAACCCTTTAAATATTCCAGCAAGACCAGCTTCTCGAGGCAACAATCTGACCGAACTTGAGCAAAGAGGATTAGTGGCACTCAAACAAAAACTTTCATCAGACAAACTATCTGCAAGCAGGGAGAGCTCTCCTGTGCCGAGCTCGATATCTAGCGAGGACTCGACAAGGGCACTCATCAACAGGATCGACGAACTCAATGCCATAACGGGAAGTCTTAAGATGAACCTGAACGACACCGTGCAGGACCAGCAGACCTTGAAGACAGACCACGATCGACTTCTCAAGGCTTACGAGGATGTTCGCCGCCAAAACCAGGAGCTCCAAGCAAAAATGATCAAGCGAGAAAGGGACTATGAAGTGATGTCAAAGAACTATCTGGACCACGTCCGCTTGATTCGTGCAACAGACGACGACCATTCGACCATCATAGACCGTCTGACGCAGCTCAAGGCCTCAATTGAACATTTGGTTCGCAAAGCGCAGGGTGGACGATCAGTGAACTTGAACCGAGTTGCGGCTATTGATCACTTCAAAAGCACCGGTCTATTGGCGGATTTTCCGATCGATGAGGACAAGCTGGAGCCATTTCATCTGAACCTGTTCATGGAATCAGTTATCATGTCAACCCTTGTCTCCAACTTTTTTGGCAAGCCTCTATGCTGCATCTTCGACTACAACAAGGGTTTCCAGGAGATTTACGACTGGATGCACAAGCGAAACGACAAACTGGCCATCCGCTGGCGCCAGCAGCTTTGTGTCATGCTTACACAGGATCCAGAGACTAAGATTCGACAGGAGGCAGCAGTGACGGCCACAGCCAGTAGTCTGACGGATCTTATCTCGAGGGTATATACGGGCTCGAATGAGGGTACTAAGATTAAGGAGATGTGTAGCAAATCCTTTGATCTCGCGGTGGCGATGACTGGATTGGAATCGGTTATCGCACCAGTGTCAACTCCTCTAGGCGTGCCCTTTGATGAAGATACAATGGCGCCATCGCTCAAGAGTAATCCGACAGGCAAGATAGCCTTGGTTATCTTTCCGGCATTCAAAGACAGTGAAGAGACGTTCACCATCCGGCCAAAGGTGTGGTGCTACTAAGGAAGGATAAAGGAGGGGTAGACGAATTGATGCCATATCCCTATCAAGACTCTGGCATTATCTCTTCACAGAGTTGACCAGGGACGATACCAAGTATCTCACATGAATAAAAATCGACTACTGGACGCTTTACTCTCAGTCGAGGATATGTACGTTTGTAAGCTAGAGATGTACCGAAGTTGATTTTATCCACGCTGTTCCATGGGTTTATATACACCCAAAAGGTACGATGCATCGGAAACTTGTTTGGAGGGTGCAAGCAGAAATTGCGTTCATACAAGGATGCGCAATTACAACTGGCAAGAGCCTAGACTCACCTATCTCTCCACAACGGACGACGTTTGTGCAACGCTCACCACCCTCATTTTTCCTCGGAGCAAACTACAGACAAGTCGAGATCATCTGCTCTGTGCTTCCATACATAAGCATACCACGCTGAGGAACGTTGAGAGGAGAGGAAGGTGCATGCGTGTTTCTGCCTGTTTATCGTGGTGTACATGTGCGACCTGCTCCTCGGATGCTCTATAATCACACTTTTTTTTTATGTGTGTGTGTGTGTATATGTGTTGTTGTACTGAGGTCGCATTCTCGCCCAAAGTTGGTTTGGGCGATGCTCATTGTGATCAGGACAACATTTGACCCAGCCTATCTTTCGCCCTTTTGGGGAGTCGGAACATCTGTCCTGTACTGGATGCTTTGACAAGATGTTTTGTTTTTCTTAAATGCGATTCGGATCAATTGGTTTGCAGCAACGTTCAATCTCGATAGTTTTCCCAGTTGTCCTGGCCTGGACTTGCTCAGATGAATGTCTGGAGTTGTTCGTGTTCGTCGGTCTGGAGAGCTGAAGCGGTGCTTCATGAGGACTACTTCATAAGAAATAGATTCGAAAACAAGAACTAGCTCGATTGTGAGAGCAGCGGAAAAATAGATGCCACCTTATCCTCTCATCTCCGTTCTCCTGTCGTCCATGCCATTTTGGAGGTGTGTATGCATCTTAAAGACATTAAGCCAACAAAGGGCAGATGCATCCACGGATAGTTTTTGGCGGGTAGAGTCTATGCAGAGGGCCCTCTTCCTCCGTTCTCTGCGAGTGCTCTTTCGCAGTGAAGAATCAGACACATGCATGCCCTGTCGGCGCTGCTGCAGACTAGGTTTGCGCGATGGATGTTTATGGTTGTGTGCATGGAGTTTGTGTGCTCACATACAAACATACAAGCACGCACTCACTCCACTTGTCCAAAACACAAAAAAAGTTTTTTATCTCGCCACCTCTTCGCTCTGTTTTTCCTCCGACCAGTACTCCTTTCTTTTCTCGCTTCCTCTCCTTCCTCTTCTCTCTCGTTTTTTTAATATCTGAATATCCGATCGTATACCCAATTGACGTCTTCTTGCGTCGATATCCCATCCTCCATTCTCCTCCTCCTTTTCTTCTCTTACCTTTCTACTTCTGCTTTGCCTTGCAGCTCCACATCTCCTCCTCCTTTGTATCCCTCCTTCGTTTCTCTTCCGGGCGAGCACCCCCTTCATCTTTTTCATTTCACATCACGTCGCTTATACGCCGTTTATACAACCAGATTTTTTTTCCTCCTTTGCCACCATCTTCACCATATCACATCTGCTACACTACACCACACCACACCACACCACGCACCTCCTCATACATACACACGCCAGTTGATCCCACTTGCGGTGGCAACGCGCACAAACAACACATTCCCCTCCTTGTCTCTCGCCAAGACAGTGGCAACCCTGCCCTTCTTGTGCTCAGTCCAATACCACCATCCAAACATTCACCGCAGTAACACCATCGCCATCGAGCCAACCTTGACAGCTGCTTTGTCCTCGGACACACACCCCATTTTTTTTTCTTGGAAAATCTGCAGCCATGTCCAACATCCTTTCCCCTATCGTGGCTCGCTATAGCGTCTTCTTCACCCTCACCATGTTCTCCTCCTCGATGATCTCTCAATCGAAGCAGCCAACACATCTGGTCCAAACGTTGCTGATCGATGCACAACAGCGATATCAGGACAAGGCTACCCAAAAGGTAAATCCACCAAGAATGTGATAGGATTGAACTTTTTTTTTCTGCTTTGCCACCAATTGTCCATGTATCGATCGCCATTTTCCGCCCGTTGTTGCTGCGTCGTCCAATGACACGCGTTTGTTCCCCTTCCCTTTTTTTTTTTTTTGCCACGATTGCCCCATCGATACTATCTACAAACTACATAACCCCGACAAATTGTCGAAACTATTCCCGCAATGAATAACGATGATAACATAATGCGTGCACGCTTTCGTTTGTTCGTGTGTGTAGATGAGAGTACTCATTAGGAACGTCTCGACTACTTCGACGTCGTCCACGTCCATATCGCAATCATCTTCCTTGCCGTCTGTCTCCGTCTCGACCTCCACGGCACTCTCCTCGCCGTCATCCTGCACATCGACAACAGCTCAACTCCGTTCATTTCCTTTGGATGCACCGTTGCTTTTGACCGCCGATGGAAGCGAAGGCTCTTCTTCTACACAGAAGTCAGATGAGCATCTAGAATGCGCAAGTGCGGCATTTGTGTTCACTGTACCCAGCAGCCCTTCGCCACCTACCTCCAAAGAAGCTACTGCAGGTGCGAGCTCAGGCCTCCCCACCGCTAATACAGTTCCTGTGGAAAGTCGACGACACCAGGATGCACTGTCGACTCGAGGGTCCAAGGTTTCCAAGTCATCCATCGCCACGCTGCTTTCGGTTACACTAACCATGATCCTCCTCAGTCTCCTGCAGAGCATGAAGAGGCGCCTCAGGAGGAAGGCGCGCAGTCTCCGCGGAGCGGCGCGGCGCCATCTCAAATCCAGGCACCAGCATCATCATCATCATCAATACCACCGTGACGACCGATCCACCAATCCTCCATACTCTCAATCGTCACGCACCAACACCCTCACTCTCATGGATGGCATGACTGAGAATGCCCAGTCGCTTACCCAATCCCACGCATACTACTGCAGTTTGCCTATCGCTGTGGCGAACAGCGCCGATCATGAGCCCATCCAATACAAACTGTTGCACACCATCGACTCTGATCGCCAATCAAGTCCGCCGCGTTCTCTTGCCATCCCAAACCTTGAATCCAACCATTTCTTAAGCGTCCCCAATCTCTACAGCTCTAGGAACGTGGCCTGGAGTCTCAGCGATGGACATCTACCCAACGCACAAACCAAGGATGATTTTGTTGCGGCCTGGCTGACACAGACACAGTGGAGCCTTGCTATAGGTCCTGGTGAGTTGTCCCCTGAACAGGCCAATGCCGCTTGGCGCATGTCCAGCGACAATATCCACCAAATGGAGGAGCGACATCACCAACAACCATATCCATCCCAGGATCTCCAGTATCGGTTCGATAGCCAGCACACCATCATTACTCCTAATGGTGTTCAGCAGGAGCCCCGACAAGAGCACCGCGCTAGCCAGCTAATTAATGAACCATATGAGGGCTCAACATCATCGTCATCCCAGCCGTCGCCAAACCTTTTGCCCGCAAGGCAAATCTCGGCCACCTTCGACCATCACCAACGCACGCACAATAATCATCACTACCATCATCACCAGCCTACGCCATACTCTTTTGTTCAGTGGCAGGACCAGCGTCATTATCAGATTCAACCTCAGCCTCAGCCTCACTATCGCTATCATCAACAGATTCCGCCTAGATTCAGCCATTTACAAGATCACAGTGATCATCATGGCCAGGCTCACCCTCACCGTCAGTACCAGGCCACTCGCTCTGAACACTCGTCACGTTCAGGCCATCGTCGGTCGCTGTCACTCACCCAAACAACCTCGTCAAGAAACCAGTATGCTGAGCAGGCCGTTCCAGTCTCACCAAAGTTTGAGGACCTATCTCCAGCAGAGCAGGCGCGACAAGAGTACTCCCTGCGTCGTCAGCGATACCAAATGCACCAACAATACCTCCAACAACAACGCCATCAACAGGAGGAGCACCAATTCCACAGCCAGGAGTATCATTTCCACCGTAAGGTGCTTCCGCATAGGTACCATTATCATGTCCATCACGGCCATGCGGCAGCCATCTCGGCCCACGACCTTGGGCGATACCCCACAGCATATCATTCACAAAAAGGTCGAACGGCTAATGAGCTCGCGTGGGAAAGGCATTGTTACTATCAGCAGCAGCAGTTGCAAGAGGAGGCGTTGGTAGAGCGGAAGCGCAAGGAGGCGCAGTGGCAACAGCAACAGCAACAACAACAACAACAACAGCTGCAGCAACAGGAAGGGCAACAGCAGCAGGGGCAGCAACAAGGAGGGCTTTGCCCTCCTGAGCAGGATCCATTTGCTAGGACAAGTTCATTGAATCGCATCACATCATCATCACTTTCGCCACGGACTGCACAAGCGCTTGGCCTTTCCCAATCCCAAGCTGTTTCTGTATGCTGTGACAGTAGGAAGCCAAAGGAGATCAAGGTTGCAAAGACAAAAGCCTCTGTAGGAACTGCCAAGGAGGCCGGAGCGGCAAAGTCGATCGTTTCAGACTGTCCAATTCTATCCGCAGGCCTCCGACTGATAAAGAGGAACGAGGCCAAAGACTTAAAGGAGCGTGACAGTACTCACACAAGCAATAACGAGGACACCCCTGCATCCCTGGACTCGCTTCAGCCAGTTGTGCTCCAACCACAGGAATCAGTCACGCCCTTGAGTCGCAGAAGGACGTTGAAGAGCATTGCACCCTCCATACGTTCCCTCGCCCGCCGATGCTCCAGCCGTTTTGGCAATCGTCCAAATTCATTCGCTGGATCCAGCAGTGATCCCAACATTCAATTCACTGACGAGAAGACAGCAAGTGCAAGTTTGGCCATGGAGACGGTCTATGCAGCGCGTTCGCTCGCGCCTGGACTTGATGGCGTTGTTGATTTGCAGCAGGTCGGGCCCGCAGATGGTGACTCTGCTGTGAAGTACTGCCCTCCAATCTCTGCGAGTACCTCTTTCCTGCCGCTCAAGGCCGCTGCGTCTGAGCGTATTCCAGTTCATCGAAAGGTCACACTCTTCCGCTCCAAGACGACGACAATCTCTCGCTCATCCCGACCGATGCATGATCCACAACATAACGAAACGACCCCTTCCAGTGCCGCACCTACAGATGCCATGACCACCACGAAAACAACAACATTGTCCGCCCGTCCAAGAGACTCACTGAGGCTTGCCAATGGTCGTGGTCACGAGCTATCCTCGCTCCAGCCTAGAGCGCCCGCGGAGAAGATTGAACAATCCACCAATGATCTCAACAGTGCACTACCGACCGATGTTATCTCCTCAGCCTTTGATGTGGAGCAGCAAGAAGCAACCCGTCGTCAAGTGATTGCACTACTGGCCATGGGACGGAAGGAGCGCGTCTCTGCCAAGACTGGCTTGACTATGGTACAACCTTTGCTGCCGTCCCCGAAGCAGCTTTCTCCACTCGCCTTGGAGGCCCAGGATGATATACATGCTCCGCTCGATCAAACACAAGAAGACCCCTGCGAGCGCATTGCGTTCATGTTGGTGCCAAAGTCGCGATACGAGTTCCAGCCGCTCGTGATGGCTTAGAATCGAGAACCGAGGCCGCAATCAGCATTCACGCCACGAAGATAAAACCATGATATCATGCCCGTCACACCCTTGTATATAGAGTCCTCTTTGACGGTGTCTATACCCGCACACATTTCAACATAGTACTTACTATCTATAATATAATAATAATAACTTTAATCGCTGAAGCAAATCAATTTATCGTACCCAAACTTGGATGAGTTCGTACCTGTGGGCGAATGCAATTAGACTTGAATCTGCTCACCATCTATCGTGACGTGCTCTGTAGCTGTATTGCCAAGAGGCCAAGAGGCCAAGAGTCGACAGCGTAGACCTTATACACAAGCTCCTTACTGGGTATTCAAAACGACCTCGAACACTCGTTTGAGAAACAATTAGGAAACCAGTGCATGATTTTTTGTCGCTCGTTTTGGGAAGCAAAATGTCCCAAGGGAAGGATCCTTCAGGTAAGGGAAGGGGGAGGGGGTCGATGTATAAAACGAAGGGCAGGTCCTTGGTATTCTTTCCTCATCCAAGTCAACGCCCTCACCCTCGTTCTTACATAGTAACTTTGACCTTACTGCCCATTGCCGGCTACCTCTTATATACACATCATACACACAGCTTCTCAGAAAGATCTCTACCAGATCTACCAAACAACTACCTACGACCTTTATTTATTTATTTATTTATTTATTTATTTTTTACGCGTTTTCAATACTCAAGATCAAAAATGTTGCTCAGTTGCTGCACGTCCCGCCGTCAATACGACCGCATGCCATTACCGACTAGCCGTCCCAAGACCGAGACCGAGGCCGGCGCTGGCCCCAAGAGCAGAAACAGACACAGACACAGACAAGTACGCGCACGAGCGCGGACACCCTCTACTGCTTAGAGAGGGATGTCCCGATAACACACCTGAACCGGCTCCCGAGATCGTTCGTGGCCTTTTCGGGCAGCGCACATTACAACAATTACTTTGAGCGATAATTTCTGCACACGCAATACACAGCCTCCTCTCTCTCTCTCTCTCCCTATCATGGGCACACAGCGCATATAGTATGCGAAAAGGCCCTGCCGGTTTCCCAAATACCTTTTTTTTTCATTGATACAAATAAATGGAAGAATGCAAGGCGTGCATTCGAATTTCTCACTAAAAAAAAAAAACGCCCCCTCTCCTCATCCTTCCTCCCAAAAAATGGCGCCTTTGACAAACCTGAAAGTCTTTTTTTTTTTTTCGAAAAACGAACTGATTCTTTTTATTTGTTGATATGTACAATTATGCCATTACATGAAAGATATTAAGCTGCAAAAGACAAGAAAGCAAGAAAAAAAAACTGGACGGTCAGGGTGGGTATGAATACTAGGGAAAGCAAGGGGAATTGCACGCGTGGCGCGGGCAAAGAACCTACTCCTAAGAATGGAAATGATTCCCTGTTATGCACGATTGCATTATATGTGTGTATGTGTGTGCGGGGGAAGAGGGGGGGTTGGGTTGCTGGGTATCGTGATCTTAGTTCTCCTCAAGATCCATCACTGGAAGGCGCATGCGGGGACCAACAGCTTCTTCCTCCATATCCATGACTGGGAGACTCATACGAGGACCAACAGCTTCCTCCATTTCCATCACTGGGAGACTCATACGAGGACCAACGGCTTCCTCCATTTCCATCACTGGGAGACTCATACGAGGACCAACGGCTTCCTCCATTTCCATCACTGGAAGGCGCATGCGGGGATTGATGGCCTCCTTGAGGTCCATGACAGGGAGTCGCATGCGAGGGCCGACGGCTTCTTCCTCCATTTTCATCACTGGGAGACTCATACGAGGACCAACAGCTTCCTCCATTTCCATGACTGGAAGACGCATACGAGGATTGATAGCCTCCTTGAGGTCCATGACTGGGAGACGCATACGGGGATTGATAGCCTCAGGGTTAATCGGCAAAGCCTGGACACCAGCAATGGTGAGGATGGCTGCAGCAATCAGAGTGATCTGGATCTTCATGGTGTATGACGTGTAGGTATATGTATCGAGTGCGGGATTAGTGATGAGGTCGAGTGTTCGTTAAGCGGAGAACGACTGTGGGTGTTGAGCAACAGAGGGCGGTAGTCGCGAAGAGAGAGCGAGAGGAGGGGAGTAGTGGTAGTAAGGATGAAATGGGACGTTGAGTCTGAGGAATAGAAAAGACTGGAAACCTGGCGGGAAGAGCTAGTATTTATGTGCGAAAGCGCATCAATGGCCCTGTCCTACTCGAGGGCCGAGACACAATCGGCTGCGATGCACACACATCGTTTGTAACACCTTTTTTCTTCGGAGGGATCATCCACGCGCAGGGACAGGCACGGGCACGGATACAGGCACAGGCACAGGCGCAGGGACGTGAGACACTATCTCAGGTCCTCTTGGTCATCCTATAGCTGTCTAACACCGTTTCCGACGCACAGCCATCCTGTGTAGCGTGCAGGGTGTCGCTTTCAAACATTTCAAACATTGACCGGTGAATACGCGCCTGTCTCTGCATCGGAGACAAAGGTCCGTGGGGAGGGATGGACCATGAGCTTGCATGCGACTCTGACACTCCATTCGGGTTATAATAATGCACCGTGGCTGGGAAAGCGCCTCTTCTTTTTCCTTATTGTCTTTGGCTCTCTGTGGAACAGACAAGGGGCTCGTTCACCCCGCAAGGGCCCTGAGTCTGTGCGACCTGCGTGCTGCAGCCGTGCAAGGACAGACGGCCCATTTAAGGTTGCGGATGTATCTCGAAATAAGGCCGCGATCCGAGCACAAACATCCGCCCTCCCCGCTGCGAGGACTGACACACCACTGACACATTCAATGGACTAGACTACAGCACAGTGCAGGCCTATACACTATAACACTGACACACTGCTTATGTACACACCATGCGCACACACTCTCTGCTCTGCATTTCTTCCGAAAGCGGGAAACAGGGAGCGTATACTCTATTCCTCTATTCTTTGTCTATATTCTCTCTCTGCCCTTGCGAGCCCCCAGCGTTGCGATGTCTCGCTTGGGAACATTGCTCGCGGCCATTGCAACAATCGGGAGGTTTCTGATCACAGCCAAAAGCAAGAGCCTATTGGCACATTGCACGGCATGCCATCGACACTGTGGGTCCCTTCGAAACCGATCGTGGGCCCTTGCTTGTCTTGCCAGACACTATCGGGGCTAATGCAAAGGGTGATGCTAATTAGCGAGAGTCCTCTGGGTTGCACCGCATGCGATCGACTTGGCGGGGGACAGTTGAATTAGCGGGGGACAGTTGAATTGGCGGTGAATAGCCGTTCCGCGGATGTTCTCGAGACACGATCGGGTTAGGCAAGAAGAGGTAATTGTCTCGGAAGCATGCAGGCTGGATGCGAACATAACGGTCTGTTTTTGATGCATTTAGGAGACAATAGTACAGTGAGACCAGCAACGGACAGTGCTTGGGGATGTGCCTGGGAATGTGCTTGGGAAAGTGCTGTAGGAGGGATCTATGCCGAAGGTATGTAGATATAGCGTTGGCATGCATGAGGGCATCACCGTGGGTTGACAATCAGGCTAGGCTGGATCTTTGCAGGTAAACGTGGCACGAATGTCTTGCAAGTCGAACTCCGTGTCCAGGAACACTCGCGGTGTGGTTCATTGTACTATAGCGGACTCTGAGAGCCATGGCACTCGTTCTCGTGGGGTTGGATGGGATTGGATGGGGTTGGATGGACTTGGATGAGACCTTGGCTGGGATGGATGCAGTGGATGGGGTGCTATCCTTATGGGATGGACTGCTCGAGGGTATACATGATAAGGACAGCTTGGTGGCTCCATACTGTCTCTCTCCTCTGTGAAATCTCGTCGGTGAATCTCTTCTGCAGACTACTGAGTACGAGTGCTGCGAGCATGGCGACAAGCTGTTGCGTCCGCTGTTCTTGAAGAGGGACTGTTGCGCCGTGTCGGATGCCCTATGTCTTTGGTCTTTAGGCGGTGAGGCCATCACAGCAGAGTGCGAGATAGACAATGGATCACAGCCAATTCATCGCACAGCCATTGCATGCACCCTAATGCACAGAATGTATTTCCAGCCGCAGAATGATCTTGCTAGCTGCAGAGGAAACGGCTAGAGGCGCTAGAAAAATGAACCAAGAGGAGACACAACACACCATTGGCAGTGGCACAGCAGCAGCACTGCTTTGTATGCACTCATGCACCTAAAGCCTCGGGAACAAGAAAAAAACAAGGGTGGCAATCGAGAAACCTGCCTTGGAGTACAGCCGGCCACGCTACAGTGGCGGGTGCATGTCATGCAAGGTCGATCGCGCTGTCTCCGCGCCTCTCCCTCCCTGCCCGTACGACGTAGAAAAGATATGTGTGCCTGAGAGGGAGAGGAGTATAGGCGTTCTAGGAAGGTGTAACGACATGGGGGGCGAGGGATGGGCGCACAACAGTGCATTGTACTCTTCAGAGCCTATTCCCCGAGAGACACTGCAATACATTTCCCCGGCGAGCGGTCTTTTTGTTTGTTTACTTCGATGCTCACAGCGGAGATGTGTCTCGCGGCCGTGCCTGAGCGGGGTGGATTTGCAAAAGCACACTGAGCCATGCGCATGGAAAACACAGCAGAACCATGGATGGGCCTTTGCACCGATCCAGCGATCATTCGGTCTAACGGCCATTGGCATGCATCGAGCGGCACAGAGACATTCGTTCTCCCTGGCACATATGGCATAAATACAAGCTTCTCTCCCCCTGTTTTTTTATCTTTACCTCAAACAAGTTCTTCCTCATCCTCACCACTCCCTCTCCGCCTCGCTACCCGCACCTCTCCTCTTCACGCCTTCAGAAGATCTTTCTAGCCAACGGACACTTACTCATCCCACACACACACACACACACACACACACACATCATATACCATGAAGATCCAGATCGTTCTGATTGCTGCAGCCATCCTCACCATTGCTGGTGTCCAGGCTTTGCCGATTAACCCTGAGGCCATCAATCCCCGTATGCGTCTCCCAGTCATGGACCTCAAGGAGGCTATCAATCCTCGTATGCGTCTTCCAGTCATGGAAATGGAGGAAGCTGTTGGTCCTCGTATGAGTCTCCCAGTGATGGAAATGGAAGAAGCCGTCGGTCCTCGCATGCGCCTTCCAGTGATGGACCTCAAGGAGGCCATTAACCCTCGTATGCGTCTTCCAGTGATGGAAATAAAGGAGGCTATCAATCCCCGCATGCGTCTCCCTGTCATGGACCTTAAGGAAGCTATCAATCCTCGCATGCGTCTCCCAGTGATGGAAATGGAGGAAGAAGCCGTCGGTCCTCGCATGCGTCTTCCTGTCATGGAAATGGAAGAAGCTGTCGGCCCCCGTATGCGTCTCCCAGTCATGGAACTCGAGGAGGCTATCAACCCTCGCATGCGCCTCCCTGTGATGGACCTCAAGGAAGCTATCAATCCTCGTATGCGTCTCCCAGTCATGGAAATGGAGGAGGCTGTCGGTCCCCGCATGCGTCTCCCAGTCATGGAAATGGAGGAGGCTGTCGGTCCCCGCATGCGTCTCCCAGTCATGGACCTCAAGGAGGCCATTAGTCCTCGTATGCGCCTTCCAGTCATGGAAATGAAGGAAGCCATTAATCCCCGCATGCGTCTCCCCGTCATGGAAATGGAAGAGGCTGTCGGTCCCCGTATGCGTCTCCCAGTCATGGATCTCGAGGAGAACTAAGATCACAGCACCCACCGACCACACCATGCTCAATCACATAGGGTTCTTCATCTCATGAAGCAGTTTCTCTTCTGCCTTTCCCTACTATACCCATCCTGCATAGCGATTAATTTCTCAGTTCTCATAATGCTAATTGTACATATTGCAATAAATTACTTGTCTTTTCAATTTACTCTGAACCACCTAAGAAACGAAGGATGCATCTCTGACATATTGAACATATGGGCGACTGAACTCGGCTTCCTCGCGCAAATGGATGGGGTGTCTGAGTAGGACAGTGGAAACGCGTGGTGGAAGAGTGTTGTGTCTCGCTGTGGTTTTATGTGTCCTCCTGTTGCCGCTCTGTACCTGAAATCGCCCAGCCATACAACGCCGCAAAAGCGGGTTTGCCATAAAGGTGGCCTCCAGCAATGCCATTGTTATCTGCTGCAGTGTACACAAATTCCACAGTCTCCCCTTTCATTCACCTGTTCACTTGCGAATTCTGGTCGGTTCCATGGTCTTTGGATTCAACATGCACAAATAAAGATAACGGTGATGGTCGGATTCATTTGCTCGGGCTGAGAACAAGCAAGGCGACGTCGCAAACATGGGCCTGGTTGACCCCATTCTTCAGGTTGAGATCTTGTCCAGAGCTAAAGAGTGACCTGGACTATGGCATACTGTGGCGATGGCCAGTACCGAGAGAGCTTGTGAGGCTATAGAACAGCCTAAAGCGGTGCTTTACGATTACATGTAAACGATAGTCTACTGCTGCTGCTGCTGTAAAGTCGAAAGAGTGGTGTCGTGGGTAACAGTGCAGCAGCTGCGATTGGTTGGAATGTACTAGAAAGCGCCGCAGCATCTGGTGCCGGTTCGTCGCCTTTATTATTTTTTATTGACGCGTCTTTGCAGTGTTTAGTGGACGCGTGAGGCTTGTGACAGCTAAATAAAGACGGCCAAGAGGACGTGCGCGTAGAACTTGTCTCTTCCCTTTCTGCCCTGCCTTCTCCTCCTCCCTTCATTGGCCCCTCCCTTCATTGGCCCCTCCCTTCATCGGTCTCTCTCTTCCTGGTCGCCCTCCCTGGTCCGCCCTGTCAAGGTTGCTGAAAAAGGTAATGGTAATGATGTGCTTGGTCCGAGTCAAGATCGAGCAAGGCGGTGTTGAGCTACATGGGTGGAAAACACGTCACTCCCCAGCTCTCTGCTGGCCTGGGTTGTCCACGTACTGGCTACGGTGCGTCGGGCTCTTGGGGTTGGAAGCATGTCAGTACACCTTGGGCCAACACACTCACATCGCCGATGACCAGAACCGCAGGGGTACGTATCTTGTGCGTATTTCGTGCGGGGCTGTCTGCGCTTTAAGCGGTGCTCTTTCTGTTTCTTTTTGTTTGGCTTCGCAGACCTGGCTTTTGTCTTGAGAGACACTAGCTCCAGGTTCAAGTTGTCTTTCGGATGAAGAGCCGTCCATTTGGGTGACGAGTTGCTCTTTCGGGTGGCAGGCACGGGAGACAACATGCACATGTACTTGATATGGGTGGAGCGAGCAATCCTTCATTCGTGCATGGCTTTGCCACTGGGGAACACAAGATCTTGGGCTGTTTACAGCTCTCATTAACCACTACATTTTTTCTCAGCCTTATGACACCCAGTAGGCAACGTCCGATCTGTCCTCTTGGTATGGTTTGTCCACTACGCTATGATGGTTCGATGGTTTCTGTTCATTTTTCTTTAGGTTTCTTCTTGGCCCAACCTACAGCAGCAGGTTTGGAGGCCTAGGTGAGAAACGAAGACATTGCAATACTGCATATCCACATTCACAAGTATATTAGCTGTTCCATTAGCAACAACAATAAAGTGAAGAGAAGCATGAAGACACGCGTCCATAATGAGCTGCTTAGCCATTGAAACTGCAAGGAGGCTGCTGGTACTCGTCTGCTAGTGATGGGCTGCAAGGAGAACTACGAGTGAACCATAGCACGTACGGCCACATATGGGTCTCCATCTTCAGGAGCAGGCTTCTCGTATTCCCTATTGTATCCACTCAGTACAACGCGTAACATCACCCCATGTCCAGTTGCTCATGCTGCAATAAAGCGTTCGTCTTTACGATTTATTCTTATGCGTTGTGGTATGGATCACCTCCATGATGGATACAGAGAGCAATATCCCATATGGAGCATCGACATTAGACCATAGCAGACCTCTGCGACCTCGAGGTCGTAGCTCCAGAGGTCCAGTGCAGGTCCACGAAGCAGCCTAAAATGGCCCACAGCACGGTATCTGTTCTCCGCCAAGTCATGAGCCCTGGTGGCGGACGCGGCTCCTGTCTCGAAACGACTCTACACACACGACCGTGACAGGATGTCTTGGTTATGCTCCACTTACAGTCAGTTCGGAATCACTCCACAACCCTGCAAACGAACGAACAAACCAATGAAGAGCAACCAAGCTATATCACGTCTCGACGGAAAGTGCGGGTAGGCACAGCAATCGGAAGCTTAACAGTGACCAAGATGTACGGGTTGCGAAATGCAGATGCGGATTTAATGGAGCAGAGCTATAATGTACACGGTATGGTATATGAGGCTACAGAAGCTGAGTGGCCATGGGGATCTTTTAAAGGAGACTGGGACCAGTGGCGATGCTATAGCTCGATTTTTTCATTGCCAGATCGATGACCTGATCGAGGGTCAGGAGGTTCGACTGGTTGGCAGTGCGGATTGTTTGGATCGACGAGCGGGGGGTCTGGACTGGGGTCGAGGCAGCAGAGGAGGTCTTGTTCTTGTTGGACTTGAAGAAGGGCATGGCTGAGATTGGGCTGTTGCTTGACGAAGGGGGGATGCTGTTGGTGATGATGAAGATCTTGAGTTGGTTGCTTGGAGTGCTTGAGTAGCTTGAGTGGAGTTGCTTGTGTAGATGAGGGACCTAAAGAAGCGGAGGACCGAGGTCCCTTTTATGCGTCCTTGCCCGCTATGATTCCCTGAGTGCTTCGGACCTTGGCACTGCTTTGACAGCCAAGCAACAACGCAGCGCATAGCAATAGCATGCACGCACGCATTTGATGCCAACTGCGACCGCAGTCGTCTTCTGCGGGCCCGCAGTTAGACCCAGCGGAGAAGCGGAGCGTGAAGAAACTGTCGCGCTTGGCTCGGCAACCTTAATTCTCCCCCCCGCCATCGCTCATTTCTACTCTTCGCCCTGGCAATGTGCTCTCAAGAAGCAGTGATGTCAATTTTATTTGCCGAGAACGCAGTGGAGAACATGCCCAGTCCAGAAATAAAGCCGCGCCAGGGGTTGCACGACATATTAGGGCAACAACAAGCACTTGCGCGGTGTCAAATTAAGCATCCATCGCCCCAATGGTCCAATGGTGCTAAGAATGGAAGGCAATGTCACGTAGTGGGGATACCGAACACACACAGTGGCCAAGAGACATACGGCACTGCAGGTGCACAAACGGACTTGCACACTCCTGGAAAGAACCGCACCTGTTCTGGGAGGGTTATTCTTTGTCTTTTTTTTCTTTTTTTTCCTCCGAAAAAGAACGCAGTGCTTCTTCCTTTCGTGTGTATAAATATGTCTGCATTCCCCACCTTCTTGCTGCTCTCCATCTCAACACCTCAAGCATCTTAAGCTACTCAAGCTACTCAAGCTACTCAAGCTATTCAAGCTACTCAAGCTACTCAAGCACTCCAAGCAACCAACTCAAGATCTTCATCATCACCAACAGCATCTCCTCTCCGTCAAGCAACAACCCAATCTCAGCCATGCCCTTCTTCAAGTCCAACAAGAACAAGACCTCCTCTGCTGCCTCGACCCCAGTCCAGACCCCCCGCTCGTCGATCCAAACAACCCGCACTGCCAACCAGTCGAACCTCCTGACCCTCGATCAGGTCATCGATCTGGCAATGAAAAAGTCGAGTTACAGTATGGCCACTGGTCCCAGCCTTCTCTAATGAGGAGGCGCGCGTCTCTCTAGCCATTCTTTCATATTCAATTCTGCATTCAACGTCATATCTACCTGTATCATAGCAATCACACTTGTAAACTCAAAGCAATAAAGAGCTACTCAATGTAAAAATAATAATAATAATAATAATCGTTGTTTACAACTGTTCCGACAGAGGGAGGGAAGTCTCTTGAAGTATGGGATGTCAAGCGTGGCAGCGTCAGCAATCCCTGTTAATGTCAAAAATCATAACCGCCTGTTCTCGACATACCCTTCGCGCTGCCAGCTGAGTTGCTTGACTTGTATGTTCAAAAACAAATCTTCCAGAAACAACGGCGAAGCCAAATGTTCAAAAGGCCCAAAAAGATATCCTTTGGCGCAGACGCATGAGTCTCCAAGTCATCGTAGACTACGCCCGCGCAGCTATCAATGCTATACTGCCCAGTTGTAAATAAGCGAAGAGTCGCAGTTCAGAGATTCAAACTGTTGAATTACTATGATTTTTTATTTTGCTGTAAAAATCATTGTTTAAGCCTGAGCCTGAGCAACGGAGGCAGCGATACGGTCCAAATCACGCTGACCATCGACGGTGATCTTGCGTCCACTAATAAAAATAACAAGAAAAAAATTATTGCAAAACGAGTTAACATTTGCTTCCAGCAGCCATAAAGTCCATAATGTTCTGCCGATGTTCGTTTCGCGTGGACGAAAAAAAAAAAAGTGTTGTCAAATCCGTACCCGTTCTCATCAGCCTCCAAGACGTTGATCTTCTCCAAGGCCTGGAGGACCTTGCGAGCAATGGAGCCAGAGGACTTGACGTGGTGGGAGGGGCGGGAGCCACGGTTCACCGTACCGCCATGGAGCTTCTTGAGGGCTCCAACACCAACGCTGCGGCGAAGGTAGATGTGGCGGGCAACGCTGGCTATTGTACCAATTGTGTAATATTGAACAGCGCGTTAGCGAGCGTTGTGTTGACAAAACATGCTGGCACAGAAACACCTTGCTGTGTCCGTGAGTTGATGGGTGTCAGGTTGAAGCATCGGGCCGAACTGTTTTCAATGTCCAATCGTTCCTGTTGACGGATAAGCTTAGACATCGAAACTGTCTCTTCCTGCAAAGTGCTCTGTTGTCGTACGTTATCCTGTAGTAATGAATATATTTTTCGAAGCCGTGCAATATTCTTTTGATGATCTGATGGTGCCAGTGTTTTCAATGCACAAGTGATGGAAGGGCGCCCGTTTGACAGTTTTGTGCTGGAGTGATCTTAGTGATGTCGAGGGATGATCTCCAGAATAAAAATGAAATAAAATAACCCAGCATAGGTCTCCCAGAAAGGCTGTTTTTTTGTCATCCTGAAGGCGTTTAGATCTCAGGTCCTGCTCCGTATGAATGACCTGCTGCTTGAAAACGAATTGCATACCAGCGCGAACGTAGAACCAATCAGGGTCATAGGGAGCCAACTCCTTGTTAGTGCCGGTCTTGACAAGATCAACCCACTTGGGGATCTCGAGCTTGCCGGAGCTAAGATGATCCAAGTTTTCAGAATTCAAAAATAGATGGAGTCAGCGATCGCTCGAGATTTGATGATAGATCCTCCATGATCTTGGGTGAATGTGACCATGCCGAATCAGAGTAATTCCAGGATCCTTGATCAAAAGTTCATCCCGAATCACTGGATCCTTAAAGCCCCCAAAACCGAGGCATTTTTTGGCGAATACTCACCGCTTGAGATAAGCGGCGTAAGCACGGTTGAAGTCGTGAGCGTTGATGTCCTTAACGGTGACCGAGTAGAGGGCTGCCATTTTAACAAGTTGTGAAAGGATTGGAACAGCAATCAACTTCAAGCTCGTTTTATAGGACTGACCCAAAATGTAAACAAACGCGAAAAATTTGGTACATCACGTGGAGGAAGGACCCACCCAGAGTGCAAGCTGCGACTAGCCTAAAAAAATTGGTGGCAAAAAAGGCCAAAGTAATCGAGCACCCGCAACACTATTCATAACCAAGCAAGCGGCGCGACATCGTTTCATGCCCAATTTGACGAGCAGGACTATCACCTATACCGACCAAACTGGTGAACTTCTCGTTCAACGAATTGTTAGGTTATTTTCATGCGTAAGCAACTCTTTGCCTTTTGTGAGGCAGACGACGTCCACAGCATCAGGCCGTGCCTTGTGTATTGCCGGCCACTTCTCTTTTGCCACTTTATAGGTCGCCATCACTCATGCTGCCTTACGCATGTTCAGGTTTTGTACAATGCATTATAAGTAGTCGAAGCAGGTCTTCGGTAGACAATAAATAACAATGCCTCTGTACTCTTTGTCGCAGTAATGGTTTTGGTAGACATACTGAACGAGAATAATAAGAAGCGGGTAAGCTACAAAGATGTGAAATATTTGGTTGTGCATCGTGGCGATCGGAGCTATTATTGAGCCGGTGCTTGTTTACAAGGGCGGGGCGATGCAAAGGGAATGAATAAGGTTCTTGTGCTGCTTTTCAAGAGCGATCGAACAATTTATCAGACAAAAGTGGGCACCTGCCTAGATCGCGCTACAAAGAGTTCTCATCCATCGGCCAGAAGTTCTGAACTCGATATAATCTGTGCGTTGGCAGTTGTTGAATTCTCCCCGTCAATCGAACAGGAGATGGTGACCGAGTGCTCAGGATTTTAATATGCCCGAGCAATCGATTATCGAAGTCTAGCCCTGGGATTGTCTACGACTGGACGGGGAATAAACAATTGAGTGCGAGTTGTGGGTGCCTTGGACTCTGCTTTCTACAATCCCTATTACCCCAATTCATAACCGCGTGGAGATAGTTGCACTTCCGCCGAGAAGATATGGGTGCTTGTCTGGTTCAAGGTTTACTACATGCATCATATGTGTCATCATCCACTTACTATCTATCCCTTGTGGCATGTGTTAGCATGGTACCGATTTTATTTGTCTTAATATTGGTTAGGCCCATGGATTACGGAGATCCCTCTTCTGCATATTTAAGAACACAGCTCCGTAGATGTGTCGATGTACTCGAAAAAGATCTAGGGGATGGTAGTATATCCCTATTCCCTCTTCATGAACATTGATTACTTAGAGCGATGCACGCTCGATTGTGTTGTGCCGATCAAGGAGAAATAGAAAAAGAAGACTAATAGTAACATGAAAGAGGGGTAACCCCGAGAGCAACGCCCTTGGAGTAATATCAGCGCAGCCGGGAGAGACAGGATTACCGCCTTTCCTAAATCGCCTCCTTCTTTGCTTGATGTCACCCCCCCACCCCCCATACCACATCATCTACTTTTAAAAGAAAGCAGCATTAGTGACACTGACCACATCCTTGCCACCTATCTCTGACACTGCAGCAAGGCGAACCGAGGATGAACGATATACAGACTAGAGTAACCGTTACTAATGTGTCCAGCTTTGTGCGAGATGCTGATATTAGGTACTATAAAAGAGATCATGCATCGAACAAAAGAAAAAAACGTGCTACGCAGTAGCCCAAGAACACCCATAAAAGTAATGGTGGGAGATGCAGGTGGAGTCTTTTTTTTTATTTTAGTGAAAAGTGGGTTGTTGAAACTACTTGTGTTGCACACTGTACAGGACCGAAGGGTGCGGCGGCTCAACATATTCCCATACCAACGCCCCAATACACTGTTGTCGGGTTGAACTGCGTCAGATTTGTACAGGGCTCGCTGCAAAGCAACTGGTACTTCTTTCTTATTGTTGACGTTGTTTGAGTCAGTCTTTTTTTTTTACCCCTAGACTACAGTGTCCACATCCCTAAATGCACTGATATTATGCCATATCCCATCCGTTCACTTCGTTCAGAAAAAAAACGTCGTGCCCCAATGGTCGAGCTCTTCCATCATATCCGTCCTTCTTCTACCTTCCTGTTTCTCTGGCTGGGGCCGGCACTTTCTTACTTCAATTTAGACAGACTGAGATGCATAGGCTATTAGGGTTCGGGCGGAAAGTGAAAGGTGGATATGGTTTGGCCCGCGCCCACATTACAGCCCTCCTTCCTCACCTTCTCGAGAATGCTTAATCATTCTTATTCAAATTATCCTTTTGTGCAGGTCGCATGGACTTTATATTCTTTTTCATAAAAAAAGGCGCTATATTGACAAATACGGGGAGATATCGATCCGGGAACACATATAGCCGCTCTGAGCATTTCTCCTTTCTCTATTGATTTTCCATTGTTATTGTTGCCATCCGCTCTCATTGCCCACTCAGAGTGGCAGAACTACTTCCATCATCCATCCTCGGTGAAATCGCTTCAGCAAACCAAAAACATATCGGTTAGTCTGTCCACTTTATCTAACGGGGATTGCCCTAGCCATTATAAAAGAACGCCTCGTTCGGGGGGGGTTTCTTTTACCTACATCCCCCACTCCTTCCTTCCTCCTCTTCCTCACACCTCCATCCTTCCCTTCTCTTCTTGTCCCGCTATATAAAGTGCTTTATTTCCTGTATCTTGTGTAGAAGTGGAGACAAGTTGAAAGCGAGATCTATTTAGTCCGCACCGAAAATACCGCATCCCTCCATACACCACCTTCATTCGCATTCACATCCATAGCTAATAATGACCGATAAACACGAATACGTCGAAGAGGTCGCTATCCCTTCTGCGTCCAGCCACTCTGGTTCTGCTACCAACTTCTCAGATCCCATTGTCGAGAATCTTCGCCACGAGATGGAGCACGAGACTAAGGAGCAGGCTGCCCTCGATATCGAGATGGCCAAGGCCAGAAAGACCGAGCCTCCTTCAAGGCGATGGATCGTCCTTGCCACAGCTACCCTTGGAGCGCTCTTTGTCTCCCTCCAGGGCTCTGCCCTGATTGTTGCCCTGCCAGATTTGATGCAGAATCTCAATGTATGTTGGTTGAATTTAACCGAAGCAGACTTGTTTATTCGGCTCGATCGTCCCCTTTATCCCTTCCCTGTTTATACATGAATACATAATCATACATCTAACGCGTTACCTCACTCCCTTTGTAGATTGATTTCGCTACCATCATTTGGGTTCTGTTAACATACACGCTGGCCATCACTGCAATTGTTCCTTTGCTGGGCTTCGTTGGTGATGCTGGTCTGAAGGGTATTCGGTAAGTGAAAAAAAATAAAAAATGGGCGAGTTGGACAAGCAGGGCTCACACCGATCGATGCATTAGTACAACATGGCATGTTCTCTCCGCGGACTGACACCGCCTTTTTTTTTTTTTTTTTTTTTTTTTTGTACGTGCATACGTTGGTTAATAGCTGCCGTATGTTCAACATTGGTTTCCTGGTCTTCACTTTGGGGTCTCTCCTCTGCGGCATCTCTCAGAAGAAGTATAACGGATACGACCTCCTGGCGTACCGTGTTGTCCAAGGTCTCGGAGGTGCCCTCCTTTTCTCAAACTGCTTTGCTGTTGTCGCCGACAAGTTCTACCCTTACAACCAAGTCGGTCTCGCTAGCGGTATCATCAACATCGCCTTTGCCGCAGGTACCATTCTCGGCCCTGTCATTGGTGGCGCCACTGTCAAGGCCAGCTGGAAGTGGGTCTTCTTCTTTAACTTGCCTTTCGGCGCTATTGGAACTGTTGCCGGATTCTGGTTCTGCCACGATACAGTCTATCCCCATGTCCAGTACGCGTCCTTCAGTAAGATCGTCAAGTCCTTCGATTACACCGGATGCATCACCTTGACTACCAGCATCGCCTTGCTGTTCGTCGTCGTCGTCAGCGCCCTGTTCCCTAACGGCAAGGTCTCGGAGACCGGTTCCTTGATTGGCATGGGTGTTGCCTTTGGCGTCCTCTTCATCACCTTCATCATCCAGGAGGCCTTTGTCCGTGGAGGAAAGCGCTTCAATGCCTCGAAGACGCCCTTCATGGACTTCCGTCTTTTCTCCAACTGGATCTTCAACAACACTGTCGTTCTCGGCGGTCTTGCTGGAGGTGTTGCCCGTACGAACTTGACTTTCTCCTTCATCTTCTTCTTCCAGGGTCCATATAGCAAGGACCCTCTCATGGCCGGTATTCTCTTGATCCCCTTCGGCTTGGGTATTATGATTGCTGGTATGCCCGCGGGAAAGCTGGCTGACACCCTCGGCTTCCGTTACTTGTGCTTTGCCGGTCTCGCTCTCGCCTCGCTTGCCACCTTGATCATGCCCTTGGTCATCAAGCCCGACACCAATACCTGGGTCATCTCTGCTCTCTTGCTCGTCAACGGTCTCGGCTGGGGCCTTTACTCCTCTCCCTCCGCGTCCATCTCGATGCTCTGCATTCTTCCCCAGCAGCGCTCATCGTCGTCCTCGATCCGTATCATGTTCACGATGTTGTCTCAGATGATCGCTATTGTTATCTGCTTCAAAGTCATCATCTCGGGCATGCCCCCAGCTGCTGTCCAAGAGCTGTTCATCTATGGTGGTGGCATTGACCATCAGTACCTAGACTCGTTCATGCATGGCTGGAAGATCGTGTGCTGGATCACTTTCGCCATCACCTTGATCTGCTGTATCTGCGCTTGGGCTCTTCCAGTGACCCCTGTTATGGCCCATGAGGAACCTGAGTCGGAGGTTTCGAGTGTCATGGAGGTTGAAGCAAATAATAAGGCTTCTGCTTGATCATGAACGTGCATAGGGTATATATACCATCATCTATAATAATAAAGCATCATTCATTAATTCAAATCAATCATACTGCAGCCCTGCAAGGAGTGGACCCTTGTTGCTGTTGGTGTTTTCTTTGAAACGCATTGTTGGTATCCATCCACACGTGATGGTCTGGTCAAGAATTATGCGCTTGTCCCCATGGACAGTGTGTTTCCATTACTCGCCATCCACAGTTCCCCAAGCAGGTACCCAAACGATTTCTTGTGCAAGGCGGCGTATGAAGCTAGAAAGCAGCACAGCTGGAAGAGAAAAAGAGCTCCGCTGTCATTCACGGCTGACGAGCTGTGGACCACACTTTTCATTCCGGACATCATGAATGGATAAAAGTCCTAACAGCTCTCTCATTTTTTTCACACCTTTCACAGTTACTCAGTCTGTACAACAGCAAACACTCACTGGAACCCCTCATCAAGACGCACACACCCCATCAATATGAGCACTCGAGCCTGTCGATTTTTCTTGGCAGGCAACTGCAGGAACGGCGCCAGTTGCCGTTTCTACCACGAAGGTTTCTCCTCACTTCCACTAGAAACTAGGGCAGAGGCCCAGGAGGCCCAGGAGGCCCAGGAGGCCCAGGAGGCGACATCCGCATCATCGGGAAGCCGTAGTGAGCGTAGGACCTCATCTTCGGACCGCCCAGCCTACGCCGCGACCCGTCCTTGCCACTGGTACATGGCCGGATATTGTCATCGCGGGGACTCTTGTTGGTTCTCGCATGACCGTGGTGTCATCAACACAGCCTATGGCGGGACAGAGGATACCATCGAACTGAGTGACGACGAAGAAGAGGAAGGAATACCAGAAAATGCCGTGGAGGATGAGGATGAGGATGACCAAAAGTGCGCCATTTGTTTTGAAGTGCCCCAAACATTCGGCTTACTCGGTATGTCGAGGTTGCCACGCACACTCATACACTCACACTCACACACACGCGCGCGAGTCTTTGGCCTACAGTGGTGATAATTATCCGTCGTTTGGCACTTCAATAACGTCTTATTAATTTCTTTCGACACCTCGATAGTATCATGCAACCACGCTTTTTGCCTGACTTGTATCCGCACCTGGCGATCCAAGGAGATATCATCAGACCTTCACGACAGCAGCAGCGGGAGTATGTCAGTGACCAAAGCATGCCCCAATTGTCGGACGCCTTCTCTCTATGTAGTCCCTTCATCCTTCTTCCCAACGTGTGCGGAGCAAAAGGAAATCATCATTCAGAACTACAAGGAGGCCACTTCTCGAAAACCCTGTAAATATTTCAAGGTACGTTCAGTAAATGTGCTGTTTAGATGTTTTAGTCAACGTCAAGCAATTGTATCATCTTCCGGTATGATTAACTGGCAATTGCGTTCTAAAAGGAATCTGGCGAACGACGTTGGTGCCGCTTCGGCGACGACTGCCACTTTGCACACTTGGATGAGAACGGCGAGCCCTGCAAGGTCAACCCAGATTCGGATCCCAGACGTAACAGATCACGAAGGCACCATGGACGGAGATATGATTTTACGCATCGCGATGTCTGGGACACCTGGCAGGCGGCCAGTGACCAACTGGGCGGTGATTTTGAAACCCTTGAGACTTTGTTGCTCGAGCTCTCACGACTTCGACTTCGTTATGAAAGAAGCAGTGATCCGGACACATGGGACGGCGATGTTGATGGTGTTATCCACAGCCTTCATGATCTCGAGGATACATATAGTAGTTGGAGGCAGCAGGAGTGGGATATTGAAGATGGCGATGACGATGATGATTATGAAGATTATGAAGACGATGAAGACGACCATGCCGGGTGGGATATCCAAGACGTGGATGACGAAGAGCTCTACACACGATGGGGCGACATTTAATGCGTGAGATTTCCAAGGACATTGTTTTTTTTTTTTGCTGGCTTCAGTCCTATACATTAGGTCGCGCTAATATTCGCCACTGCTCTGCGCTGCGCGCTTCGAAGCACTTTCGTTTGTACATGTCGTCATTTTCCTGTATCTTGCCTCTCTCCACAATCAGGTCTGCAAATAAAACATTTACGAGTCGAATAGGTGCGTCGGCCACCATAATTTTGTCTCCTTCACAATGCTTCGATTGTCCTCTGCTTCTCATTTCCCGTAATTCAGGGCAAAGGCAGGTCGGGACAGTTCTTTCTTAGGTTATGATCTTGCACTAGATCAATAATATGACAAAACGGTTTACTTCTTGGCCAACAAAGCTTGTTCAGTGTTGACCTTAGTTCTAAAGGTCTCAATGGTACCCGAGATATCAGAAGCCTTAAAGATGGAGGTTCCCGCAACAATGACGTTAGCACCGGCCTCAGCAGCAGCATCAATATTCTCGAGGGCAATGCCTCCATCGACTTCGATATCCAGATCTGGAAACCGCGCACGCAGCTCCCTGACCTTGGGCATGCACTCCGCCATAAACCTCTGTCCACCAAAGCCGGGCTCGACCGTCATGACCAGGCACATGTCCATCTTGTCGCCGAGATCCATGACCGTGGAGATGGGGGTCTTGGGCTTGACTGCGACGCCGGCCTTCATACCGGCAGCGTGGATCTTGTCAATTAAGGCCGAGGCGTTTTCGGTAGCCTCGATGTGGAAGCAGTAAAGCGAGGCGCCGGCCTTTGCAAAGTCGTCGACCCACTTTTCGGGGTGCGAAACCATCATATGGCAGTCCAGGAAGGCATTAAGGTGCTTGCTCAGGCATGAAATGACTGGGGCGCCGATGGTGATGTTGGGGACAAAATGACTGTTGGGATCCGTCCAAGAAGCGATACCGAAAAAAGTACATAGCGAGGCGAGAGTTAGACTGACTGCGACTGAATGCCAAAGATGAGGTATCAATAAAAGTTGCTGTGCTGAGACCCCAGTCGAGTCCTTACCCATCCATGACATCTATGTTGGTGTTGGTAAAAGCGGATACAGAACAGCTCAGTCGTTAGAGCTGGGATCGTTGAGAATCGTTCTTAACCAGACAGCACCCTTCATGTGTCGAAGGAGCGATCGTCCTACCCATGTGCAGCCAGTCAGCTCCGTGAGACACCATGCGCTTGCACTCGGCGGCGAGGATACCAAAGTCTCCGGAAAGCAGCGAGGGCGAGATTTTGGCAATAGGCATGTTGATTAGAGATGTCCGTGTGGGGTAAAGGGAGCGAGCGAAGGAATAAATGTTGGGCAAGTTGTTTTGTGTCCGATAAAAGGACCCCTCCATTCGACGTCACAGAAGCTTGATCTGAAATTGGTGGCAATCCATTTTCGTGTTCCTGACGTGTTCTTTCGATCTAAAGTAGGAGGTGTGGGGCGGGGGTCTGAAGAGAACTGCTGCCAAGCGTGAACGATGAGAAATCATAATCCTTCCAGAGGCGATATCTCTCCCATATTCGACTCCCGATGCACTTATGAAAACTACAACGCCAGATGAATTTTTTTTGGATTCCTTGTATCAAGGCGAAGAGTGAGCACTCAGGGCCATGAACGTGTACAGGATGACACGGCATCCTTTCGAGCTACGCAGTTTATTGCTTGTCACCGAAGGAGTTCCTGTACATGGCTCGTAATTTTGTAGAGGTGACGAGGCTGTAACGGAGGGGTTCCCAAAGGAGCTTTGCCCAAGAGAACATAAAAGGAAGGATGGCTGCGAAGGGAAAGAAAAGAAGGAGGAGAGAGAAGAGAGGGAGACAGGAGAGACCGGCGCCATGTCTGCTGCATCTATAAGGAGCTGGTACGTGATTATAAATCGCTCCTTGAGAATATGATACGATTGAACACGCTTTCGCCCTTTGCTAGCGCCCCTTCCACACGACATATTGTTGCACATCACCGCGGACCTCTCGACCTTTTTTTTTTTTCGTCTCTTCCCCTTAAAGTTTCGCTCAACCTTTTTCTCTCCTTCCTGGAGAAGGTCGTTTGACGGGTCTTCCACAGATGGGCAACTAAACATCCGATATATAGCAGACAGCAGGTCGGCGCTGGGCGCCCAGTCGTCGCCCAAGTACGCATGTAACACATTCCGACGCGCAGGAGCAAATGATCATCATTTCCATCCCTGCTGCTGGCGCCCATGTCTCATATTCTTCTTTCTCGCTCTTTTTCCTTCTTTGCTTGCGCTGCTCTTCCTCTTTTAGTTTCCCCCGTTGTGTTGGTGCATCTTTTGGCCATTTGCTGCAGCATCGTGCTTCCTTGCTCGTTTCTGTGTGACACTCAGAAGCGCTTAAAAGGGTTCATTTCCATTTTTTACGTTGCCGCCCTTTCATAATCGTGCATCCGGGTCTATCTTCTGTATCTGGTATGTCGCATGGGTTGGTTTGCATGGCGTAGAGCATCTGTAGACGAGATTACTGTCAACCCCTGCCTCTGCTTCTGCTTGCGGTTCTGCTTATTCACACTACACTCATCCAATGATTTGGCTGGCTTGCCACAGCAAATATGCTGAGATACGCGAACACTAATCCGGCTAGATCGGCACATTTTTGCTCTCAGCCGTAAGCACCTTTTTTCCCTCCATCCGTCCCATCCTATTCAACCTCGGAGCATTCTTTGCTTACTTACTCTTTCTTTACCGACCGCCAATTTACTCTGTACTCACTTGCCAACATGCGGTAATTGGCCTCTGAATGGCCTACTGAATGACCATGCTTAGCAGTGCGCACAGAGACTACTGACGATATTCCACCGAGGCCAAACTGTACCTTCCCTCGCCTCTTCCTCTCTTTCTTCTCTTCTTTCTTATTCTCGTTTCTCGCTCTCACCACTCCATCTCTCACTCTCACTCTCGCGTCCCTTTTCAACACTTTTTAAGAGCATATTGCACACTGTCCCCCGCGCCTGTCCCATACAGTTCTCAACATCTGCTTGCGTGCATGTAAGGCTCAGAACCTCGGCTGCAGGGTGTCCTCCATAGCACATCAGCACCAATAGTCTACATCCACATCTACAACACTACAGTTACAACATCTCAACAACACCTACTCGCACTCGCGCGCACACCAGAGCCAATTGCATTTCCCGTTCACACCTCGAGCGTCTTGCAACATGTGTGCCAATCTCTTCACACGCAGTAGCTCCATCTTCCTGTGTCCCTCGATCGCACCTTGCATCCCGCGTCTTTTTATTGTTGGTTGTACCAACGAGATATGCTCTTGTTTTTATTTGCTCATGTAAACAACAACGCACGATGCCCAATCCAATTTATGCTGAAGACGGCAATCCGTTCGGGCAACACACACAAGGCTGGCTGAACCGGCAATATAATTTAAATTGCTCAATTCCTGCATGTCTCTGTTGCTATCCCATCCCTCAACCCCTGTTTGCCGTTGTATTTGTAGACTACGTGTGTAGTCTATGCATGGCTGCTTACACTCTCCCTCCCTCCCTCCGTGAGTTCCTTTCCTACATCTATAGTCTAGTCCCAATACCAAATCAACATCAACAACAAAGAAAAAGCCATCGCTCCGCAGAAAGCTCGAACGCACCAAACACCGCTTACGCCCCTTGTCGCCATCTCCCCATATCCGCTCATCTTGCATTATTTTTTATCCCTTCTGTTGCTTCGATCCCATCTCTCATTTCATGCCGCGCATTGTTCTTGTAGGGCCAATCCAATGCCTTTGAGGAACTGTATATAAATATTTATAAAGCACTTTCGTCTAGGATCGTGCATAAAGCGAAAAAAAGAAAATGCTCTCCCATTTTTTATTTTTTGGCAAGCTAGACTAGTTGCTACTGCACTCTGCCTGTTCCTGGCGCCTCACTTTTTTGTGCTACATGCCCATCGCATACCCAATCCACTGGTCTCCCTTCATTTCAGCAGCCTCAACCGCTCACACCCAAACCTTGCGGAAGATATTCTTGCGGAAGATATTCTTGCGGTTGTACCCGTTTCATGCACCCAATTGTCTTTTTGGCTAGCACCTGTCGTAAAAATATCTCTTAATACCGTTCGGTTGGTTCAATGGTACCTTGTTGGTTTTGCCTACTCAGTATGGTCGTCTGTCCTTGGCCTTCTTTTTCCTGTTGTTCTTTATTGCGGCTCATGTTTTTGCACGTCTTTCCCTTCAAACCAACGGGCCCCCGGCCATCAAGAACGACAACAATAACAAAAAGGAAAAGCTGCTGGGGGGGGGGGGAGCACCGCTGCTAACTCAATCTATGCAAAAAAAAGTCGTTACGGATGTGGACCCGTTCAGTCGCGATTGACACTAACTCGCTCATCTCTATTTCTCTTTATTATCTCGATTCCTCTGTTTCCTGCTCAGTTTATTCCACGCCTAGCAGCTCCCTACACCACGTTCCTGCTGTTCGACTAAAAAAGCACGCAAGCGCGCTCACCAGGTTCTACAAAAATATACCGCATATTTATAAAAGGACCATGGCCCTCAGCAGAATCCCTAATCGAGCCCGCTCCAGCACGCTAGTCTGTCCCCCACCTTCTTCTTCTTCTCCTTCATCCCCTTCATCTCCTTCATCTCCCCTGGCTACCATCGCTACGCGTGCTGGCACGACAAGCAAAAAATCATCCATTGCTGGCGGCAGCATTAGCAACAATAGCAACCTCACAGCACTCGCACTCGCCAGGGAACAGAAACTACGGAGGCCCTCTCTTCCCACCATGTCTGGCGGCACCTCTTATATTCCCACTCAAAGGGCCTTCAGCGGAACACCTCATCACCTCACCACAAAAGAGATGTCGACATTGCGATCTACCAACAGCATGTCTCGTCTGAATGCCGACAGGAACGACAGCACACTTGCCTCCTCACATATTGCACGGCCCTCCACCTCCACACGGATGTATCCCTCACCCTCACCCCGCGTAACGTCTCCAGGCAGACTTGGCGATGGCACAAACCAGCAACACCACCACACCAGAACCCCATCCTCCACATCAATAACGGGCCCCAGCAGCGGCAGTGGCCAAGCCTCGATGATTGCTAAACCCATCGCCCGAACCCAAAAATCTAGCGCCATCAAACCACCTTCAATAGTGACTAAGCCCAGCTCCGCTAACGGCCACAGCACAGCAGCAACAACAGTTGCACAAAAGACCTCTAATTTCCCATCCGTCGTACCATCCTCAAACCAACACCCTGCACAAATACCCCAAAATGCATCCTCTGCAACACTCTCCGTAACATCGCCTGTGACCTCAATAGGGGCCCCAGGGTCAGTAATATCGCCCCAGACAGCCCCGAAAACACGTGCCAGAAACCGAGCCAATGCGGGCATTGACTCTGCATGCTACATGACTCGGTCTAGCAGCAGCGAGTCTCTTCTCTCAATCTCGTCCTCCTCATCCATCTCTTCAACACCAACGATCGCCGCCACCCCGACCATGCCCAGCATGGTTGCTACCCCACCGACCGGCACAGAGGCATCAATACCAACAGCAGCGTGCACGATATCAAAGCCAGGCCATCAACGGAAACAACTTACGAGGCGACCATCTATCGCTGACCTTCGCAGAGCCTCGGCAATAAAGCCGCTCTCGTTGACGGATGCAATCAAGACTACGGGCACAACAACAGGGACAGCCATGAGGGCGACATCTCCAGTAATAGAGTCCCTCGGTATCATATCCCCCCTGACGAAAGAGAACGTCTCGACTATGCAGGCCAACATGGGCAAGGAAATGCACATGACGAACGCACCGACCGTCATCGTACGTTGCCAATGTCCTCCTCCACTCGAGTTCCCCGAGTATGTCAAGCGGGAAATGAAGCGCGAAGAAGAAGAGCATCGTCAACGAGAATGTGGCCTCTATGCCAAGGTAAGAACGCAGAGCATTACGCGATACGCGCTGACATGATCTTTTTTTGTGCGCAAACGCTAGAAATTTAATGTTGTGGTCTTTCTTTTTTTTGTAACTAGATTATTGAACTCCAAATTGAAAATGCCAACCTGAAGGGCGAGAAGGAGACGCTACATCGGGTAGTCTCGCACAGGGACAAGATGCTGCTGGAACTGCAAATGCAACTTCAGGCGTAAGTCCATGTTCACTTCGTTTTTTTTTTTTTTTTTTTTTAGGGCTCAATATTTTACTTGCATATCGCTCTCGATTAGAGCAAAAGAAGATCTAACGCCCAAGGTTTTAATATATCTCTCAATTTAGCATGGAATTTGTATGTCGCGAAAACGACATCAAGGTCGATATCGACATGTGTCCAGATGAGGTGATTGAGAACTGGTCCTTCAAAGAGTCAGATGAGGTCTACCAGCGGATACTGCTCACCACCCAGGATTTGCTCCGCAACGGATCCAAGTGCCTGGAGCAGAACACCGTCGTGGGAAGATCAAGCAGAGAACACATCCGAGCGACTCGTTCCTCGACCGGCTCTCCAAGCAAGGTCTCTTTGGACCAGGGATCAAGAACCGTTGAACCTTTGCAGTTCAAGGAGACCTCTCGTCCTGGCACGCTCAAGTTGGACATGCAAAGTCTGATGCAGGCAGAGCAAGTGTTCGATGGCAATAGCGATCGCTCGACAGTTAACCATTCAAACCTTGCAGAGATCAACGCGAGCGTTGAAAGGAACGGAAGGAGGGCCCTGGACTGTGGCGACGATCGGTCTAATCTTTTCCATGAGAGCGCTGGAGGCTACCACAGCTCTGAGGATGATGACGGCGACGTTGAGGATGACAGCGATGATGACGAGGGCCAGGAGTCAGAGTTCGAGCAGCTGGGTGAGGACATGATCAAGTACGTCGAACTCCAGTCGTCTGTGGGGCCTAGACGCGAATCTCGATCGGCATCGCTTTCAAAGATGATGACCCCAGTCGGAACGCCCGATATGTCGACTGCTGTGCTGATGAAGAACTTTTTGAAAAGCGGGGCAAGGCGGAGTGCAGGTACCACGCCGCTGTCTCATCCTTTGCACCATCAACCGCAACAGTCTTATTCGCATGGCGGCAAGCCAGCGGACCGAACCAGCAGCATCTCCAGCAGCAGCCTGATCGACGACTACTTTGCTGCGCAGCCCGCCATGTCCATCAGCAGCACTTCCGGTGGCATCGGCCTTGGACTGACTGGCCTTGGCCGGTCGCCGGAACGAATTTCGATGGAGAGGTTCCGACCAAGCGCGCCCACGCGTCCACTCCCGCTCACCCCATCATCCTCGCCTTCGCTCGGTTATCGTCATTCCTTTACTGTATCCCGGTCACCGAAGTTCAACAACTCCGGTGCGATGTTCCCTGGACGGGGTAGCATGGACCTTAACCGTAGCGTGAACATTGCGGATTGCCCACCTCCGATGGTGCCGTTGCCCCCGCTGCCAACATACCCACGGTATTCTTATCGAGACCACATGAAGCAGAAGCTGCTGGAGGTGTCGAAGCCGACGCATGGCCGGACGAACAGCCATGGGTTCGTGATTGAGAACGTTGGTCAGTTCCTGAAGCGCCGGACGTATGGCAAGACGTTGACGCGGGACATTATGCATCGTGGTCATCGACGACGAGATTCAGTGTAGATCCTTGCACTATGTAATAGTTTTTCCCTTAAAAAAAACCTAATTGTATAATACAGTATTTTGCTTATGATATGCAACGGTTGTCTCGAAAATCTGCTTTGTGGAGGTGGAGTGATCGTGGATCGAGAATCCTAGGCAGGAGGGGGTGGCAAGGAGGACATTAGACACGGAACATGAGGTTTCGGGAGCCATAAAGGCTCTCGATGATAATGACGACGACGGCGGGAAGAAAAAAGAGTACGCGCGTCCATGTTTTGACTTTTGATCGAACGAAAATACACAGCTTAGTTTGACCGAAAGGGGAAGGTCCGTATATTAGGTCACATGTCTCATTCTCTCTCCATTTTTTTTTTGTTTCCGGGAGTATAAAAACCCTCCCACATGCGCACATCTTTGTGTACCATTCATCGCAGCACCATTTTCTCGAGCCAGTAGACTCCAACAAAAGCAACAGCAACAACAGCAACAACAACCCGCTCTCCTTTCTTCCCACCTTTGACAAAAATGTGTTTCGCTGTCAAGTGCGACAAATGCTCGAAGACGGTAAATTTGAGACACACATCCTGTTCCTGCTTGGCGTGGTATCGCTTTCTCACAGAGAGGAGGAGAGGAAAAGCAAAAAAAGATAACTGACACTTCTTTCTTTCTTTCTTTTCTTTCTTTTCTTTCTTTTCATTATCCATGTATATGAATCAACCAACTAGACCTGGAAAGGTTGCGGCATGGTACCGTAGTAGCATCTGGATGAGCTCGAATATGTGGATGTTCTTCACCGGCTGTCGAAAAGGGATATTTTAACCAACAAAAAAAAAAAAAACGCACTTTTTTTCTTTTTTTTCACTCGGCCCTTTTTTCCCTCCTCCGAAAACATCAACAGCACGTCTCTCAAGGTAACGAAAGATCTTTTTTTTTTTCCCGCTCCCTTTGTCCCTTCTTCAAAAGCGTAGATCTGAAGTTGACAAAGCGAGCGAGTGAACAAAGGATAAAAAACAACAACAACGATCTTTTATTAATATAAAAACTCGAAATCCCACATCTCCGATAGTCATGAAGGACGTCCCCGAGAGCCAGCGCTGCGAGTGCCCCCGTGAAGGTTCTTCTGCTTGCCTCATTCAAAACCACCCCGCATCTCCTTTGCTTGAACATGTCTCCACCCTCTCCACCCCTATCGTCTGAAAAAGGCCCCCCCCCCCCCCCAAAAAAAAAAAAGTGTAAAACAAACCTGCTGATCTCAGGCTTTTCCATTGCCTCTCTTTTTTTATTTTTTTATTTTCTCTCTTTCTAATACTCGATTATTCCACACACACACGCACACACACATACAAAAAAAAAAAAAAAAAAAACAGGTGCTGCTTCTGCTTCTGCGCCCAAGCCTGCCGAGGAAGCCGCGAAATAAGAACGCATGTCCCCATCGCGAGCACACGGATCCAAGAGGGAGGAACGTCCTTTTTTTTTTATTATTATTATTATTATGATTACATAATTCTGTTCAGAACAGAAAGCAGAGCGCTACAGACAGGATGCAAAAGATAATTCCAATAGTAATATTAATAATAAAATTAAAAAGAAACATCTCAAAACAGGAACTTTAAATGACGAGAGATGGCGAAAGCCAAGGAGAAAAAAAAAAAAAGGAAGAGAAGACGCGACGTCGTGTTGTTGTCCAGGAATGGAAGATTCATTTCTGTTTCTGGACCGTCGCAGGGCTGTGGCTGATATATCTGGGGGGGGGGGGGGGGGGGGGAAGGGGCATTTGCTCCACTGCAGAATATTTGTAAGGCCTTTTTTTTTTTCTACAAACTATAAAACCACAATTTGCAGCGCGTCGGGCTATGGTTTGTTTAGTCGGTTTCTTTATTTTGATGTTACAAGTTTTTTTTTTTTTTCTTTATGTACAAGTTTCTTTTCCTTTTTGCATTAAAAAGATACATATGTCGCGTTTCCTTTGCGATGTCCCTTTGTCTTCTTTTTCTTGGTGTACACGTTTTGCATGACCTCCAAAAAAATCGAGGGGACCCAACAAAATAAACAAAATAAATGAAAGCGCGCGAGTGGTCTTCCTTTCTGTGATACATGGTCTATCGTCTTTTGTTGTTGGTGCAGAGTTTTACCACCCCTTCTTGATATCGATGTGCGGAAGCTCCTCACGCCTGCTCTCCATCCACTTCTCGTCCTCGTCCTGAAGCGCTCTGCTCAAGTCTTTTGTGGTCCAACTATATTCCAAAAAAAAAAAAAAAAGAAGCACACAGACACCGAATAAAAGTTAGCATTGAATTCATGCAGGAAACTAGTGGAAAAAAACCAAAGCACAGCAGTCTGAACGCAAGACAATGCAAGACAATGCATCGACAGTACAGAGCCTCTATCTCCCGCCTTCTCTGTGAAATTCTTTCTCCTGAGAACACAAACTCAACAGAATCAATGAAAACTTACATGATAATCTGATTATCATCACTGCAGGAGGCCATTAAACCAGGCATCGTCGGATGCATAGCCGACCATCCACAATGCTTAGAGTGCTCCTCCAACATCGCAATGGCCTCGCCCGTCTCGACATCCCAGAAATGCAGCTTGCCGTTCTCGGATCCTGCACAGAGGATCTCCTTGTTCGGTCCCAGGAACGCTGGCATGATAATAAACCGCTCATTCACGTATGAATCTGCCTCCAAAGCCCTCAGGAAGGTCAGCGTTCGGAAATCGTATATGAGAATCTGAGCTGGTCGGCATAAATCCACATCGCTCTATTTGTCAGAAGACAGCAAAATAAATGTTTTTCAGAGTGATTAGAGACGGCTCTGTTTTTGAAATAAGAGTAGTTGTGAACGAGATTCTGCTGCCTTACCTTGATAGAAATGGAGAGGTATGAGCCGTCGGGCGAGACGCTCATGACAGTTGGTCTCTCCTCCACCATGGCCACATATCTAGTCGCGGAAGCAAAACAACAAGTCATTAGATTAACATGAATGCCCTTATAGACTTTCATTGCTGGCTTTGAACATAAAAACCAATTTGCTTTAAACTCACTTGGACTCTTCCCCCTCAAAAGAAATGACTTCGACCTTGTTGTCGCTGGTGATGACGGCCTTATTCTCTCCTGGGACCATGTACATGATATCGACAGTTTTATCCATATCCAACTCCTGAACGACCTCGCCTTCCAAGTTCTATTGCAAAAGAACAGCAGAAAACGGTCTTAGAATTTAATCCGCCAAACAATGATCCGAGCCAAGATGCGGACAGGGTTACTAAGAAGACTAGAGGAGATCAAAAGTCATAATAGGGGAGGGTTTCATTTTTTTTCAGCTGTTCTTACCCAAATGTAGACCAAACCATCTCTAGGCGCTGTTATGAATCGCTTCGAGTCTGTCATCCAACCGATGGCGTTGACAGGGATATCTCGTGGTCCATCTCTGTGTTTCCGCTTAAGAATAACCTCGCCAGCCTAAGGAGGACGCATGCAATTGGAGCCATAGAGGATCAGTAAGACGTGACCATGCAGGAATGTTTACAAATATTTGTCATCCGTAGTCCATTATCTCAAAACATGTGAATGCTCTCAGTATTTTATCAAACACGCTGGTGAAAAGAAACCATGGCGCCACGGTATATAGAAAGAACAACAACAACAACAACAAAATCACCTTGGCCTTACCGCTACATCAATCAAATGGAATTCCGTGGCCTGTTGAGGTCTAAATGCATCGAACCCCAGGTTCACGAGTACATATTTGCTATCGGGCGACCATTCTACATGAGTGATGGTGCGTGGGAACTGGATGGTCTTGTATGCGGTTGGTTCTGGCGTCTATAGAATCATGGTAAAGAGAAGCGCGTTAGGAAATGTTTTCACGTTTGTATTCTGCACACATGTTCACCTTTTCCCCTCCCCTATAGTCTTGTGCCAACATAACTCTAATGAGTCCCAATGCCCGTGGTATAACACACAGGATCCCCCTTGTCATACCACTACATGCACGACGACAGCCATGGAAGTGAGCTCCGAGGAATTATGGTCGGGTGCTAGCCTTATTCTGCCGCCCTTTACTACTACATGATTTCTCCAGCACCTGGTAAACACGCCTTTCATAACACGCCTTTCTTTGAGCTTTTTGTGATGTCGTTTCCAAGCCCCTGAATAGCTCGGTGTGATCCAATATGGTTTCACACCTTTATTTTTCCCACCCAGTCCCAAATGTTGTTCCATATGGCGTGTGGTGAAGTGAGAGTGCCAATCAACACCAGCCTCGCTTTTCGTTGGCTGCAATCGAAAGTAAGGGACAGCAACGCGAACACAAACACGAACACGAATACGAATACGGACAGGGCACACACTCACAAAGATGCACAAGAAAAAAGGCCAAATTAAAAAAGAAAGCTCTTGGCGCTGCAAGCGCCGATGTAAACAGTGCTTCTGGAAACGATAATCAAGACTCTTGGTCAGACTCATTTTTTATAGTCTTATTAAGAAGAAGGGCTGGTGGGTAAATTATCGGTGGAACGGAGATGTAAACAAAAAGCTCAACGACGGGACCCCTCGCTTAGGCCGATATGCCCAATGGCAAAAACCAATAAGCTGGAAATTGATACATGTCTTTATCATAAACAAAGGCCCTGGGAAAATAAAGAGGCGGGCGAGGTACGTGGCGGGTACAGGGCAAGATAGACTAGATGCATATGGTGTGTTGGCCACGAAGCCGAACGATGAAATGCCCCCACTATGGGTGATGGGTGTTGTGTGGTGTGGATGTAGTAGCGCCAACTGTGTGTGTGTGTGTGTGTGTGTGTGTGTGCGTGCGTTTTTTTGTCTTTCAGATTCGCGTTAACAGACGACATCCTCGAGAATTTGAATGACCGACACCGCTCGTCTGCCCACAGTCAAATGGCCCGTTCGAGGAAATGGGGGAGGAATTGGAGTTCCCAGGTTCTCTTTTTTTTTTTTTTTTTTAATGACTACCGAGGAATGGTTGCGCAACAACTTATAGATTATCCATCTACTATTTGCATTAGGAGGGTTGCAGACGGAAGAGCGCCATCCCTTCTAACCAACTCCTTTCAGAATTCTCAAAGGCCTATTCATCCAGCAGCTCTTCTACTTTTCTTTGGATCCTTCCAGTCTATCGCACAAACATGAGCGTAGGGGTCCAATGGTGCACGGAAATGGGAGATAAAAGGGTTGTGGTGTGCGTCTGGTAATTCATCCATTTAAAGAAGCAATAATCGTTTGTTTTGTTTGTTTGTTTGCTTCTGTATCACCATCGCCCATCGGCATCTTTCACAAACAATCCACGACACTTCCCGCAACACCTTACGATGGCACTGCTTGCCCCTACTGCTGCAACATCACACAATCCAAATGCACCTGTATATCCCTATCTCTCTCTGCCAGTCTTTTTTTTGAGATTAAAAGAAAATACAGGGAGTGTATGAACGTAGCACAGCAGTAAGAGTCGAATAAAGTAATGAAGAGTAAGAACAATATCTTACCGCTAAATCTTGCCAAAGGATAATTGAATGATCAAGACCTGTGGAGGCCATGTACTGTCCCGAAGGTGAAAAGTGCAAGAACCAGCACTCGTCCAGATGATAGCTCAATCGGAGTCGCACCTCCGAGGGCACATATTCCTTCAGGACCGCCAATCGATTGTTGTCGAAGAGCTGGTGAACACTGTCGCGATGCGCCTGGTGGTGATAGCGTGAGGGAGAACTCAATCCAAGACCTGCTCCGCCGAGAAGACTGGAGGAGACGCTTGTGGACTTGTCGTCCTGTGTACCTGAGCTACAGACGCTGTTGCTTCTCACACTAGAGCAGTAGGTGCATGACGGCAATGAGGATGCTGCCAGAGACATGTCGTATTCTGAAGTGCCTATTGCTGCTGAGGAAGACAGTGTTGGGTCCTGAGGACATTCATCATCATCCTCCGTCAATGTGCTGAAGTATGAACCCGAGGGGTTGGAGGGTTCGCTGAGAGTCGGGGACAAGGGCGAGAGATAAGCTTGGGAGACCCTGCGGCTGTGGGTGCTACCAAAGCTCGAATAGGATCCTGAGCCGAGACTGGAGACACTGGCGATGCTTAGTGGCCGAGCTCCTGCTGATGAAAGAGCAGCTGGGCCATAGTGTTTGCATTGGGGGAGATGTTGATGGCGTTGAAGTGGCGAGATGTGGGATTGGCCGAGCAATTCCGCGAGAGCCAGGTCGAGCGCCTCGTCGTCGTCGTCGTTGCGGTCGAACAAGGGATCTGAGGCGGCGAGTGAATTTGGGTTGACTTTTGGGTATCTGGACGAGGAGGAATGGGCCGAGTTTCCGGAAGACAGCTTGCGAGGAGGAGGAGGCAACGAGGGGGACATACTTTCTAGTGTAATCAGCAGCGATTGAATGAGAGAGAGAAGAGGAGGAGGAGGGGATGAGCGCGTTTATAGGGATGGGAATGGGGAGGAGTACGGCGACGGCGTTGGTGGCGTGAATGTGTCGAGGAGAGCGGAGGAGGAGAGGAAAGAAGGAGGAGGAGAGGAAGAAAGAAGGAAGACTGGGAAAGAAGACAAACACCGAGAAGATGAAATGCAAAAGAGACATAAGGTTGGGTCTTATTCATCACAAGACTGCGACGAACTCTATCCAGGCACCCGTTATCCTCCTCCTCTTTCTTCTGTGAAATAGTTCAGACCGAATGGTCACTATTCTAAAGTTCGCTCATTCAGAACACTCATAACGTTCATATCATATCATATCACTCGTTCATTCATTCATTCATTCATTTATTCATTCATAGTGAGAACGAGAGACACGGAAAAGGAGATGCGAAAGACGTGCAGGAAGCCGCCAGCATCAATTTTTTTTTTCTTTGGATCTTATCTCTACATCTGCAAGTGCCAATGGAGATAAACTATAATAGTGACTCTAGAGGGTACCATCCTGGCTATTCTTTCGTCATCATCATCACCTTCAAGCTACAGCCATTAGATAGTGGCAGATGCTGCGTATCCACAATCGGGCCCTACTTTTTTTTTTTTTTTTTTTTTTTTTTTTTCCCGCACACCCCACTCTATGCAAAATGCTCTCTCTCTCTCCACTCTCCAGTTACTACGGAAAAAAGTACCCAGAGATAGAGGATCAATAGGTGCGCCTCGCGACTTGAAAGACCAGGCAGACAAACGTACCCCAATTACCGAGACCCTTTTTTTTTATTTTATTTTATTTTATATCATATTTTTTTGGATGCATGTTGTATACATCACCATGGCGTCCTTTTTTTTTTTTTCTCTTTTTTTTTTTGGGCGTAGGAGGCATAGAACATGATCTTTTTGAGTTCTCTTTCCTCGATGCATGAATGCGATTAAAAAAAATTGGGAACGTTTAATAGGTAGATCTCTAAATTGTATTTAAAATGGGAGTATGTTCATCCTCACCATCTCTGTAATAGCCCGCTTCCACCGCAGCATCGAGGGATGAGAAAGCAGATAATTGAAAGTAACCTGTAAAAAAAAAAAGCATTACAAGTAATGTACTTTTTCATTTTTTCACTGTCGTTGTTGAGACTTTCTACCCCCCTGGGCTGTGATGTGGCCCAAGCGGAGTAAATACTATCGCTAGGAAAAGCCAAGATCAAAAAAAGAAGGGCGCGACTACTTCGCCAGTCGACTTTTTGATATTAAAAAAGCGGTCAAATCGAGCATGGACATGGACGTGGACATGGAAATAGGAGGGCGCGCATTGACCTTACCCTTCTTGGATGCAGTCAAACACCCCCTCCCCCGCGGAGCAAACCATTCATTTCAGGCACCGACCGCTTTTTTTTTTTTTTTTTTTTTTTTTTTTTTTATTTAATGACTTTTTTGCTCTCTCATTTCTTCAAATCTCTATGGAGTGTGTTCGAGAAAAAAAAAAAAGCAATTTTTCTAACCCAACAGGAGAAAAATGACGATGGGCGAAGGAAAATCGGAGGAGAGGCGCATGTACGATATTTACAGTTTTTCATGGACAAAGGAATGTAAAGGACAAAGAAAGAAAGATAGCGAAAATGGCATGCTGAGAGAAACTACCGCCAGGGCAAGTCTTCCATCCCATTTGCCTGTTTTTTTTTTTTTTTTTTTTTTTTCTTTCTTTCTTTCTTTCTTTTCTTTTAAACAGGATCCACCACACTATGGAACCGGGTCTCCTCATATCCTGGAGGCATGTCCATCGCATTCGCAGTATTCGCTCTCGATCTCGATCTCGCTGCTACTGTTGTTGTCGTTGTTGTTGTTGCTGCTGTCCGTGCATTAGAGCCCTGTCGGCGATGCGTATCATATCGCCGATGATACGCCAAGAACTGCGCATCTTCATCCTCTCCAGCAGCACCGGACACTGATGATCCTGATGCCGTCATCACTGTTGCTGAATAGCTCGGCCCTGCATGCTGCTCATCCCTCACATAGTCTGGTGGACTGTCCGTCGTATGCATGGGCATGGGCGAATGAAGCGAAAGCGAAGACGAAGCCGAGGATGAATGAGCAGGCGAACCCAACGAGAACGTGCGCCTATGCCGCGATGCCGCCTCTGCCTCTGCCTCATGTTCATGCTGGAAATAAGACGGTAGTTCCTCGTCCCCCAACAGCATCTCCTGTGAGTTGTGTCCTAATGAAGATCCTTCTGAGGAATATGATTCGAGACTTGTCTCAACATGCTGTCTATGGACCGCAAGTCGAGCTCCTGATCCTGCTCCGCCGCCACTGCCACCATTCGCTCCATACAGATGCGCGCCCTGAGCAGTTGTGACAGCACCATCTTCGCCCACCAAAGTCGATCCAGACCCGCTGACTAGACTCTCGCCCACGCTACGATAATGTGCTTGAAGTTCCTCCGAGAAGATTTTGCAGCGCTCGTCGAACAATTTCTCTATGCTCTGATTCTTCTTCTTCTTGAGGACACGACTCCGCTTGTAAAGGACCTCCAGTTCGTGCGAAAGAGCGTTGTACGAGTCCCGGAAGCGAGCCGTGTAGATGATGAGTTCGCTGGATGTGTCCGCAATTGTCTCCATATTGATGTCCGACAAGAGTCCAATGTCCTCCAATGTTGGGACAAACGTGCGGGCGTTCGCCATATGGTTGTCGGCGATTTTCGTGTATGATGGGGGCTCTAGTAAGAACAAATAACAATTTTGTTTTGTATAAATAAATGATCCATGCGGACTTCGTCTAGATACTGAATGAATATGTCCAGATCCAGAACAGAACAGGAAAGACGTTGATGGTGAGCGAGAGCAAGGGAGGGCGACTTACTGGGTCCAAAGAAGGGGACAAACTTCTTGAGCGATTTGCTGACACCCTTTGCATTCGAGGCGACCTGCTTCTCAACTGCATCGTTCCAGATATCCACATATCGTCGAATTTCCTTGAGCTCATTCTTTGCCGCTCGATGATTCGCAAAATCTTCCTTGACCTGCAGTTCCAGAAAAAAACAAGTGTGAAAAAGAAACGGTTAGCAAGGGATTATGGATCTGTAGTATTCAAATAACGGTTCAGGGTCCCTTGAATCTTTTTCCTTTGCCACCAAACAGGTTACCTTCACGATTTCAGCAGAGATCTGTTCCAGTTCCCGTTCCAGCGCATCTTCCTTTGGATGCTCTATCAAAGGTACAAATAGTTGAGCAGATGCGAATACATCAAGGTCAATCGCTGTAAAATCGTTGGTTGTTCAGTCCTTCCTCCTGCCTCTACAGTCCTGTGATATGTTGACCTACCGGGAGTCGATCCGGAGAAGATCTGCAAGTTGATTGGGTCGCCGCACAGGAGCATGAGCGAGAAAAAAAAAAAAGAGCATCGAAAAATGAATGGTCTGCGCAGGTTTGAGCAGCAAAAAAACAAAAAGCAAAAAATACAGAGGCATTCGCCTCGCTCATAGACTACCCTCAGCGTGGTCAGCGAGCAAAAAAAATAAAAATAAAAAAAATAAAAATAAAAAAAAAACTAGCAGAAACGGTACCTGTTCCAAAAGTGTTTGAAGTTCACTACGACTTTCAAAGTACTGCGCGACTTGTCGAGTAAGACCGATATGCTAAAATGATAAAAGTAGAGCACAAGTTGTCAGTACTACATATGATACACTAACAACCGAATAAATAAATAAATAAATAAATAAATAAATAAATAAAAAACGCGTGAGGTTACGGGTTCTCATCCCCTAGGATAACAATAAAAGGGGAGAGGGCCCAAGCTGTACAGGACTAAGGATGGGTAAACGAATAACGCGGCAGGGGATTTGCGCTATATACGGTCACCATCCATCTACACACCCTTTGATGTGCACAAGGCAGTCTCCAATTTTCCTATTTGTGCCACACAGCAAGTGGACATGTCTTTCTTCGTAGCCCTCTCCAACGTGTGTACTTGATTCGGAAAGGGAGAAAGGAATAGGCGGATAGCCTGTTGTGGGCAGCAGTCGACGCTGCGGCCAAGCCTGCGATGGAAAATGAAAAAACCGCATGCAGTTTAAACGAAAAACGGTGGTCTGCATCCGATTGGCTGAGGGGAAAAAAAAAGAAAAAAGAAAAAAGAAAAAAGAAAACGAAAAAAAAAAGGCGAGGATAAGGGCACCAGGCAGCCATCGCCGTTGTGCACATGAAAAAAGGGCAGATAACTTCTCCACAAGATCAAAACGCGGTCCCCAAACATCTTTCTCAGAACAGTGCCAATCGAACACCAAGAGTACTCGCATCCACTAAAAAATAAATGCATTCCTGGACGCTTTATGGCCGTGTGCGACTTTGAGGAGGACAGCTGTGCGCCGGAGAGTCTTTACAAGCATTCCCCTTTTCTGTCAAAAGCCCACAAACCCCAGCAACAACAACAACAATAGCCACTTGCTCGATCATCTACCTCCGCGTGCTATTTTGATCTGATGAAAGAAAATCTCCAGCGTATCCCCACACAGCGATCACCGCGTAAACAAAGGAAACAAGAATCTTATCTATCGAAATCTTGCGATTGTTCTTTTTTTTTTCTTCCCGTATTCTTTTTGTCCGCGCCCACACCCATGTTACATCTAATAGTGCCTTCCATGTTCTATGCAGCTGCTATTGTCCCGGTTCTTCATTCCGAGAAACAACGCCTGCAGCAGCACGTCCTCATATTCTTCTGTGCATGCGAAGAGAACTTATCCACAAAAAAAAAAAAAAAAATTAAACAAACTCCAGGGCTGTGAATCCTTGTTACTATGATGTGTGTGAGGTGTGATAGCGGAAAACTTACCAAGATCTTGGCAGCCAAAAGCTGACCATTCAAGGACTCGAGTATTTCCTTGGTGGCCTGTTGCTGCGCTAAAAGGGCCTCTGTTTCTGCTTCCTCGGAGGCATGTAAACTGATGTTGCTGCCTTGCCGTGAGTTCTGTGGGCGCTTCGCCATTGATTTCCTGTTGAAAAAAGAAACTGTTTAGCGGTAATATCCAAGTGGCATGGGATAAGATATTCATAACAAGCAAAGTGCCATGGGGTGGGTGCATTGTGTGTGTAGCATTGAATGGATATTTGTTTTGCAGAAAAAAGATATTTCTGCAAATGGAGCCAGTAATCTTCAACCGATCATTACGGTAACAATGACAATAAGAGAGGGCAGGAGATACAGAGTGGGAAGTATGGGTAGGGAGGGAGAGTACTTGCAGTTTATTTTGACAGGACTGAAGAAGCGCCGTCTTTTCTTTTATTTCATTCTCGAGGCGCTCGATGGTGATGTTGTGCCTGTCCAGCTGGGTCTTGAGTGGGCTGAAGTGTGCAATGTTCTGGGTCAGGGACGTGAAGCGATGCTCTGCAGCAAGGATGCGATCTGAGAATGGGTGAACAGAGGCAGATGTGCTGCTGCTGCTGCTGCTTTGCTGTTGTGCTGAGGGTTGAGTGGAAGAACTGGGGTTATTGCCGGTGCTGGTAGTTTCTGTGACAGCGGCAGTAGCTGTTGGGCTTGACTGATGCGTAGCAGAGGGTGGTGCCATTTGTCAATTGATAAAGCGAGGAGAGCGAAAGGTGCGGTGTTGAAGAGTGTCTCAAGAGGAACAGAGAGGGATGACGAGAAGTAGAAAAAGATGGCAGCGCTTGTTTGTGATAAGTAGAAGAAAAAAAAAGAGAATATTCTTTCGAGGGAGAGAGTGTATGGTTTTCTAAAGAAAGGAAGAGTGCAGGGGAAGAGGCAGGGGATGGAGAGCAGGTGTGCGATGCAACAAGAAAAAGAAAAGAAAAGGAAGTGCGAGGAAAAGGGCTATGTGGAGAGGGAGGAGGAGGAGGAGGAGGACTGAGTTGTCGATGAGAAAGCGAATGAGGAATGGGAAGAGAGAGATGGGCCAATTGCTGATTCCTGTTGGTCGAGACAAGTTTCCCTTGAGGTCCAAGGGGGAGGGAGAACTGCAGGAAGTGAGGGCATCGGGCAGGGTGTTGTGTGCAACATTGACTATGAATATCTCTATCTCTATCTCTATACTATGTAAATACTATGTATGGGCATTTGGGGGGTATGATGCCTTGGATATGTCATGCACGCCTAGCGAATCGTGCGTGAATGTGAGAGAGAGTGTCCCACACACTCCCTTCATCCCTCCTCCTCCAGGCCAAAGGGCCGAATGAGGTGAAAGAGTCGGCTGTTCTCCCTCCCACGCGCCATTTCCTCTAATGCCAAACAAGAATGTTGGCATCCAAATTGCATCCCTTGTATCCAATCCATCGAGAGGGATGGATTGGATCAGCATACACCGCTCGGCCCACTTCTTTTTTTATTATTTTCAACGCGAACATTTCGACATTTCAGGGACCAGAGTAGGGCAATCACAATCATCGCAAAATGCGTCTCAGCGTCAAACGCCGTTTATTAACCCATGCTGCTCGTGCACTCCCAACCTCATTCCCACACCTCGCGTATCACTCCACATTCTCAAGCGAATCGTTAATATTTATGACCCTGTGTAAAAAAAAACCTCCTACCGTTAAAGCAAGCCAGCCTTCTCCATCTCAGCCCTCATCAAGACACCCAGCTTCGCGGGGCTCTGCGAGACCACGACTCCGGCACTCTCGAGTGCCTTGATCTTATCCTCCGCACCACCCTTGCCTCCCGCAATAATAGCGCCCGCATGACCCATACGGCGTCCCGGAGGTGCAGTACGTCCTGCAATAAAGGACACCACGGGCTTGGGCTTCTCACGTGTCAAGTTGTACTTCTTCAGGAACTCGGCCGCCTCCTCCTCAGCACTGCCTCCGATCTCTCCGATCATGATGATACCCTCCGTGTTAGGGTCCTCGAGGAACAGTGTCAGGCAGTCGATAAAGTTTGTGCCGTTGAAGGGGTCGCCGCCAATACCGATGCAGAGGGATTGACCAAGGCCGACCTCGGTTGTTTGGTTCACAGCCTCGTATGTCAACGTACCCGAGCGGGAGACAATACCTGAGCATGGTGCAATTCGAAAAAAAATACAGAGGATAATGAGTATCTACAGGCCTTCAATTGCTTGAGAGAAAAAAAAAATGAAATGAGTTAAGGGAAGATTGCTCAGCATACCGATCTTTCCGACCTTGTGGATATGGCCGGGCATGATGCCGATCTTGCAGGCACCAGGAGCAATGATACCAGGGCAGTTTGGCCCAATAAGACGAGTCTTGTCCTGAGTCTTCAATGCTCTAACGACCTACAAAACACAAAAAAAAACACGGGCCTATAGTCAATAACGGCTCATTTCACACACTCTCTCTCATACACACTCGGTCCAATCCTTTCACCGTTCATGTCCCCTGAAATTACATACGCGAACCATGTCCTGCTGGGGAATGCCTTCCGTGATAGCAACAACCAAAGGAATCTCGGCCTCAATCGCTTCCATGATCGCACCAGCAGCCATAGGAGGAGGAACATAAATAACAGAAGCGTCGGGCTTCAATTCCTTGGCGGCATCCGCAATTGTGTTGAAGACAGGGAGTCCCAAGTGGGTCTGGCCACCCTTCTTGGGGGAGACACCTCCGACCATTTTGGTGCCATACTCGATCGCTTGCTTGGAGTGGAATGTACCCTATTCATCAAAAAGCAGGATGTTGGGTTCATGTACATTTCTTGATTAGTATGGCATCGATCTCCTTCGAATGTTCTTACTACGTTGTGTTATACATCAGTCTACAGACAGTCCCTCTTCATCACGCCAGAGTGTTTCCACGGACCAATTTGTCCCATTCGTCGTTGATCCGTGGATTCGTCGACGAAGATCGATGGAACGGACATCATTAAACTCTGTTATAGGTACAAATGCGGTATCTGGCGCAGAATGGGTCGGCTGGGGGAAGCATTCAGAAAGCCAAAGAGGGGGCGACCAAACCGACTGAGGAGAACAGAAAACGTGCAAAGGCACTATCACTATCGGTCACACAGGGTAAAATAATAATCGGCTAGCCCTGTTTTGTGGTCGGTGCAAAACTGCACATAGCATAGCACATAACGCACTGAGCCAAATACAAGTAGCTCATTATCGTCCCATTGTTCGTTGAGACCCCAGAATATGATTTTTTTTTTCAGTCGTGGGATCGAGTGCTAGAACGCGTATGTTGTAGATTCGCCGCCGAACCTCCCCCCCACAGTTGGTATGGCGCCTTTTTTTTTTTTTTTTTACCTGCTTGCCGGTGAATCCCTGGCAGACAACCTTGGTCTGCTTGTTGATCAACATGTTCTTGATGGTCTTGTCATAGTTCGCAGCCTTGGAGGAGCTGCTGAACATGCGCTGAGCGACTGTGAAAAGCAGTTGAGAGACAGATTGTAGGGGGTTAGTTTAGCATCGAGAGTTTGAGAAGCGTGGGTAAAATCGTGATCTGGGTCAAGGGCAGATAGGTTGCAAGCGTAGAGATCGCTCCCTGGGGTCAGGATCCTTCCAAGAAAACTATGGAGAGTCAACTGCGTTCCTGTGCCAGAGAGGTGTTTCCGGCTAGTGTTGACGGTTCAATTGATCGCGGAGTTTGTGGGAGTCGATAGTGTTGCTTCTATATTCGAAGCGAGGTGCGAAATAATAGCACATCAAAGTGCGATCCATGTCGAGCCGACAGTAACGAGATGTAATGGTAGCTCGGAAGGAGAGTGAAGAGGATGCCAGACTTGCCTTTGGCGGCAGGCGCCGCGGTTCTGAAGGAGGCGAGCATAGTGAGGGAGGAGGGATAGAGAGGGAAGAGAAGGAATCTGGGGGGAAAGGTTGCAGACGGCGGCAGCGGTCCATAAATACAAATAGAAACCCAGTCCACTTTCAGTCCGCATTGCATCGCATCGCACCCTTTCCATTCAACATCACTGCTTCTCTCATTCCTCGTCTTCACACCCATACTCCTTCCAGTACCCCGAAACAACCATGGCTACCACCACCACTCTCACCTCACTCACCCTCAAAAGTACCACCACAGCCTTCACAGCCATCGTACGGAGGGTACCTTCCTCCGTCTCCGTTTCAGCTGCAAATATTCTCTTCCGATCATATTCCCAGGGTATCCGTCCCCGAGGGCCAGGCCCCATCCCCCTAGGATCTGCCAAGGACCAAGCTGAATTCGAACAACTGATCAAGAATGCAGAATCCGCACCGAGTACCAGTCATCCCGACGCAAAGACTCCGGTGCCAACAGAGTTTGAAGGCGATACTAACCCGACTACGGGTGAAGTAGGGGGCCCCAAGCGGGAGCCCGTCCGATTCGGAGACTGGTCCTTCAAGGGTCGGGTGACAGACTTTTGAAGCAACATCCGCAGTCTTTGCCTTGCCACTCTGTTCACGTATTCATAACTCGTATAGGCTTTTCATATCCATGGCATCCATATCTTTTGACAGTTGGCAGTCGATAGTTGGCATTTTACATTTGACACTCGGCATTTCATAAATAAAGCGCAAGCGAATGTCCTCCATAGTGCCATGCTACATGCTGAATACAACTGCGGTTGATCTGGTGGAAGCCATGCTGGTCATTACCATGGCTATTCGCTGTTTAATTTTCTGTTAAAATGAGAAGATGAGGTGCGTCAAGAAAAAAAAAAAAAAAAAGAAAGAAAAAAAAGAGAGAGAGTGAAGGAAAAAAAATAATACAATGGAGGATGGTATACAAATGTACAGATTGTGCATAAGAAATTACAGAATGAATGTAGAAAAGGAGAGGAGAGTAGACAATTATGAACAATAAAGTACAGCAGAGAAAAAGGTCGCAGGAAAAAGGCGTTGAGAGAAGATCATACACATCTGTCGAGAATTTGAAGTTTGTCAATCCGACCCTCTTGCTCGGCGCGCTCCTCCTCATTCCAGTAGTAGACGCCAACAATATGTTTCCTACTGCCCCAGCAGCCGTCAAAGACCTCGCAAACATGACCTTCATCTTCTTCCTCCCTCTCTTCTGCCTCATCCTCGTCGTCGTCTCTCTCACAAACATCTTCCTCCAGTGCGTGCTTATTCGGGCGTGGAATCTCAAGTGGTTTCCTTTTAACGGTGCTGAAATACTCCCTGTACTTGGTCGTCTCCTCTGGTTGTTTTCCTTCACTTCCATAAGCGCTACTCCCGCCACCGCCATCGCCATCGCCATCGTCGCCATGATCGTCATAGCCATAGTGATACACAGATGTTTCCGGAGAATAAAACGGTCTCGATTGGTGTTCTGGCATAGGTGATGTTGGTGTTTCTGGGTGTGGGATATACTGATCGAATACGTCGGGAGTATCTGTTTCGTAGGGTGTTAATGAAATAGCACAATTATCCCGACGATGGCTGTTTCTTGATGCTTGGCTCTTCCTTTTGGTGGGTGATGGTGGTTTTGGGAACAATAGCCTCGGTCCAAATGTGTTGGTGGGCGATTCCATTTCGTATATTGATGGCGATACTAAGAATTTGTTTCCACGACTGTTTGAGGATGAAATAGAAAAAAACAACAATATTAGCTGACCATAATACTGAGTAATGGCACGAACGAAACGAATGATGAATGTAATGATTCCAGGATACGGGAAATGAAGTTACGAACGTACATAACATAGCCAAGTTTGCCTCTTGATTCATGATATCGGAGCATTCGTTCCTCTGACTGGAGCTGTAAGTCGACAGTAGTAGTCGTGTCGGGGTCTTCAATGAAGGGATTCCTGATTTCGTGCGCTGTTACTAATGAACCCTCGCGATCGTCTCCGTGCACCACTGTGGCAACCATCTCTGAATAATAACCACGGCTGATCTCTTGAAGGGATGCTTTTGAAGTCTCTGCTGCTTCTGGAGTCTGTTGGCGAGGCGTGCGCGGTTGCGGTGTTGCAGGATGATAAGATGAGACATCGATGTCCTGCAGTGGTGCCTCCACTTCTACATCTGCTTCCACTTCTACTTCTGCCTCCACTTCTACTTCTGCCTCCACTTCTACTTCTGCTTTGTCCTTGTATTTGTGCTTGTCCCTGTGCTGAAGTCGTGTTGGTGGATGTGATGTGCACGGGAGTTTGTCTATAGATTCACGCCCATCGTCCTCGCGTTCGGATGGGACTAGAGTGCTACTACCACTGCTACCGCTGCCACTACCACTGCTACCGCTGCTGCTACCACTGACTGGTTTTGTGTTGCCATAGTTATCGACGTCGCAGGTGTCGTCCTGTTCTGCATCAGGTGATTCCTCTGCGGGCCAAAGAAGTCTGGGTTTGATGTCAAATTCTTCCTCATCGCTGGCAAAGATCAGGCAAAGAAAGGGAGGAGACAGTATAGGACTGAGTACGGGAGTGTCTTTTAAGGCTGAAACAAAAAGAGTGATGAGGGAGAGACGCGACAGGTAGAGATAGATTGATTCAGTACCTGGAGACCTCTCGTTCCTCCTCGACTTGCTTGCCCCGGAAGACGCAGAGGAACTTATAGTGTCGCTTTCCAGGCTTGGTCCTCATGGTGCTGTAGATACTGATGCCAGACCCTTGGACATTCAATGGCACTTTGTTTGTGGGGCGGCGCGAATATAAATGACAAACAGAAGTGGAGGGAACTCAAACAGGATGCAAGGAGGGAGAAGTTCATTTTCATTTGATGCAAATCTATCGTGCGATTCCGCATCCTACCATGACGTCTTACTTGTGCAAAAAATGTTCTTATAAAAAGCCCCTGGTTCCTATTACTCCTCTTCTTCATTACGCACATCGAAGTCCTTTGTCGTTGTTTAAAGCTGTCCAACGGTCGCGCCTCGGCAGCAGCCCGCGGATGGCTCCATGACGGGGAAGATAAATGCAATACTCGTGCAAGAACACGCTTGTTTGCAGCTGTCAACCTTTTTCTTGCAAAGAGATCATTCATCCAGATCTCGGCGCAACCAGGCAGTTGTCAAGCTACAACTCATCCTCATCACTCATCATTCATCTTACAATAAACAAGAGGAACAAGGTGTCCTTTATTTTTAACTGACATGTGTCGCCATATTGGGAAAAAGCGATCCCAGAGATCAGATCAGATTAGATCACTTGGGGATCAGCATTGGCTCCGATCCTATTTCTGCTTGTTCCTGCTTGTTCCTGCTCCTATTCCTGTTCCTGTTCTACTTCTTGTCTCTGGCAGCTTTGGCAGCATCCTATTGGACCTTTTCTTTGACAGCGGCAGCAGCCTTAAAGTGATACTGTCAGCCATGGTGCCTCCTTTGGTGTTGTGTCGTGCTTATCATCGACTCGTACGGCCAGAGCGGTCGAGAAAAGCGAAAAAAAAGTAAATCCGCTTGCGAATGTAGAGCTCCTCAGCGGTCAGCAAGGGAGTTCGAGCAATGGCTATCCATGGTTAAAAGACTATGTTGTAGAGATGGGTTGATAATAAGGTGAATAAAGAATAGTGGATTATATATAGTTAGCGCAACGAATGATGGTGGATGAGATCATGGACACATTCCAAATGTCAGATTTGGTGGCGAAGTCGTAGATGGGAATGGAGGCAGATAGGGAAGAGTAAGTTGTGCCATTGTGAGTGAGAAAGTGGAACCAGTGGACGCGGGTGCGCCTGGTCCGAGCGGGGATACGTCTTGTCCGACCTGGACCCTCAGGGGAGGTGTCGCAAGGATAAAGCACGACCGGGGGGTCGGGAACCGATGACATTCTTCTCCAACCCATGGAAGCAACTTGAGAAGATATAAATACCAAGTCAAACTAACTGCTGTGTAGCACCAAGCGTTGTCATTGCTTCGAAAACTTGCTTCTTCCCCACCTTCATTCATTCGCTTCTTCATTCATTCACTCCTCTTGCATCCACAACAACAACAACAACAACAACAACAACAACAACAACAACAACAACAACAACAACAACAACAGCAACAACATATATACAACTATTTCACCTTGAACTCTTCGCACGTCTTTTCTTGACCCTTCAGTCTCAATTCATCACCCACACTCCCTAGTATGATAAAAAACATTGGCAAGCTGAAGCAGGTACAGTGTGACAGTGTGTGCTCGAAATATCTACACTTGTGTTTAGTGTCTCCTTGTTCGCTGACAGACCAGACATATCCCTTTCAATTGCAAAAACAGTGGACGGGAGAAAAGATCGGCAAGGCTCAAAGGACTCGGATGGACGAGGACTTCGAGACTCTTCAGACCGAGACTGAGGCCAAGCGAGTGGCCCTCGAAAAGTTGAGTGAGGTTTCTCATGCGTACCTGAAAGCTATCAGTAAGTACACTTCAGATCGACAACACATTGTTTTCCAACTACTATTGCCGTGTTGGGTGCACCAATAAGCTCTGCTGAATAGACTGTGGATGACAAGAACAGGGGCACCTACCATGGGGGGAAGATGCTCTCATCAAGCGGTCGACGGCAAGGCAAACACGATCATTTTACTATCCATTCGCTCCAGTCGCCCTCATTATCATACCGCACCTCCCTACTCCAGTCGACCATGAGTTATCAGCCTTCAACATCTGTTGCCTCACCCACCATTAAGAATGATCGTGGATCGTTACCCAACCATGCAAGAAAAAGACCCAAAAACAGCGTGGGATAATCCTCCTATTGTACCTTGTGATTTTCTCGAGTCCATCTATTTCTTCTCCGTGCCTTTCGCTGTGGCGTCAGTACTTCCTCCTGGCTTTGCCAGAATGAGATAGAACTGGGAACGATTGCATTTTTTTTCCCGCTCAATTTCATTAAATATTGCGCCGAACATCTAACAGAAAATACATGACAAACCTTGTTCGCCTCTCCTTGCTTGTCTTTCTGTCTCTCCGATATGATATTGCAATTAGGTAAACGAGTCGAAGGCGACGATAAGTACAAAGGCTTGGCGATCGAGACGTTCGGGATAAGCATGTCCACTCAAGCGCATGCTCTTCGCGAGGACTCGACCTACAGGGAGGCACTGCTGCAGATGGGGGAAGCACATCAGAACATCGGATTGGCGCAAAGCGAACTGGTAAGAAGCATGAGACCAAATGCAGATCGGCTTGACCCATTGGCACAGGATGGGATATTCAGCATTGCAACACCATTGCCAATAATACCGGAAAGGCCAGACATTCAGAGCGTCATTGGTTCAGTCAGGAGCGCATAAGGATCCAACAGATTATGCAACGTGCATTTATTGCAAAGAGCGAAGAAAGATTCGCGTTTAATTTTTCTTTTAGAATACATTGTGGGAGGTAAACCCTCCCGGTAAGAAGGAACAACTAAAGGAACGCGATTAACATTCAATATCTCCATCTTGTTATTGCGAACAATAGATCAGTCGATTCGGGAGCACGTACATTGAATGCTTAGAGAGGGAGCAGGCTCAAATGAAAGAATACCAGGTACGGCTCAATCCATTTATGAAAAAAATAAAAAAAAAAAAGCCGAAGAACCCAGGGCTTACTAGCGTGTTGCGTTTGAAACCTTAGACCCTGCAAAAGAAATTACAATCACGGCGACTAGATTACGATGCCAAGTTGGCCAAGGTTCAAAAGGCCAAAAAGGAGAAGCCGGAGTGGGAAGAAGAGATGCAGGCCGCAAAAGCAAAGTACGAGGAAACTCGAGAATGTATCCTTGGAGTCATGACAGCCATCAACGATGCACAAGTAAGCTGACGTTCCAAAACTGTGTATTGCTCTGTGAGCATGGTTACAACTGAACATCGTTCTGACACGACATTTCTATTGGGCTTGATAGGATGAAAACGTCCACAGCCTGAAAATGTACTATGAAGCCCAGCTGGCGTTCGCTCGCAAGACGGTCGAGATACTGGAGGCAATTCTCGAAAGCGCATTCGCAACCCCAAGCGGACCACGTACCAAGCATACAGCAGGACAATCGCTTAGATCTTTCAGACAGAGTTCTATCGATCCCGACGAGGAGCACTCGGGCCATTCCGATGACCACTCCAGTGTCCATTCTGTAACAACAGGGCGCCGCCTGGATCAGTCAAGATCTATCTCTGATCTGCGTCGCCACCCAGGCAACCAACGCAACGCGCCAGAGCTTGGTCGCTCAGCCTCACATCTTACCCTCAACACAAAAACAGCGCATTCGAGAAATGGAAGCACTGGGAGCAGCAGAGCGAGTGGATTCTGCGCTCTAAGTGCATCACCGACATTACTACCTCAGGTGCGACCACAGAAGCAAGTGAGGGCTCTTTACAATTTTGAGGCAACTGGAGAAGGAGAGCTGTCTTTTCAAAAGGGCGATATTGTTCGGATCATCGAGGAGATTGACGAGGGCTGGTGGGAGGGCGAGATGGTGGACGCGAGCGGAATGCGGCACGAGGGCATGTTTCCATCGAATTACGTGGAGGAGGTTTTCAGTGACACTGAGTCAGGAAGACAACGACAGGGATCACTCAACTCAGCGACATCTAATAGTGGTCAATATGCAGATGAGGAAGAGGCAGCGTATTATGAACGTGCATCAGAGCCGACCGGCTACCCTGATGAGCCCGAGTATGCGGTGCCAGAGCCCGAGCCAGAGGTATCCATCCATGCCTCAGCAGTACGACGCGCTCCCCCACCACCTGTCAGGAATCCACAGGTACTGCCAGTTGCACAGAACGGACTCACTGCTCCCGCCAACCTCGCGATAGCATCAGTACGAGCTACACCTCCTCTTATCCGACCCTCCTCTGGAGTAGCGCCGTTGAGCAAACCCATTGGCTCTAGAGCACCACCCCCACCCCCGGGAGCGCGACGCACAGGAGGCGATTCACTTCGACAGAGCGTGGTCTTTAATCATACAACTGCACCCATAGCAGGAGTCTCGCCGCCGGCAGCGCCTTCTACTCCAGGCATGGGCTACATTCCTAAGGATTACTTCGTCAGTAAAGCAGCGGATGTAGCAGATACAGAGGTGGGCCCTTGTCGAGAGTGCCAGTGCACAGAGTTTAGTCCTAATGTGTTCAAGCGAGGGTCGTGCAACAACTGCTTCCATGCACATTAAAAGATGAAAAAGAAAACAGCAGCCCATGGTCCAACGTACTTATATCCATGATGATGCTCTTTATTTGGTTGACATGTACTGTGTCTACATGGTCCAAGGCGCGTCCAACCATGGTGTGGGGTCATCCATGGTGAGACAAAAACGCGTCACGTCGCGTGTACCACGGATGACCAGCGACGCGTCTGATCCATTTACTTCTCGCGTTTCATTACATCACGATCGCTCGCCTGTACTGCAATCAACTCCGCTGCCGGTCTGGCTCCTGAAAGACGACAACGAAAAAGAAGACGTAGAGACCTCGCGACTGGTAACTTGGCACATATGGCGACGCGTAGACTTTTGTCGCACTTAGGACAACAGCCATTGTTTTTACTGCTGCTTGGCCCTTTAATTAACATTAAGCTCCACTCCTTCGCAGACGCCATCATTCTCATCAGCAACCTCCTTTGACTAGAAAACACGCGGCGATGGATCAACATCAGCAGCAGCAGCAGCAGCGACCATATCAACAGCATACGCCACAGCAGCCTAACCAGCCAGTCGGTGTTCCAACAGCATCCATACCGTCCTTGACGAGTCATAATCAGCATGTCCTCGGGCAACTTTACCCTCATCAGAGTCCTTCAGGCTCCAGCATACCCAGTCTGACCACTAACGTGCCTATGCCATTACAGCTGCACCTCCAGACATCCATACCCTCGACCCCACAGGCGCTGGGGTCCCTAACAGGGCCAATCTCTCCAACAGCCATCCCAGGAATGCCCTATGCGGTATCTCCTACTGCAGTGGTCTCTCCAACCTCAGTTGTCTCTCCAACCTCAGTTGTCTCTCCAACGTCGAAGACCCCCACTGCTGTTCTATTGCAGCAGCAGCGTCAACAGCAGCTCCTCCAGCAACAACAACAACAGCAACAATTATTGCAGCAGCAGCAACTACAGCAACAGCAACAAATGTCCCCTAATATACCGCTGGTGTCCTCTATGGCCCCTCCCACATTACCGAACGAAACGCAGCCTCTGCAGCTTCAATCCCCGCTCTCTGGAACAATTCCAAGTCCCGTCCGAGGTCAATCAAGTGCCGCTCTGCCGAGCGCAACTCTTCCCAGCAGCATTATCACAACCGCTGCGATTACAAGCGCGGTCCAGCCCGGCCAGCCTTCTCCTGCGCAACCTTCACCGGTCTCACCAACAGGACAGAAACCAACTTCATTGCAAATTTTGAGACAACAACAAATGATACAGCAACAGCGGCAGCTAGAACAACAGAGACAACAACAACTTGAGAAAGAGATGCAGGAGCAGCTGGAGAAAGAACGGCAGGAGCAACTCGTAAAGGAGCAGCAGCAGCAGCAGGAGCAAGAGAGACAATTACAGCAACAACAATCACCTCAAACGCTACCATTTAGTCAGGACTCGCAATCTGCAACCCAGGCTCCTTTTTCAGATACAAGTAATGCATCGACATCTCAACTACAGAGCCAATGGCCCTCCAGCCAAGGAACATCAACCTCGGTCGGACAGCCCAGCACGAGCAATAATGCGCGCGAGAGCGGTATACCTCAGCAGGGTCAACAAGGGCAACCTGCAGATCTGCCTTCTCATACAGAACCAGGCACAGGGACGTCCACCGGAGGCGTGCCAATTGCCACCATTCCTAATTCTGACCCGATAGGAGGCAATGTCAAAACAGAAGAGGAGATTATGCCTCCGCCTCCACCTCCACCAATAACCGCAAGCACTGGTCCAGGAGCAGGCGCACAATCAAGCCAGCCGCCACCCCAAAAGCCAAAAGGGGCAGCTCAAGGAGGAGGTGTCAAGATCGAGAGTCGCCCAACACCGGCAGCTTCAGTAGCAGCAGCGCCAACAAGCGGATCGCCCCAGATTTTCAAAGCGACTTACTCAGGCGTGCCCGTGTTTGAGATGATTTGCAAGGGCGTTGCAGTCATGAGGCGCCGATCGGACTCCTACTTAAACGCGACGCAGATTCTGAAAGTTGCAGATTTTGACAAGCCGCAGCGAACGAGAATCTTGGAGAGGGAAGTTCAGAAGGGGGAGCATGAGAAGGTTCAAGGTGGATACGGAAAGTACCAAGGTAAGGGATTATGCCTCAAGTTGGGGTCCTATGTATACTGCAGGGAACGTGCCAAATGTGCTAATATTCATTCCTTCATTGTCCATGATCAGGTACATGGGTTCCGCTTGAACGCGGAGTTCAGCTTTGTCAGGAGTATAACGTCGTGCATCTGCTACAGCCCCTGCTGGATTATCAAGCAACGCAGACCAGTCCACCTTTGGCGCCCAAACACATCACAGCAGCATCGAATCGACCCCGGAAACCACGTGAACCTCGCGCGCTAGATATGTCGACCCCTGGAAATGAGGACAAACCCGGCGTAAAACCGAGAGCTAGGAAGACGAAGCGCAAGGCGGCTGCAGCCCAGATTCTGCCCAAGCCCTCCATGGGTGCCAACGACAGCGGGGCGAATTTTACTGGCGGGCCAGGTGCGTTAGGCGAGGAAAGAGAGACGAGCCTGGCAACAGAGGGAGACGAGGACATGGACGATGGCTCAACAAGTACTGGTGACGATGGTGATGGTAATTTGGGGCAATTGGTGTTTACTGCTGCCTGCATACTGTTTGGTTTCGATCCGACTCAACGAATATGGTCTAACACTTTGCTTATTTATAATCATAGACAGCGATGAGAGTGAGGGCGGAACCATGAGCCTTCTGTCAGGACACACTGGAGTGCGCACTAGAACGCCCTCGCCTACAGCGTCACGACCCGATCTGTCCTCAGAGGATGTCTCTGATCGGGAAACATCTTTCTCGTCTGCTTCAACATCGACATCGCCAGCCAAACGCCGACGCCGCCCTCCTTCGTTGCAGGACAGATCCCTAAGCTCTTTGCGCAAAAGGCATGTCCGTCCAGGCGATGAGTTGTTTATCGGATTCGAGGACAAGCAGGTTTCGCGCAGAAAACGTGCCCGTCAAAAATCCAACAAAGATGTAGACATGGAAAGTGGATCTCATATGGAGGACAATGACGACGATGACAACGCGATGGACGTGGACGACGACGATCAGGATACCGCCTTCCAGCGCGATTCCTCACCGAGTGTCCGCAGCAAGACCAACAGGAGGTCAACATCACGTACGAGGGCGTCGGATCAGGATGATCGCAAATCGACACTGTCTTCAACTGCCACGGCAATAGCGACAGGATCGACATCAGTGGAGACACAGTCTCGAGGGCCATATGCGGATACACTGTTGGAATACTTCATCGCCGATACACTGACGCTGCCCAAAATTTTGACAGAGCCGCCCGCAGATCTGGATTTCAATATTGTGATCGATGGTGAGGGACACACATCATTGCACTGGGCAGCAGCTATGGCGAAGCTAGAGGTGGTCAAGATTCTTGTCCAGAATGGCGCGGATACGTACAGGGTCAACGCAGATGGGCAAACGGCATTGATGCGGAGCGTGCTGTTCAGCAACAATTTTGAGGAGAAGACGTTTGCGGTGCTGTTGGAGGTGCTCCAGAAGACCATTTTTACAATCGACAAGGACGACCAGACAGTGTTCCACCATGTCACCAACACGGCAGGCCAGCGTGGGAAGATCCATGCGGCGAGGTATTACCTCGAGTGCTTGTTGGAAAAGCTGGCGCAGCATCCTTCGGAGCTGGCGTCGATTATTAATGTGCAGGATCGTGTGGGCGATACGGCATTGACAATTGCATCGAGATTGAAGGTTGGGGGTAAGAAGGTCGTGAAGATGCTGGTCGATGCGGGAGCGGATTTGAAAATTCGTAATCATACAGGAAAGAACGCGGAAGAGTATTTGCTGGAAACAGATCAGCAGCAACAGATCGCTTCCTCTGCAGATTCGAAGCCATCCGCCGGTGCAGAAGCAGAGTCCGATGGACAGCGGCAACAGGGGTCGATAAGGAACTCTGGAACTAGTGCGCCAGCGTCCGTAACTCGTGCTAAGGACCCACATGTTCAGCCCGTGGATAAGGGAACGAGGTCTCAGGATCAGCCCTACGGGCATCCTCTTACTGCTACGTCAGCAATGCTCCCACCACCGCCACCACTCACACTTTTGCCATCAGCACCACGATTGGCTTTCGCCCAACCTGCTTCAGGATCGTCCAGCGGATTGCTCTCCCAGCTTCAACAGGCGAACTCTTGGCCAGGCACGACAACTTCGGTACGACTCCCAGGTGGACCTCCTGTTTCCTCGTCCTCACAAGCTGTGATCCCAACAGTCAGTGAACTGTTCAGCAAACTGACACAGTCGTATGAGAAGGATATTTTCGAAAAGGATCAGGACATTCAGGAGGCACGTGGGCTGCTGCAAGGGATTCAGACAGAGATTCGAGAGGGACATCGGACGATTCATGAGCTGAAATTGAAGACTGTGACACTAGGACAAGCAGAGGAGCAGATCAAGGCGCTGGAAGGGTTGCTTAAACAGGAGATTCATGAACGGCAGCGACTACGGTTGCAGGAGTTGATTTCGCAGGAGGAGGAGAGGTTGCGGAATGAGGTGAGGGAAAATGAGGTTAAGAAGAATGTGGAGGAGCCAAAGACGACGACTGAGGCTGAGAAGACTGAAGGGAATGTGAACAAGAACGAAGAAGAGTTTTTGATATCGCCGCCGCCGCCGCCGCCTTCCACTGCCAACGCTGCTGGTTCTGGAGTAGAGACAGTTTCTCAGTCAAAAGATGATATTACAATGGGCTCGACTGCTATAGATGCTACGAGCGGAGTATTGGAAACAACGATTGCGCCAGTTGAAACCACGACCACAACAACCACAGATGCTGCTTCCGTGATAGCCGACGAGCAAGGCGCTAATCCCGCCAGCGCTCAGCCGCCAGCCTTGATTGTTTCTTCCTCAAAGTTGGAGGAGCTCGAGAATGAGGTGGAGCAGCTGCGAACAAAACTCTCAGAGTTGCAGCAGCGACGCAAGGATCGGGTGGTCCAGATTGTGGACCTGAAGAGGCAGCAAGGCAAGCGGTGGTATGAGTACCAGCGACTGATTGCGTTGTGCTGCAATGTGGCGATTGATCAGGTCGACGAGTTATTGGGCCCGCTGTTGAGCTCCCTTTCAGATGGGGACGAGATCGATGTCTAAAGTGCTATAGTTGTTCGTCCTTTTTCTTCCTTTCTTTCTGTTTTTTTTTTTTTTTTTTTTTTTTTTTTTTTTTGGAATCATAATATATGTATATCATTTACCAGATGATAAAAAAACATAATTTAATGCGAAAGCAGAGTATGAATGAGACATGAAAATGAATGCAAGGACGAGAGTAAGGATGAATGTGAGTACGAGTATGAGTACAAATGAGTATGGGTGTAGATCTGTGTAGTATTCTCCTATGCATTCGATGTAGCATCCGTGCTTCGAGAACCCTTCCACCGTGCCATGACGTTCGCGATCTGTGCCGAGAAGATAACCGGCGTGGCTGCGATGATCATCACGCCAAACATGATCATGGTCCATTGGAAACCAAAGTCCTCAAAGATAAAGCCAGCAAGGATGGGCCCTACAGCCATGGAAAGCGAATACGTCATGTTGTAGAGCGCATAAGTCTTTGCATAGCAGTTCCACCCCTTCTTGTGGCAAACATCCGCCATGGCCGGCAACAGCGGCGTTAGGATCGTGGAGGAGCCCAGACCAAAGAAGGCGAGCGGTAGCACGAAGGAGAGGAAGGATGTCGGTAATGCGAGCGAGAGGGTTGCGAGCGCAAAGATCAGCATGCCCAGCAGCGAGATGTAAAAGTGGCCGACACGGTCAGCGTAGTAGCCGATGGCCGAGGCGAAGAGTGTAGGGAAAATGGCAGCAGTTAGGACGAGTCCGGTCTGCGTTGGGGTTGCATGCAACAGTTCCTCCAGATACAATGGCAGGATGGGTTCCAATCCTAGGCGTAAGAAGTTAAATAGTGATGATGGTATTGGTTAAACAGCAATTATTTCAAGCATTTTGAGGGTTTAAAAGGGTAGTTCATAAAAGAAAAAAGCATTTACCTGAAAAGACGCTGGCAGCGACAAAGGTGGCCAACAAGCAACAGACGATTGTCCAGTTGCTCGCAATCTTGAACATCGACACATCTGTCTCATCCTGCTTGCACTCCTCTGCTGCCGACGATTTGGAAGACGACGAGGCCGAAGATGTGGAATGTTCTGACGAGGAGGACGACGAAGAACGAACGCTTCCGTATCCAGATCGACTATCCGTTCTGGCATGTGCGTTGCGCTGATGTTGATGCTGATCCTGATGCAGGTGCAGTCCGTCATCCAGAATCTCCTGTGCATGCTTCGGGTCCGAGATTGCAGCCGCGGTTCTCTCGACCGCAACAATTGTACTCGTCGACGGCACTTCTCCGATCGTCAAATTATCCACATCCTGATCCGTGTGCTTTCCATTACTCGTCGCCGCCGCGTCTCCTACGATGACCTCTGTTGCGTCCGCCGCATCCGTATCACTGCTAGTGGAGAAGAACTTTCGCTTCTCAGGCTCTGCAATAAAAAGGATGCACAGAAAATCAAGAATCGCGAGAGCCGCACAGAAGATAAAAGGAGCCTTGTATCCGTGGTATTCGTAAAAGTAAGCGCCAACCATCGGTCCCAACATGAATCCGATCGCGTTCGCCATCATAGTAGCGCCCATCACCACACCGAGATTGTCGGGTGGATATACATCAGCCAGCATTCCCAGTCCAATCGTCCTATTTTACGATGTTGAAATATGTGGATTTGCCCCCTTTGTTAGAATATACATTGGGAATCTTAAAAGCCGTAACCGTAATCATAAACCACCCATGAGGAACATACCATGAGGCTCCGCCCGCAGAGCCTTGACCGATTCTAGCCATGATAAGGACCCAGTAATTACTGGCAAGCGAGAATCCAACCGTTGCCACCGCAAGACCAAGCATGCCGACCATCATTGGTATCTATGGAGTCATTGAAGAAATGCAACATCGTATTAATACAAGCTAAGTTAGCACGCGTCAGCGCATGACCTGCAACAATAAGAGTGGCCTTGTGACAGTAAAAGACCAGGGTCTGGTGGCCTGGTCTGCTTTTGGATTGCTGTTAATTTCCACAAACGTACCCGTCTGTTCTGATACTTGTCGCTCAGAATGGCAAAGACTGGCGTCGAAGCAAGAAGACCAATCGCTATATTATCGAGGAGTATTAAGACGAAGGGTATGTTGGCGACGATGTGTATTTCCCCCCTCCCCAGTTGACCCTGATCACTTGAACCGCCAAATTCAAGTTCATCGTCGTCGTCCGTGCGAGTGAGAACATCTTCCGCCTCTTTGCGGATGACAAACACAGGTTTGGCTGCTGCGATAGTCACATGGCCCCTGGATGAACGAAAATGGTACTTCTTCGGACATAACAAGTCATCATGAGAGCAATAAGGCGAATGTCCCAAGCACAAGCACAAGCACAAGCACAAGCACAAGCACAAGCACATGGACAGTTTGTTTTTGTTATCCTGATAGACAATGACCCTCATCCTGTCCTGTATGCGTGAAGTAATGTTTCTCAGTCGTCGTCTTTACCATAGCACGCAAAGAGAAGCCCGACATCGCTGGAACTTCCTCCCAGTCGTTCCTTAACGATGATAGGCAAGATTGGAACCACTACACCGTAGACAACCTAGTAAACATGAAGGGCAAACCATAAATGAGAAAAGACGCCATATGACCAAGGAAAAAGATCCACAAGCAAGATTATCAGATATTCGGGGCTTCGTCCCCGCTCGACAAACTTTTTTTATATTTTTTTTTTTTTTTTCTTTAGACCATTGGAATTTCCCATCAACCACAGGGCACCGAAGTAGCCGGGTGATATGCAGGATGAGTGGATCCAAAGCAGAGAAAAACGAGCAGGGTGGACGTACCATGTCTGTGAAGAGAGCCATGGCCACGACACATGCGACGGCGACGGGGGCTCTTCTGGCTCTGTAGAGGGCTGAGCGGTTCTTGTAGTTGTCGTCATGACTGCTATTGTTGGTTCCGAGCAGGGGTCTTCTTTCGTCTGTGCCGTTCGACTGAGGAACGGGGGAAATCATTTTCGATCGATACCCACTTTGGAAATAGTAAGGATGCTTTTGGCTCGAAGAAGGGTGAGGAAAGGGTAGAGGGCGGAATGAGTGGAGAGAAGGAATGAGGACGGAAAAGAAAGAGAAGCTGGATCTTAATAAGGAAGAAAAACAGAGCTTTGAATGGAGAAAAGAGTACAAAGTTCAAAAGAGAGAGAGAAAGGAGCCAGATGCACCGCCAGAGTGGACACAACACAGCAGCATACCAAGCAAGCATGTACAGGCGTTGCCGGTAAACATGTGCAAATCCATCCATCGCACACACACAAACACGCACACGCACAGGAAAAACTCGAAAAAGCGATAACAAGATCGACCAGCGAGATGAGATGCCCCTTCCTCTCTCTAGAAACCACCATCACATCCTCGTATGGATGAGAGATGATGTCGCAAGTGCCACAACAACGAGCACATGTGTGTAGTAGATCGTTAACAGCTGCACACACTGCATTTCCATCGCACCATATCGCATGCAGCCTTCTTTCTTTATTTTCCTTCAGGCCCCAGCAGGCATCTCTGGACACCATTTGGTGCCTCTCGAAATACTGTGCTCTTTCAAGGCTTCCCCCATGATCTTTTTTCATCCGCCATTCCAATGAAACCATCCAACCAGCTTGCACATTTCGCGGTCGACCTGCACAGCTCAAAAATAAACTCTGTCAGCCCAAGTCTTTGTGGCCACTGGAGTCTATACAACAAACATGCAGACATACCCGATATCGATTTTCTTCTGAGGGGGAGGGTCACTCTTCCGCCACCGAAGTCTTTGTTTTAGCTTTGAAAGCTACAGGAATAGGGAGGACGAGTGAAATGTGTACTGTAATAAGATATCGTGAAATATGAGTAAAGGCCTAGGCGAATGGGTCGTTGCATGTTGTGTGACACATTGGGCTAAGTTGTTCGGGGATACTGCTGAGTCCTTCCAAACATGTACAAAAGACTACTGTATGCCCCAAGGTTCACGTGTAATATTTTCTTTTAAGACATAGGAAGCGTAATCTCTTTACTCTTGTTGTCATGCTAAGCACTCTAGAGCGTTACTTGGTGGCCAATAATGTGCACCGCCATTCTACTCCATCTATAGGAGTATGAGAACAGACGGCGACATTCGGTGTCCTTATCTCACATACCTCGAGTAATGGCCCATACACTTAACGACTAGGCGCCTGCGCGCGTTCCGAACCGCTTTGTGAGAAGATACCCATTTCTGCCAGCCTCGTCTCCATGTACGCAACAATTCCCTCCGCAATCCATATTCGCGACCTATTCGCCCAACCCTCGCTTCCCTGGATGGCTTGTATATGTTAGTAACATTCGGAGAAGATTCCCCAGAACAATTCAACGTGGACCTGAAACTGGAAAACAAGCGACCAGACGTCTAACTGCTCTACGTTCCTTTGTTGTATCTCTCAAACAAAAACAAAAACAAAAAAAAAAAGAAAAAAGACCTTGTACTTCAAACACTGCTACAAATTGCGTAACGCTGTAATTGCCATCAACGTTGCATAAACTGCTTGCCCGTACGAGGGGCACTCTTCCGGGACTCTGGCATGTTTCTGCTTTCGCTACCAATGAACGGTACACCAGCGACGGCTGCTTTATCAAATTTAACAGCGAGGACAATAACTATTAAGGCATTAAGTAAGCAGAGACTGACCGTTCCAGACGTGCTGCGAATCCCGAGAAGGCTTCAAACGCTACTGATGAAAGATGCGCATGGTTCTATAAAATAAGGAGTTTTGGAGCTCATACTTGCAGTCGAGGCTCTAGAGAATAAACGCCGATTAGGGGTTATCGGAATGATGCGCGGCAATACTCATACTTTAGTTGATGTTCAGCGGATCTGACTGACGTCGATATCTGACGACACTTTGTAGAACTTCATGGCGTTGTTGATTCAGGTCCAAACAGTATCCACAAATCAGATGGATGGCCGCCATGAGCATAACAAGTTGTTCTGCACTCTTACCTGGCACCCTATTCTTTGCATCCATTTTCAAGGCCATCAATTAGAGGCCCCATCGATCTGAGCCGTTCAGAGTGTCCTATTGGTGGTGATGGTCCAAAAGATATTAATACCTTGGAGGATGAGCGGAGTAATTGTTCAGCTTCAAGTTCTCTTGCTCCACAATGAGCAGACCATCCGCCGTTTCTGTAGTTGCTTACTTACGCGCTCTTTTTTTTCATTCATTCTCGGTAAAAAGGGACAAACTGCAATGTGCTCACCATAAACTCCTCACCGAACGAACGCGCTCCTCACCGAAGAGTCATTATAGTACGGCCCTACTTCTCACTTGTCGCTATTTACGTACGATTATGGCTCATGCGATCATATGGGAAAGATGGTAAACCCTCCAGAGGACATACCGCAGATTAAGTGGAGGATGAGAGCACGCGCCCCTCTTTTGGGCATGTCATCTCCGGTCTTCTCGCCCTTCCAAATGTTCTTTTCAGGCCTTTTTTTTGTGTGTGTGGCCCAAGAGACAGAAAAATGACATGCGACCCGCGCAATTCGTGGACCGATGTCTGTGGTAGCCGAGATGATGCGTAGGAGTAGTCTACAGGGCGGTGCCTGTGGTACGGTGTGTGGCAAACTGGTGTTCCACACATACGCCCCAGAGAGGGCATGCGGACAACCCTGACCAATTGCGATCCAAATCCCCCAAATCCCCAAAAATTATATCCCATTTCCCTGGCAGCGATTCGAGCCTGTCTCTGTTTCGCACCCCTTGGCCTTGACTTTCAACAACAACCCCTCTCTGCCCTTCGCTCCCTTTCTACAGCAGCATCCCAGTGCATCCTGCCTTCTGATGTATGCGCTTACGCTCCGCCGCACCATGGGCATTACCGAGGGTTGGAGCAAAAATACAAAATGCCAAAGACATCATAATTGCCGATTGTTTATTGCATTTTGCTCAACTCGCTGACCGCATTATTTAGGCAGGACCCTTTTGTTCTGACGCGACGTCCAAATTAACCTACAAATTGGCCAGGCCCTCTATTTCGCTCCTTCGTTCTTTCATCCCTCTCCTATTCTTCCCTTGCGTCCGTCAACCATATTCCTCCCTGTCTAATTCCACCCACTATTTTTTTTTCTAACAATCGATCCCCTTTGGTGTAGAGAAGAAGACAGTTGCAGAGGCCCTCATTTTCTATATCGCACAATCTAATCCGGTTACTATTCATTAATCATACAGACAGCACACTTGTTCAGTTGCGCTTCCCCAGCTTCTCTCTCGCTTCAGCATGGACAAGAGCGAGCTGAATCCGGACACCGTGGTCTTGGACTCAACCAACACTACCTCCAATCCTACTCCTGCTCATGAACCTATTCCTGGTGCATCTCCTCCTCCCCCTCCTCCTCCTCCTCAGGCCATAAACCCTTCTTCTGGGGAAGATCTGTCAACGAGCAATACAGACACTCAACAAACCATCGACAACAGCAACTATAATAACCACAATAATACCACCGCTTCCTCTGCTCTATCGGAGTCCACAGTTTCTTCCGAAACCAAATCGCTCAAGTCGAACCAACAGCCCGCTGCAAGCAATATGGCATCCAACCAACCCTTACAACCGACCGACCCAGGACCGCTTTCTTACCAACACGAATCCGGGTCTCATGAGACTGCACACATTCCACAACGACCAAACAACAATGGGCCTTTTGCATTCACACCTGACGAGCTCATGGAGCTCATGGACCCAAAGTCGCCAGAGCAACTGGCGGCCTATAATGGTACTGAGGGCATTCTTAGAGGGTTGCATGCAGATCCAGTCCGGGGCCTATCTACTACCGATAACAGGCCGCTCGAAAGTGTTGGTGTTGTGGCAGGCGGAGAACAAAAGGAGCCACCACAAGCAATTTCGGGTGTCAACGTGGGCGACATCGACACCGCTGCGGTCTCGTTTGCGGACCGTGAAGAGTACTTTGGACGGAACCTGCTGCCCAAGAGGAAGCCAAAGAACATTTTTCAATTGATGTGGATTGCATTGCAGGAAAAGATTCTGGTAAGTGCTGGGATTTTATGTTGAGCATGCTCCCTTTACTTCAGTGTGTTCATTTGCTGCTGAGCGAACCAGTCAGCAGGAGGGAAGAGGAAGGAGCACAGACCGACACATCGGAAGCTGAATGCGTTGTACCATTGGATGCGCATGCATTTTTTCATTTCTGTGCAACAATGGACGATGGACGCGCACCTGATCGTGCTACTTGACCATCCCACATCTACCTGGCTACTTCCGTCCTTGTTCCCCATGTATTCATGCTCATGACATCACCTCGTCCACAATTCTACGTGCTTTTGTTGGTCCCCCTTTCTAAAATTACTGGCTCCCTGTTTCTGTCCCTGTCTTGGTCTCTGCCTTTGTTCCTGTCCCAGTCATGTATTATGATGCTGATAGTATGTTCCTCCGCTATGCGTTATCTCGCTCTTTAGATCCTTCTGCTTGTTGCCGCTGTCATCTCCATTGGGCTTGGAATCTACGAGGACTATGGCATGAAACATGAACCAACCGAACGCTTCAACCGGGACTATACCTCCTACATCGCCACTGATCCCAAGATCTCCTGGGTCGAAGGTGTCGCCATTCTGGCCGCTGTCATCATCGTCGTCATGGTCGGTTCCGTTAATGACTACCAGAAGGAGGCCCAGTTCCGCAAATTGAATGCCAAAAAGGAAGACCGTGAAGTCAAGGTACAGACCTACACACCCACGTTACCACTCTCTTTTTTTTTCAGTTATCTCTCCACCCTGATCTTTGGACATTGGCCTGTATCCAAATGTTATGTCCTTTGATCTGCTGTGGTGACAAACAGCGGTTTGATGTGGAATGAGGAATGACAAACTGGTGGCCTGCTACCGCCAATCAGTCCATACGCGCATACCTTCATATATTCAAAACTAAACATATTGTTATTGCTTCCTGCTAGGTTCTTCGAAATGGTGAAACTGTCCTGCTATCCGTGTTTAATGTCCTTGTCGGCGATATCCTGCACCTTGAGCCCGGAGATGTGATCGCAGCAGACGGTATCTTTCTCGGCGGACACAATTTGAAGTGCGATGAATCTGCCATGACAGGAGAATCTGATGCGGTGAAGAAAGTGACCTTTGAGGAGCTGAGAAGGATGCAGGACGCCGAGGCTGCTTTGAACAAGGGCGAGAGTAAAATCCAAACCAATCATGAGGGCATCGAGGTTATTGCTGAGCCGCAACACGGTATCCATGGAGTCGACCCCTTCATCATCTCTGGATCCAAGGTCTTGGAAGGTGTGGGTATTTACGTTGTCACGGGTGTAGGCGTAAACAGTTTCCATGGAAGGACAATGATGTCGCTGCGCACCGAAGCCGAGGATACACCGCTGCAGATCAAGCTGAATGGCTTGGCAGAGAGGATTGCCAAACTGGGCAGTTTGGCGGCCTTGCTCATGTTGATTATCCTCATCATCCGGTACTTTGTGGGATTCAGAAGGAACGGAACGCCTGCCGGTGCAGAAATCGTGAAGAGTTTGGTCACCATTGTTATTACTGCCGTTACAGTCGTTGTCGTTGCTGTTCCTGAAGGTCTTCCCCTGGCTGTCACCCTCGCCCTGGCTTTTGCAACCACACGCATGCTGAAGGACAATAATTTGGTCCGCATCCTGGCTGCGTGCGAGACCATGGGTAATGCCACGACCATCTGCTCTGATAAAACCGGAACGTTGACCCAGAACAGGTACGCATACCGCCACGCGGCTCGCCATCGTCTGCTGTCTTGTTATCTGACCATTAATCTCATTGCATGCCACACTTACTAGGATGACTATTGTTGCTGGTACGTTGGGAGTCAACACACGGTTTATCGCTGATGGCCCCGAGGGAGAGGCCAATCCTCGCGCCAACATTCCCGTTAACCGCCATGCCGTCCCTATGAGTCAGCTTGTCAGCAAATTGCCACCTGCGATCACTACGCTAATGCATGAAGCCATCGCCATCAATTCTTCAGCCTTTGAGAACACCGACGACAAGGGTAACCTGTCATTTATTGGATCCAAGACCGAAGTCGCTCTGCTCGACTTCTCAAAGAAGATCGGCGGTGCTGACTACCGTGAACTCCGCGAGGCCGTACCCGTCGTCCATCTGTTTCCCTTCTCTTCTGAACGCAAGTCCATGGCTACCACTGTGCAGATGGGTCCAAACAAGTTCCGCCTTCACGTCAAGGGTGCCTCCGAGATCATTATGAAGCGCTGTAGCAAGGTTATCCAGATAGGCGGTTCTTCCGAACAGAATGGTTCCCTGAGTGAGAAGGATCGCATGGCGGAGGTGACTGAGCTGGAACTCGTGGAAGAGCTTCAGACGCAGGTCCACAAGACTATCATTTCCTATGCTACGCAGTCTCTCCGAACCATCGGAATTGCCTACCGCGATTTCGAATCTTGGCCACCTGCCGGCGTTGAGCTCAATGAGGATGGTGACGTTCCGTTTGCTGCTGTCGCTGAGAGCGACTTGACCCTAATTGGTGTTGTTGGTATCGAGGATCCACTGCGCGAGGGTGTTCCTGAGGCCGTCCTTGCCTGCCAGCGAGCTGGTGTCTTTGTCCGCATGGTTACAGGTGACAACATTCTGACGGCCAAGTCGATCGCAACGCAGTGCGGCATCTACACGCAGGGTGGAATTATTATGGAGGGGCCCAAATTCCGTGCGCTCAGTCCTGAAGAAATGGACGCAGTGATCCCACGACTCCAGGTCTTGGCTCGATCCAGTCCTGAAGACAAGAAGATTCTGGTTGGTCGTCTCAAGGCCATGGGCGAGATTGTGGCCGTAACAGGAGACGGTACCAATGATGGTCCTGCTCTCAAGATGTCGGATGTTGGATTCTCCATGGGTATTGCCGGTACTGAGGTCGCCAAGGAAGCCTCGGCTATTATCTTGATGGACGACAACTTCTCGAGCATTGTCAAGGCCATCCTTTGGGGACGCGCAGTCAACGATGCTGTCAAGAAGTTCCTGCAGTTCCAACTGACTGTCAATATTACCGCTGTCATCCTGACCCTAGTTACTGCCGTTATCTCTGACACACAAAAGCCCGTAATGTCTGCTGTCCAGCTTCTGTGGATCAACCTTATCATGGATACCCTGGCCGCCCTTGCTCTCGCTACAGACCCACCTACTCCTGAACTCTTGGACCGACAGCCCGAACCCCGCACAGCGCCTCTGATCACCTTTACGATGTGGAAGATGATTCTTGGCCAGGCCATTTTGCAGTTGACGATCACCTTTATTCTGGAGTACGCAGGCATGGAGATTCTCAACTACGACGAAATCCCCGGCTGGCTTCAGCCCAAGGTTGATGAGAATCCGAAAATTAAGGACGCTTACACTGGTTTCAAACGACAGGAGCTCGATACTATGGTGTTCAACACTTTCGTTTTCTTGCAGATCTTTAACGAGATCAACTGCCGTCGACTGGATAACCACCTCAACATCTTTTCTGGCATCCACAAGAACACGTACTTTATTGTGATCTTCATCATCATGGTTCTGTTCCAGGCGATCATTGTCCAGTTTGGCGGCGCAGCCTTTGACACCGAGAAACTTGGAGGTATCCAGTGGCTGATCTGCATTCTCTTGGGTTTCCTTTCGATCCCCGTGGGTGTTATCATCCGTCTGATCCCCGAGGAGATCTTTGGAGGCCTTCGAGACCGCATCAACCGGCCATCACCCCCCACTGGAGGTGTGCCCAACTTTGAGAATTACCCAGCGATGGCTGGCGATATTGGTCGTGTCGCTTCAATCCCAGTCTCTGTTAACTCTCAGCAAGGATCGATGGTCGGTGTCAGTCCCGGCAGCGGATACTCGAACCGTGACAGCCATCTGGCCTGGAACTCTGCGATTAACAAGGTCCGGACAGAACTTTCGGTGTTCAAGGCCATCCGTGGTGGTCGCTTGTCGGCGTACCATAATACGGATGATCAACATATGCTCTATACTGGCGCGATGGTTCCTTCGCTGGTTGCAACATCTGTGGGCGCAGGATGGGCGCCAAGGACGCCTGGTTCGGGTGGTCAAGGTGATTGGAGGACTGGAAGTCCACGATCGAGTATGATGGGGTCGCGTCAGGGCACTCAGGCTTCACGTTCGTGATAGCCTTCATGTGAATAAAGATGACCTTTTTACCCGGTCTTGACAATTTAAAATGGAAAATAATACCATGCTCGAGAGCATTGAGCAGCGATGCTTTAGCGTGAACTTAAATGGATCTTCTTCTAAACCCTTGCAGCAATTGCTTCTGTTGATGTTCGCACTAAGATAGAGGGAGGAATGAATGTCAACCAGGAGCAAGGCCGTTCATCCCATTCTTTTTATGGCCAATATATCCTCCCACGAGCATGACTTGCAGCAGGGGCAATGGACGAAGACCAGCCGAAAGATGGACGCGCAGGGCGTGAAGAAAAGAATGGATTATGCTGACGGCAAACTTGTCGGCTGTGTGGGCGTCACTGTTTTATAGACATTCGTCATGTACGCCCACAACACTCACGCGACTCGACTCAACTCGACTCGACAGATTTATTAGTCCCCTTGCTGTTCACTGTGTGTGTATAGCGATCCCAACTACGCCCGCCCTGCCGGTATCGCTGGTGCTGCTGGTGGACGCTCTTTCATTCTTGCTATTCTTGCTATTCTTGCTATTCTTGCTGCTCTTCTTTGGGAACAGCCAACTATGAATTTGCGCCGACGTTTGTTCCCGGAAATAAACAGAACTTCGTTTTCCAGTATTTCCATCCTTCTCCGCCCTCCTTCGACACGGCCGCATCCCATCTCACATTTCGCACTTCCCATATCGATAGACACTTGATACGCCCTGTATACCATTGACTATCTTCCTATCCTCATTCAGGCTGAACAGAATCGACAGATTGGACATCGGGAACAATAACGCCTGTGTTTCGCGTCCTCTCTGGCCCATCGTCATCGGCCTATCATTGTGTTCGCTTGGCTGGACTAATTTTATCGGCTGCTTTGTTCCAAACCCATGTCCATGCTGAGGCCCAGGTTCAGCCTTCGTTTCACCCTCACTGACAATACTACCACCTCTTCCTCGGCCTCATCTTAATCTTCCTTTCATCCCTCTCATTCCACCACCACTGCACATCCGCCTTCGCTCAACTAAACCGGAACGCATACCCAGTTGCCGTATCACTATAAGCAGCGGCGCAGAACAGTTGCATACCTACACACGAACACATCAGAACACACTCAGCTACAAGGTCAAATAGAAAGCTAGAACGGACTGAGAGTGAGCAACGACAAGAGGAAGAGAGATTCGCCTCCTCACCTCCCCCATGGCGCTTAAGGGACAGCCGCGGTGGTTGCCCCTCTTTTTGCTTCTGCTGCTGTGCACCATCGCCCTCCAGTCCCTCATCGATCCAGAGCACGCCGCCTCCACCACCTCCCTTCGCCCCTTTGTTACCGCAGTACCGGCGTCCTCAGCTGTGTCTCAACAACCGCAAACCAACGGCATCAGCATATATAAGAGGGAAAGCCATCATGACCTTGGCGAGACCACACTGAGATCTAGATCTGATCTCACACTATCGAATTCACATCTTGAACCCAACAATCGCAACCAAGACGAACTCTTTCTTGCGCTCCACCAGGAACCCGGTAAAGAAAAGAGCGCTATTTCCCCCAATGGTTTGCTGGCTGAAGTGGCCAATCGGGGGGAGACTTTTCCAGTATATCATCTAGATCCTATGGCCCAGGATCCACCCAGAAACCGACCCTCCCATGAATACGTCTACCGAGGCGATATCAGGGCAGCGACGACCAATTGTAACTCGGATATGCCTCAGGTTCTAGGCCCAGGATGGAATGGATCGTTCTCGAGTAATTCCGCGGATGGAGTGTATCCGACACAGACGCGATCTTGTACTTGGACCATGCTGGCCTACACCAATGCGTCGACTCCGGCGCCGACATCATCATCATCGACATTGGCAGGGAGCGAAAAGTCGTCTTCAACACCTTATATCATTCAATTGACGTTTTGGTCGCCCATCCAACTTGTTTGCGGGTAAGTTTTTTTTTTTCTTTTTTTTTCTTTTTTGTTAATGACACCGTTTGGCTTGGGCCACGCATGTCTTCTGCCCCTGAGACTCATACGATTTACTTGGGGCTTGATACAAACGCAGGATTGATTATCTAACGCTCTACGACGGACCAGACACGTCCTCGCCCGTGATTGCGAAACTATGCGGGAACATTTGGATGGACAGTGTCCCGACGCTGTACTCTTCTGGACCAGTGATGACAGCTGTCTTCACGACTCAGGAGCAGACACCTGGATCTGTAGGGTTTACGGCCGGGTGGACGTCCGTGTGTAAGTTTTGTTCATTTTTGTTTTTCACTTGCTCTGTCTCTCTTTCCATTGAGATATATTTTATTGCATGAAAAAAACGAAGAAAGCATAATCGAGTCGCTAAAACGCAACCGTATCCTTCCATTTTTGTTGTTGTTGTTGTTGTTGTTGTTGTTGTCCGCTTAAAGTGCCATGCGATGTCTGCTTGAATTCGGGCAGAGGGACGTGTAGTGCCAACAGCTGTGTTTGTAGCAGCATGTACACAGGATCTGTTTGTCAGTCAGGTAAAAAGGAAGAAAAAAAAATGGGTGATACCAGAAAAACATTTATAGCCATATTTGTTACTGCTCATCTTACTCAATGTCTCAATGCGGGCATTTTTTATTTTCGTTTCTGTAGAAACGGCTGTATTCAAAGACTTCACTCCAAGGTCACAGCATGCAATGGCGTACGACTCTGCAAAGGACACGGTCTATATCAGTGGAGGAACGAGTTCCCAGACCACGTTCATGTCAGACTTGCTCTCCTATAACTTTGGTAAGGTTCTTCTCTTTCGACTACCAGTTATGGCACATCCTCTGGCATGCTAACACGCTGACTGATGCGATGTTTGTACACTCTCATACATAGCAACCAATACATGGAAAAAGTTAACGGTGACCTCCAGGACCCCCGATCCTCGCTATGGGCATTTTGCATTCGTGTACGACAGCGATCTCTACATCTATGGCGGCGTCTCTATCATCGGAGGCATGGGCGACATTTGGAAGTTCAACGGGAAACAGTGGGCGCAACTACAACTCACCTACTCTGATCAGTTACCCGCAGCCAGGATCGGAGCTGCCTGTGTCGTTGTCACGACCAACAACTCGACACAACTGGCGGTCTTTGGAGGCATGAACGCCGCAGGCGAGACAATGCGCGACATCAATATGTATGATGTCGGAGCTGATAAGTGGAAGAAGGCCGCTCGCCAGAACTCGGTAGGACTCGCAGGCGCGACGGCCGTGTATCACAAGGCGACAGAGTCGATCTATTTCTTTGGGGGGATGGTCAACCAGACGACAAGGAATGTTATCACATACCAGTATTTTCTCGAGCAGGGTTTGTGGTATGCGCTAGCACCGCGGATCGATCCTTTGACGGCTACGCCGATGGTAACGAATGATGGACAACCTTCGGACAATGGAACGGATTCGGGGGAGGACGACTCAGGAGATGGGTCGCAGAACAGCATGATAGCACCGCAGAACCTGCCTCCTGTCTTGTATGACCCCGTGTCGGGAGTTTGGGCGCCAGCAGGATTAATGGGCGACGATATGGTTCTGATCTATGGAGGGATGAGGCCATATGGACTTGGACTCAGTGCGAAAGCAGAAGCATGCTATGTCGGCAAAGTATCGATCTATGATCTTTGTAAGTGGATCATCTATTTATCCATGTCGACAGGACATTCACGAGATTGGTGAGGAGCATTTCTGACAGCGTTTTCTTGTTCCGCAACTATGTCGATAGCATGTCAGAGGTGGACTTCTTACGATGTGTCAGACACAGAAGGCATCATGAGGAACAGAGTCAATCATACGATGGTTCTTCGGCCACCAGGATCGACTGGCGGAAGTAAAACTGCATGGACGATGTATATCTTTGGCGGGTTTGATGGAAAGGAACATCAGGACATGCTGAACTTCACATTGGGTATTTCTACGCCTGCGCCGGCTGATCTCAACAACTGCCGAGGTAAGTTGACTCTCTTTACCGGCTTTGCGTGCGACGTTGTTCGCCCGCCGAGATAATGTGCTAATGTAAACGATGGTTTATTGTCTTGAATAGCATTACGATGGTGCAGTTACTATGACGACTGCCAGGACTGCAATGACAGTTATTGCTCCTATATCAACGGACTTTGTCTCTTTGACACGGACAAAGCAAAGGCTTCCTCCGCAGCATCTGCAACCAGCCCAGCTTACCTCCTCGGTAATAGCTCCGACATTCCCATGAACGGGACCCTGCAGGATTTGATCCGCCAACGACCCGAACTGAAGGGCCAAGTCTTGACACCAGACACTTGTCCGACCCATATTGCGCTCGACCTCAACGTCTCATACTCGTACACGATGCAGCCTGGACAATCGTTGACATTCAAAACCTACATCGACGCGCAGGATCTGGATATCCGGTTTTCGCTGCTCACGAGTCCTTCGCTACCGATGGACTTTGCATCCCAGAACGTCTGGGAAGGGTTTATGAATATGTACTGGCGAGCGACGCATGGACTCACGGATGATTCCTGGAACGGCTACTCTGAGACCTCTTCGCCCATCCCTACGGACGTACCCACAACCTCCGACAATATAACTGTGGGTGATAGTCCTGTGATTACGCTGGCTGGGATTTTGAATACCAGTGAGCTATTGAACCGCTGGACAAAGTACTCGGGGCTGGATGCTTCAGCGTCTTCGTCAGCTCTACGACAGTCCACTTCAACAGTCGTGGATTTCGCAGCGGGAGATCCCAGACGGTTTTCGGGATACTATGTCTATAGGCTTAAGAATTCGAATTCTGTGCCGATCGCGTTCACACTGACGGTCAGCCTGCTCGACCACCCAGAAGATGATGGTGGCAAAAAGGGGTCACAGTTTAATCTAGCGACACTCGGGTTTATGATGGTTGGCTTTATCTTTGGAGTGATTCTGCTGGTCCTGGTGGGATATAAGATCAAGAAGAGGCTGAACGAACGCGAGCAGATCCGTAGAGCTAGGACTGAGTTGAGGATGTTGGCGGAAGAAGAAGAAGAGGAAGAGGAACGAAGGCGGCAGGGAGTAGCACAGGCTTTGGCGGCGAGGGATGATCAGAGTCTGGCGAACATGAAGCCAATGTATCGGGTCGTTGTTGGTGTGCAGCAGGATCAGAAGGATGTGAAGAGTATGTCCACAGCTGCTGCAGGAGTTGAGTCCAACACTCTTCGACATCGACACGTGAGGAGTAACTGTCTAGGAGTAAGCACGACTGGCGCAGGAGTCGATGATGAGAAGAGGGACTATCGCGCGCGACCGGATTATATTTGCAACCTGGAAGCGTCACCGCCAAGCTCCTCGTCTGGAATCCAGAGTAAGGAACCAAAGATACGTGGCAGTCTGAAGCACAGATGGTCGCTAAAGAGCCTTGGTCGATCGTCCTCGTTAAAGAGATTTCGGGATCACTCCGCTGTCAAGTCAGAGGATGAGGAGGGACTGACAGACAATGGATACGATGATATCGCGGAAGAACTACCAACAAACGCTGAGATGGGGGCTGGAGTTGGAGCGAGTGCTGGTAGCACGCGTGATGAAGAGCAGCAGGTCTTGGAGCTCGGACTTTTGTCTCCACAGGGCCTCACTGCGATCGGAAATGAGGGTATCAAACAGCGGCAACATCGGAATCCGACTAAGGTTCAGCCGATCTCGATCGAGCCGCTTGTTTTCCATGGCGAACTCGTCCCAAGGACCAAGAGGAATTTCCGACGATACCGGCGGTCGCTTGCTCAGCAGCCACAATCAGTCAGCGACAGAAGAACATCTGTAATACCAGTTCGAACACCGTCGCGCAGGAGTGCGGTGATGAACACGCGGACGACATCGCGTGTCAAGGGTGCGCTGAGACGGGCGCAGACTGTGGCTGCTTCGCTGACGGCCCGATCACGCGGCGGCGGTTCTACGGCAGATAGAGACATGGGTGGTCAAGTTGAACACTCGGAGGGGATTGAGATGGAGCAGTTCGAGAAGCCTAGCCACGAAGGAACACATTTGCCGACATATGTGGGCGAAGACGCTATCGGTCTGCGTGGCCCGAGATCTGAGGAGGTAGCGGCAGAACATGCGCCGGTTCGGATGCGTGGGCGACAGGAGTATGAGCCTGGCCCATTGGTAGCCGTGAACGTGTTGGTTGTGTTCCCTGGTGATGCGAGCACGCGGCCTCTCATGATCCTGCCCGCGGATAGTGAAACTGGAACACTTAGTAACACCACTGCGAATGTCAATGTCGAGACGACACAGGGAGCGGAGCAGGTGGATCAGTGTCTTCCACCGATGGCGATTGGTACAGTGTTTGTGCCGGATCCGGTGAGGTGGTGGGCGTACAAGGCGAGGCAGCGAGTGAACCGGAGAAGGTATGAGAGGGAGATGCGGAGGCTCCGACGACATAAGGAGCTGTATCCTGAGAAGGCAACTTACTAGAGATCCGAAGGCTTGAACATTGTACAATATTAAATATGGTCTTAATTATGAAGGTGGTTGCGCTATTTAATGTGCAAATGTAGCTTTAAAGGCTCGGAACTCTTTTGTTTTATCATGGGTATCTAGAAGAACGTGGACTATGTCAGTGATCAACAGATGCTTCCATTGTTCATAATGGCCATGGCTTGTTCTGGCACGAATAAGGAGTCAAAAAGAAGAAAAAAAAAGTCTTTCCCTTCTCTCCGTATTCGCTTTGCTCCATCCTCTGCAGTGCGCTCAGTGTTTAGAGGCGAACTGTTCAGTTCTGACGAAAATATTTGTTGTCCCAGCTCACGCAACGTGTACGCGTCTGCTGTTGTAGTGCGTCGCGTGTCAACCAGATCAAAGCCAATCTACGATGTAGAGGAGACTGATTCTTCACGAGCGGCATCCCTATCGCCTTTCGTCAAACCAGCGGAAAACGCGCTCCTCTCCGCATAGACAAATGATTACGTATAAAATAAAAAAGAACACCTCGGTACCCGTTGCAATACAACGTCGAACATTCGCATGGATCGCACTAGAGCAACAGAAGACCATACTCGCTTCATCGGCATCTCTCCTTACCTTTCTCTTTTTCTAGTTTGTTATGCTCCGTACATGTGTCCATTTGTGCAAATGGTCCTGCTCTTCACCCAAATACAGCACATACCTATTAGAGGCCTTCTCCACTCTTTCATTATGGACGCGTGTCTTTATACTTTTCTTCACTTTATTGTTGTTGCTAATGGAATAGCTAGTGTACTTGTGCATGTGGACATGCAGTATTGTTTCTCACCTAGGCCTCTAAAGTTGCTGCCGTAGGCTGAACCAAGAATAAACCTAGAGAAGAGTGAACAGAAACCATCGAACCATCATAACATAGTGGACAAACCATCTGTTATTCGACTGGTGCTTGCGGCTATTCTTGGAGCCTTGTGGATGCTGCTCCTTTTCATGTCGCAGAGTTGCGCACTCGTGGGATTGGCATCCTACCACCCCGCTTGTCTCGTATCAGGGCTCCACAATACCTCGCTACCATCCCCAGTGCGATGTGATCATGACCCGGCAGTCCAGCTGGCTAAATCCATACTCTGGAAATATTGCCAGCCGCGCTTGCTTGGGCAGAGAGACCTACGAGTCGGAGCCAAGAGGACAGATCGGGCGTTGCCTACCGGGTGTCATAAGGCTGAGAAAAAATGTAGTGGTTAATGAGAGCTGTAAACAGCCCTAGATCTTGTGTTCCCCAGTGGCAAAGTCATGCACGAATGAAGGATTGCTCGCTCCACCCATATCAAGTGCATGTGCATGTTGTCTTCTGTCACAGCCATCCAAAAGAGGAACTTGTCACCCAAAAGGACTACTCGTCATCCGAAAGACAACTTGAACCTGAAGCTAGTGTGCTAGTGTCCCTCAAGACAAAAGCCAGGTCTGCGAAGCCAAACAAAAAGAAATAGAAAGAGCACCGCTTTAAAGCGCGGACAGCACCACGAGATACGCACGATACGTACCCCTCCTGTGGTTCTGGTCATCGGCAATATGGATGTGCAAGTGTGTTGGCCCCAGGCGTACTTACATGCTTCCAACCCCAAGAGCCCGACGCACCGTAGCCAGTACGTGGACAACCCAGGCCAGCAGAGAGCTGGGGTGTGACTTGGTTCCACCCAAGGAGCTCAACACTGCCTTGCTCGAGCTTGACTCGGACCAAGCACATCATTACCATTACCTTTTTCAGTAACCTTGACAGGGCGGACCAGGGAGGGCGACCAGGAAGAGAGGGACCGATGAAGGGAGGGGCCAATGAAGGGAGGAGGAGAAGGCAGAGCAGAAAGGGAAGAGACAAGTTCTACGCGCACGTCCTCTTGGCCGTCTTTATTTAGCTGTCACAAGCCTCACGCGTCCACTAAACGCTGCAAAGACGCGTCAATAAAAAAATAATAAAAGCGACGAACCGGCACCAGATGCTGCGGCGCTTTCTAGTACAGTCCAACCAATCGCAGCTGCTGCACTGTTACCCACGACACCACTCTTTCGACTTTACAGCAGCAGCAGCAGCAGTAGACTATCGTTTACATAGAATCGTAAAGCACCGCTTTAGAACCACAGGCTGTTCTATAGCCTCACAAGCCCTCTCGATACTGGCCATCGCCACAGTGTGCCATAGTCCAGGTCACTCTTTAGCTCTGGACAAGATCTCAACCTGAAGAGTGGGGTCAACCAGGCCCATGTTTGCGACGTCGCCTTGCTTGTCCTCGACCCGAGCAAATGAATCCGGCTATCACCGTTATCTTTATTTGTGCATGTTGCATCCAAAGACCATGGAACTGATCAGAACTCGCTGGCGAACGAAAGAGGGGAGCTGTGGGGAACGTGCACACTGCAGCAGAAAATAATGGCGCCGCTGGAGGACACCTTTATGGCGAACCCGCTTTCGAGGTGTTGTATGGCTGGGTGATCTCATGTACAGAGCGGAAGCAGGACGACAAATAAAATCATAGCGAGACGCGACATTCTTTCACCACGCGTTTCCGGTGTCTTTCTTACACAGATACCCCATCCATTCGCACAAGGAAACCGAGTTCAGCTACCCATTTATTTAGTATATCAGAGATGCATCCTTCGTTTCTTAAGTGGGTCAGAGTAAATTGAAAAGACAAGTAGTTTATTGCAATATGTACAATTAGCCATTACGAGAACTGAGATATTAATCGCTATGCAGGATGGGTATAGTAGAGAATGAAAGAAGAGAAACTGCCTCGTGAGGTGAAGAACCCTATGTGGTTGAGCATGGTGTGGTCGCTGGGTGCTGTGCTCTTAGTTCTCCTCGAGATCCATGACTGGAAGGCGCATGCGGGGACCAACAGCTTCTTCCTCCATTTCCATGACTGGGAGACGCATGCGAGGATTGATAGCTTCCTTCATTTCCATGACTGGGAGACGCATGCGGGGACCAACAGCTTCTTCCTCCATATCCATGACCGGGAGACGCATGCGGGGATTGATAGCCTCTTTGAGATCCATGACTGGGAGACGCATACGAGGGTTGATAGCCTCCTTGAGGTCCATCACTGGAAGGCGCATGCGAGGGTTGATAGCCTCCTTGAGGTCCATCACTGGAAGGCGCATGCGAGGGTTGATAGCTTCCTTCATTTCCATGACTGGGAGACGCATGCGGGGACCAACAGCTTCTTCCTCCATATCCATGACCGGGAGACGCATGCGGGGATTGATAGCCTCTTTGAGATCCATGACTGGGAGACGCATACGAGGGTTGATAGCCTCCTTGAGGTCCATCACTGGAAGGCGCATGCGAGGGTTGATAGCTTCCTTCATTTCCATGACTGGGAGACGCATATTAGGACCGACAGCCTCCGGGTTAATCGGCAAAGCCTTGACACCAGCAATGGTGAGGATGACTGCAGCAATCAGACTGGCCTGGATCTTCATGGTGTGTTGTGTATGTGTATGTGTACGAGCGTGGGATTAGGGCAGGTGTTCGTAAAGTAGGGGACTACTGTAGGCGCGAAGAAGAGAGAAGGGAAAGTAGTGGGGATGAGATGGGATCTGTTGTGTGAAGAAAATACGAACCGAAACTGGGGGACATGATCTTGTATTTATACTCGAGGAAGGCAAGGAAGGCAAGGAAGGCAAGGAAAGGCGGCAAAGGGCGAGGAAAGGCAAGGAAAGGCAAGGTAAGGCAAGGAAAGGAATGTCTCTGTGCTGCACGGTGCGCCCCAGCAATTGTTGGAAGATGCATCGTCGCATGGCGCTCGGATGTGAGACATACTCCGGTCATTGTTGCCCGGCTATTTGATGTGCTCTCACACTGCGTGCACACAGCCCGTGCGCAACCTTGTGCATCCAGCTGTGTGCCATTCCAGGTAAAAGAGCCAGGCACAGAGTCAGGCACAGAACTCAAAATACAAGGTCGGTGGCAAATGGCCGCAATTGGCCAATCAGCCGAGGGCGCCAAATGAAAAGAAAACAACCCGAAGGGTGCTTGCGAGAGAAATGTGTCGCAGTGTCTCTCGGAGAATACGGCCTGCAGAGTACTGTGCATTGTTGTGCACCCATATCCCCGCATCGAAGTCGTGCCACCTTCCGAAGACACATGCACACCCTTATTCCTTCGATCGATCGCGCATCCCGCTTCTCCGCACACTTAGTTTAGTCCATGCGCTGCTGTACCTCAGACCAGCACTTCAGCTGCCACCCCTGTTTTTGGTTTCCTCAAACCCTGTGGCACTCAAATGTATCATCCCATGCAGCTGCTGCTCCGCCAGCATTGGCCATTGCCCACACCTTCCTGTGCCATATCTGGGTTCAGTTTCCGCCCGTCTCACTGTCCTCGGGCCGTTCACTTTGCAACAAGACGAGGAGGTGCAATATTGCAATCTGGAGTGGGTCCGATGGCATTGCTGCTGCTGCACCAGGCTGCACGAGCTGGTCCAGGAGGGCGTCCTAAATCTTGACAGTATAGTCGGACTCGGAGTGGTCCACTGGAAGCTGCTGGTCGTGGTGCTCATGAAGAATGGAGGGAGGCAATATCGCCGAGTGCAGCCTCCTGCGAAAGTTGCTCCACAGCGCCCTCTCTTCTCTCTCCTCCTTTTGTTCCTCCGAGGACACCACGAACCGATCTATCTCTTCTTGTTGCCACTCGGCCAAGACTAGGTGTGCACCATCGGCCTCGCCCTTCTTGTCGGCCTTGCCCTTCTTGTCAGTTTCGCCCTTCTTGTCAGCCTCCTCGAGCGCGGCCAAGTCCTCTGCATCATTGAAAACCTCATGTGCAAGTGGCGCTTCATCAGTCACGGAACAGTGGAGTGACGAACTCCATCTCCAGCTCCATCGTCTCGCCCCACAAGGCCTCCCTGACCTTTGCTCCTGTTGAAAGTATCCAGAACACTTGTGTCAACAGTATCCAGGGCGTCCTTCTGCAGCCCTCGCGGCTACGGGAGAACTCTGCCATCACACCCTTCAGTTTCCTGCTGCTCAAGTGTGCCACCCAAGTGTGCCGCTTGACGCATGCGAGTGGTCGAGACTGTGCGGCGTGGTGCGGCATCAATACTCTGCAACACTCTTCCGACTCTAAGGCCCAAGGAAACAAGACCGATAGATAAGCACCTAGAAGCGTGCACACAGCAACACTATGTCAGCCATTCAGCCCAACCTGACGAAATACTGGATTACTGGATGGAAGAGCCATGCATGAGCTACCTGGGCTATTGCAGTCCATTTCCCGACTGTATACTTTTCCTTGGAGGTTGCTGCCTAAACCGCTGTTTCACGTCATCTGTCCGGGCTGCAATGCGTGAACGTCCTTGACTGCCTAGCACTAGACATTATCACTCAATAATTACTGCAGCAGTGACCATTCTGTACTGAGGCGCTAGAAGCGATGGGCTGTTTAAAATACACACCTGCATCGCCAAGCTCATGTTCTACCATTACCATCTCTCGTACGTATCTACCTGTTGTGCGATATCTTATACATGCATGGTAAAGCCACGAATCGATATAATGCATCGGAATAAACCTGAATGAGATACGGTCTTGGGATGGGAATTCAACAAAACTGTTAGAACACAAAGTACGTGGATAAGTCGCATGTCTTACACTGACCCAGGCTCCTATACATTTCTTTCAATCATCCTACTCTTGACCATTAATACCTGAATGAGATGTTTATCAAGCCCTCGTTGAATTTGCCAACGCATACCTTTGCTATGACCATGATGGATGCCGGGTCAGAAGGTTAATACATCTCAGGTATCGTTTCACCAGGAATGCCGATAGACTCAAATTGGCTAGGCTCTACAACGTCTGAGTGGTAGAACCTTATTAGTTTCAGCTTAAAAGCTCGCAAGATCGGTGTTCACTCCTCTGGTGCGATTCCAGCTCATGATACGATCGATTCACATCTCAATGGATTTAGTCTAACTATGGTCAAACAGGGGCAAGGCTGATTCAGGTACATACATTCTCTTGACTTTGATGAAGAACACAATTGAGGTTGATGATGGAATGGGAGTTAGAGTGCGGGCGAGAGCACAAGAGAACACTTCCAGGGGTTGGTCGTCATCTTTGTGGGCTAGGATGGGATCACACATCACTTTTTCTTGACATTGCAAACCCCTTCGCTCTCGCTACTCATTCTTTCAATACTTACATCCCATCAGATTCCTTAACGCATCTAACTGACCCCTTCATCGTTGTTAAGCTCCTTGGATCTACACACTTGGCCAGTTAGCGTTCCACCTCCCACTTCCCTTCCACATTCTCTTCTGCTGACCATGCGCGAGGCAAGAGACACCACACTTGCACGTCGCCTCTCCCAGCAGATCCTAAAATCATCGTCTCTACCTCGACTTCAAACATCCTTATCCCCTAGCAGTAGCATCGCCAACAGCTACATCTCTTCGCCCACAACCTCGTCTCCAGAGAAGTCATTCAAACGCATCAGTATCCAGCATAGCAAGAAGACCGACTCTGAGCTTGACACCCTCGAACCTACACAGGCTGGTGGTGCAGTGGGGTCCCCAGTGTTGCCCACCAGCCTATACTCTTCCACACCAGTCTCAGGATTGACAGGCACGGCTATATCCATCCCTTCTCATCCCAGCATACATACATCGGCACGGAGTACCCCGCCTGGTTCGGCGGGTGCAGCCCGAACGCAGTTGGGATTAATTCTGGCCTCATCACTTGGCCTTGCTGGGGGACCAGGTAGCCCTGCCTCACCAACCAGCAACTCTGCCCGTCACTTTCGATATCCTCCAGTATCGTCTTCCAATGCCCCGCCTTCAAACTCGTCAGCCAGCACGACAGAGGCCTCGAAGCATTTACCACTGATGCGCATGTCGTCTTTCAAGAGCGAATCCGGCAGTGTTAACAGCGACAAGGGTGGCAATGGCGGTTTCAAGAACCAAACGCCCAATGTCTTTATCAACATCGGAAGGTCCTCGTCCTCACTTCCCCAGATCGTGATGCCCAAGAAGCGTGTTGCGGCAAACATTGCTTCTAACCTCAGCTACATTGCAGCCTGGTATTTTTTCAGCACAGCCCTGTCGATCTACAACAAAGTAAGATACAGTCATAGATATGAATATGAGAATATGGCGCATGTGGACAACGCTCAAGGTCTGTTTGAGGCTCTTTCGCCGATCTGCATGTTAGCCTTAGCTTTGCTGCATTCTCTTGGATTCCTTAGAACTTGATGGGCAAGAACAACTGGAATTTCAACTTGCCGCTCTTTGTGTCGTCGATTCACGCGGGCCTGCATTTTGTGATCACAGCCTGTTTGATGCACTTTTTCCCTGATGATTTCGATGCAACACGGTCCGGTAGAGGAGGCAGGATCACAATGCACAGCTATGTTACTCAAGTGGTAAGCATCTCTGGTACACATACGTGACGAATCTGGTGGCAATGGTACAATGCGAGACAGGACTTCAAAGGAACTGAGACCCTCACTACCGCCGAATCTCTAAGCATATGGCATGGGAGGGAAATCAATTATATTGAACAGGACTTCACCAATGTCATTTTACTCGCTATAGAATTTGATCCGATCTGGTTGTACATTATCACTATCATTAGGTACCCTGTGCAGTCGCAGCCGCGCTGGAAATTTGCATGGCAAATGCTTCGTTGATGTACATTACTCTTTCGTTTTATACCATGGTAAGAGCCGCCCACAGGACTGACATGATTCAATTGCCGTCATAGCGCATGCACTACTTTGCGCGAACTACATTAAGTGGCCGTTATCCTCGTCATGAATCAATAGATCAAGTCAAGTACACCGATCTGGGTGCTCATATTTGCATTCTTTTTTCGACTCGAAAAGCCCCGTATGAGCCTTATCCTCATCATCGGAGTCATTGTCATCGGCGTCATCCTCACAGTCGCAGGCGAGACCCAGTTCGACATGACGGGCTTTATTCTCGTTCTCTTTGCAGCGGTCATGTCGGGACTTCGCTGGTCGCTCACACAAATGTTGTTGCAGAAGGATCAGCTTGGAATGGACAACCCAGTGGCAACACTGTACTATATTAGCCCGATCATGTTTGCGATTATGTCGCTCTTGTCCCTGGTGATCGAGGACCCTTTCGTTCAGTTTGCGTCGTCTGAGTTTTTTGATGATTTCCGGTCAGGCGTGTTCATCATGATGATGGTCGGTGGAGGTGGGTTCCTAGCGTTCGCTATGACGGTTGCAGAGTTCAAGCTGATCAAGAACACGGGGACGGTAACGCTCTCGGTCGCAGGCATCAGCAAAGAGATTGTGGTGATCTCGCTAAGCATGCTGATCTTTGGCGACCGGTTGACATTCGTGAATCTTCTTGGGTACGTCTCCTTGTTGACGTTATTGATGTGGATATGTATCGTTAGGCGTTGATCTGACGATTTCTTGCTTCTCGTTTACAGGTTGCTGGTCTCGATTGGGGGTATTATGGCCTATGTAAGCGGAACCCTCCATTACGTTTGCACGCAGATCGAGTCTTATCTGGTAATCTTCCGCTAACCATAAATCTGACTTTCTTTACGTAGAACTACGAAAAGGTCAAGAAGCTACAGCAAAACGCCCTTGGGTCCGGAGACTACGAGGCTCTTGGAACCATGGGTCGACACCACAAGAGCGACAACACGGATTAGAGATTCAGGAGGCGCATAATAATAATAATAAAAAAAGGTCGCGCTCATAGAGACAGCAGCGTATCGATCATGCATGCTTTTGTGTTATCCCTGGAACATACGTGCCACAGGGCTGTGGAACGGCCTGAGATAACTCAATAGGGGCTGTTTGTTTGCATTGTTATTTTTACTTGCATTATTACAATGCCGAAGATGAAGGGATACGTGTAAAACATATATGAAAGAACATGGAAAGCTGGACTACGGACGAGAGCACGACACTAAGGGGCGGCGTTTATTGCAATAGGTCTCACTGGCGCGCGGAAAACGTTCATCAGCCCAGCTGGTGCATAGGAACCACCACCTCGCCTACTCGTCCTCCTGCCTGCTGTGAAATTGAAGGTGGGTTGATCTGGCACGGACGATACATATCGCCCTGTATGATATCAATCAGGACCGAACCCGTGTACGGAAGTTCTCCTCTGGAGCGCCTTTGCTGTTGTTGAACCGATAGCCTTGACCGGCCACGATTCTCTACCATGGATTCATTAGCGAGCAAAGTCTGATCTTCCTTTGACGGTTTCTTGTAATAAGCCTGTTTCCTCTTGACTTTCTTCTCCCCGAGGAGAGCACCAGAAAGGGGTGCGGCACTGTATTCCTTGGGTGGGGGAACATACTGTGCAGCCCTGTAGACCAGGCACAGGCCAATGACGATACCGACTACTAACACGACCGAGACTAGTGCGACGACGACTTTGCCCTTCGAAGGGTCCATCACAAACTGATCGGCCTTGCCTGAACTGTGATGAGTACTCACTGGTGCCTGCTCCGCCGTTCCTGGCGGAAAACCTGTGCGTCTCAGTGTGCCAGGCGGGTCTGTGGAGGGCGCGGTGCCTTCCCAGCGAATACCTGCAACGTTGGCTACCGGGGTGGTGTTGTTCCACATACCGACTGCACTGGAAGCGAGCACCTGACAGTAGGGGTCAATGTAGAGGTTCATTGCTGCATAGGGATCGGACGCGGACACAGAGGCATAGTTGCCCTGGGTAGGACTACCAAGGAAAGATGAGGTGTCAAGGGCGACACATGAGGCGAGTGTGATGGTTTGCGGCTGTCCTAGCTGTGCGCCAATTTTGTCCAAAAACGAGAGGGAAATAGTGTTTGTGGATTGAGCGGTTATAGGACAGAGAAAGGCAGCAAGGCAGGAGAGGAGGAGAGTTAAAGTAGAGAGGGATCTTGGGAATCGGTATCGCGACGGTGATGGCGATGGTGATTGCGATGGCGGGATGGTTGGAGCGAGCTTTGAGAGTAGAGACAACATTGTTGGCGTGGGGGTGTGGGCAGTAAAACGGCTTTGTGAGGAAAAGAAAAACCTTTCTCGAAGAGGTGGAAGAAAAGAAGGAAAAGGAGAATGGTGGTGAACGCACTTTAAATGAAAGGAGAGAAAGGGATGAGAAAGACAAAATATAAGGACAGATCTGCACTAGTTTTACTATACATCCTTAGCCTCCTTCTACTTCCTTCTTCCCATGAGGCGATATCTATGGAGGGATAGAGGCTATATGAGTGGAGGGATGGAGGCGGTGTCGATGGAGGGATGGAGGCGATATCGATGGGGTGATGGAGATGAAGGAGACCCAATTGCTCGTCAAAAAGAGGGCTCACGCATCCAGGCACACGACCAGGGCCATCCAATTCCTGCCAGTTCCATTTATGGATATCACAGGTCCGCCAATTGCCTTTTCTGGCCGAAGTCTCTTTCATCGCGAATGGACACAAACGCACAAACAAACACAAACAATACGCCGTTCTCCTAGCCATCTCTCTTTAACCATCATATTATGGGGTTCTTTTTTGTTCCTTCACGTGCCTGGGTGCATATCTGTTGCCGAATCGCCTTCTCTTTTTTTTTTTTTTTTTTTTTTTGGAGGGGGCCGCTAAATTACAGACCCTGCGGCATGTATTTATCGCATTTGGCCTCATGCCCATTGCTTTATTCGTATGCGTATATATTGTACAAAGCTGGTAAAGCAATCTCTATGCCTCATCCTGTTCTTCTGTATCAAACGATCCCATTGTATTGACGACCATCTGTACCATTTCCAGTGAAGAGTTAACCACTGTCCTCAGCAGCTTCAATGTCGACGTTTGAAAATCACTAGAACATAGGATCATAGGATCAATGAACAAAGAAACAAATTCGTTAAACGCGTTTTTACTAGAAAAGATGCATTTGGTCCGCACAGCTCATACGCAAGGACATAAGTATAAGATTATTTCGCGACATGATGGTAAATTTCCTCGCTTACATGGTCAAGATGTGTTCCTGAGTGCTGATAATACGCTGTGAGACCTCTGGCTTCAGATCCTTGTCCACATCCAGCACGTCTGCTGCGATTTTGGCCAGTCTTGATGACGGGAATGGGATCTGTAGCGTCCTATTTATTTATAAGTCCATATACATTACGATTAGCAGCGTGAATGTCGGATCTTCGATAACGAAGTTCTTTTTTCTTTGATACCAAAGCGCCTCTGTCCTCATGTCCTGAGATTCCTTCTGCATAGAGCCTGATATCCTTCAGTAGAATCCATTCGGAAACGAATGTTTATTCGATAGGAGACGGGCATTAAAATAGTGCAGGCGTGGATTCGATTCCGTGAGCATCGACTGCAACTTTCCTGAAGTTGCTTTCCACATAACGACTCCCCTCGCTGCTGGCTGGTGTGAGGGCCAAGTGCTCCGCTTGTAGTCCTGCTTATTGCACGCCCAAGCAAAAAGTGTGATGGGCCCATCCTCTGCTCCTGTTGCTTCCACTTCTGAATGTATTGTTGCCATCTCTAGGTGCAATCTTGGTAGCTGCTTCGCTGACTTACAGACGCTCGTTCAGTGCTGTTGCGGCCATGGCACCTGTTGTTGTGGATGGTTGGTTGGCTTGGCGAGACATGCCTGCGTACTGGTCTCCTGTCGATGTGGCTTGTCCGTAAACTCTCTGGCCTTGAATGGAGCGACTAGAAAAGAAAACAACGCTTCAGCGCACGCAATTTTTTTTATCACCTTTCTACTCCATCCCCCTCTTCCCCCTTGTCTCTTTCTCTCCCTCCGTCCGCTCCATCCCTTCCCGCTTCCCTCTTTCCGCTCTTCCTCATCCTCCATCTCCATCTTCCCCTCCTCTCACTCCCCGCCCTCATCCAGTTCCACTTTTCCTAGCCATGTCTCTTGCTCAGGACTCTAACGACCTCGCCGTCTCGGCCAACAACAACTCTCTGTACGAGGCCCAGTACGACGATCACGAGCTCAAGGAGGGCGAGGGTCTTGATGTCGATGCCCCCCTCACTCTTCGTGCTCTGGTCTCGACCAAGGAGGCTGGCGTCATCATCGGCAAGGCTGGCAAGAACGTCGCCGATCTTCGTGATCAGACCGGCGTCAAGGCTGGCGTCTCCAAGGTTGTTCAGGGCGTCCACGATCGTGTTCTGACGGTCACCGGCACTATCGAGGGTGTCGCTAAGGTAATTGACAAGATGCATACTACTCATCAGGAATCAATGGCCCTTCTTTACCACTTTGTTTTCGGGTTCGCTCCAGTTCAATTGCCTTCAACAGGATGACCACAACGGCTATCGACTTTGTTCTTTCTGCCCGGAGACGGAATGGTTCTGGTACAGCCAGCTGGATGAGAGGATGGATAGCAGGCATGGTGCGGTTGTGGCTTTGGGTTTCGCGGCAATGTTTCTACTTCATTTCACCGGGACTGGAATACATGATAGCCAGCACGTTGTCACGAATGAGGCCATTCGGAAGAGGAGGTTAGGATGTGGGGGGTATATTGGATGGAGGCGATCATCGATTGAAGGTCGGGGACTTGGACGAAGAATGCGGTCGGTCAAGTCGCAGCTATATGAGAGTGCGCCATTCTTCTATTCTAGGTTGTCCCTCTTAATTAAATCGTGGATCTCAGCTGCAAAGGAAACAAAGAATAGGAACAAGAAGAGGCTGGTTCTGCTGGGTTTATTTTTTGCATAAAACCCGCGGAGGGTTATAACGTATCGAGGATGGTCTTGCTCTCCGGAGGAACCAGCATCCGGGCTTCTTTCTTGGTTTAATGCTCTGGCGCTGTCTACACTGTCTGGAGCTTTGGTGCATACAGTCTTTAGCACACAGCAGCTCTGTCTGTTTACGCTGCTCCATGTCGAAAAAAAAACTTTCAATAACATATAACTTTCATTGTTCTTATACGGATATACTCTATACGACTCTCTAGGCCTTCTCGCTGATCGCTCAGACGTTGTTGGACAACCCCATCACTTCCTCGCCCCCAGGAACTCCCGTCAACTCTCTCCGTCCTGTCGCCCAGACCTCGTCCGTCCGTCTGTTGATCTCGCACAACTTGATGGGCACTATCATCGGTCGTCAAGGATTGAAGATCAAACACATTCAGGACACTTCCTCGGCTCGCATGGTTGCCTCCAAAGAGATGCTCCCTCAGTCGACCGAGCGTGTTGTTGAGGTCCAGGGAACTATTGAGGCCATCCGCATCGCCATTTACGAAATCGGCAAGTGCCTTGTTGACGACTGGGAGCGTGGCGTCGGCACCGTCCTCTACAACCCTGCGGCTCCCCGTGTTCCCGGCGCTGGACCCAGCTACACTGCCGGAGCCCCCACGACTGGAACCCGCACCAACTACACGTCGCGCACTGGAAACGGATCGGACTTTACTCGCCCTCGTGAAGACTCTCAGTACCGCCCTCGTCCTGAGCCCGCCTTTGGCCAGAACAATGCCAATCTTCGCACTCAGGAAATCTCGATCCCCGCCGACATGGTCGGATGTATCATTGGAAAGGGCGGCTCAAAGATCTCGGAAATCCGTCGTCTGTCTGGCTCACGCATCTCGATTGCCAAGACCCCCCACGATGAGACTGGCGAGCGCATGTTCACGATTGTCGGTACTTTGGAAGCCAACGAGAAGGCTTTGTACCTGCTCTACGGTCAGCTTGAGGTGGAGAAGGACAAGCGTTTGAACATGTCTGGCGACCATATCCCTGAGGAGGACGAGGAGTAACGGAAAGATCGAACCAGACCCTACGAGATCATTTCCAAAAACTGGATCTTATCTTTGTTCTCCTCTCTTTCTCCCTCTTTCCCGCTTTCGCATTTACCCAACTTTCTTTCTCTTTCCTCTTGACCTTCCCTCTCCTCGTTTGTTAATACAAGTTATCTTGATTGCTTTGTCATTTGTAAACTATGCAAAAAAGAAAAAAATACATTTTTTTTGAGCGCGAGGAACGGCCCATTTCCCCACATTGCGTTGCTCCAAATATTAGTCTTTGTAAAATGTGTGACGACGTAGATATAAGCTCTATCATACAACAAAATGCTGCGAGTGAGGGAATGGAGAAAAACGATGCTGAGGACAAAATCATTATGTGGAATATGATAGTAGTTTAAAGGAACATTTGTCCAGACTGGGTGGTGACGGTTGAGATCTTCTGGATAGCGTTGATGAACGCTGCGGTACGGAAGTCGGTGTCCTTGGCTGCAGCCGTGGTACGCGTCTCTTCACAGGCGTCGATCATAGTGTCCTCGAGACCCGAGTAGACGAGCTCGTGCTCCTCAGCTCCGTGGATGACTGCGCGACGTTCTTTTGTAGTCAATTTGCGACCGGCGTTCTCCTCCACAAGCGCTAGCAGCTTGCTCTTGCCTGCTTCCTCCCATTTACGAGACATGCGGCCGAAACGAACATGCGACAAGTTCTTCAACCACTATTGAAGTGAAATTGTAAATAATGGACGCTGGTTAGAGAGGGGAATCGCTCTTTCCTTAGAGAGCCGCTAAGCTCCAATCAAATATGTCGCGCTATCCCTGTGGCGAATCCCTGTGGCGAATCCCTGTGTCTTTGCTTCACTTCTGCCATGTGGCGAGCAAATGCAGCGTCATCGATGGCATCAGCTAATATTCATGAATTGTAAACATTTCGCCCATGCATTATTGCTGTGCTTAGCTCTGCTGTGTGTCCGGTTATTGTCGCTCCTCCATCTATCGTCGTTGCAATCCACGCTAGATCCAAGTCTCGATGATATCATCCTTTGTCCCGGAAGAACATTGTTTGCCACCAATGCTCTATTTTTGGTTTGTTTACCTCGAAGTACGAGACCGTGACACCTCCAGCGTTCAATAGCAGGTCGGGGATGACAACTGTACCCTGGGAGACGAGATAGTCGTGCGCATCAGGGGTAATGGGGCCGTTAGCGGCTTCACCGATGACTTTAGCCTTGATTCCTTTCACGTTCTTGAGACCAATCTGGCGCTCAAGGGCTGCAGGAATCAAGATATCGCACTCGCGTTCCAACACCTTGGTGGATTCCTCGATCATCTCGGCATTGCCAAATCCGCGGAAGGATCCCTTCTCGGCACGGTGCTTGAAGATTGCGTCGACATCAAGGCCCCGGGGATCATAAGCCGCGACGTCGTGTTCCCCAATGCCGATAACCTTAGCACTATATTAGTGTTATGGTGGGACATAGAAGCTTGCGTTAGAGAACTGGCAAACAGGATACACACACACGCACATACACGATCCGGTGCCTTAAAAGGAGGACGTACCCATTCTTGTGGAAAAACTTTGCAGCCCAGTAGCCGACATTACCAAATCCCTGCACAATCACCGTCTTGCCAGCGATCTCACCCGTTAACCCTGTCATCTTCTGCACTTCCGGGAACCGCAGAAACTCGCGAACACCATAGTAAACTCCCAAGCCCGTGGCTTCGTTACGACCACGGACGCCTCCCTGTGAGATAGGTTTGCCGGTGACACATCCTGCGGCGTTCACATCCTGTGGGTTGAATTGGCGATAGGTGTCCATGATCCAGGACATCTCTCGGGCGCCAGTTCCAACATCAGGGGCGGGTACATCCAGACCAGGTCCGATAAAGTTCTTTTGGCAGAGCTCCATAGTGTATCGACGGGTGATGGTTTCGAGTTGAGAAGACGTGTACGCCTTGGGGTTGAGTTTGACACCACCCTTTGCCCCACCAAAA